TAAAAGACCTAGAGAATATTTTCTAAGAACTATAAGGCTAAGTTACTAAGGCTAAGTATCTTACCTCAGAAACCTAGATTATAATATATAAATTCTTTAAAAGGAATCTAAAAGATATAATAACCCCTATTAAGCTAGTAAGTCTTTAAAAATATATTTAACTCTACTAGATAATTGCTATTATCTAGAAGATAAGCTAAGTAAATAAGTTTAGTGGCGCGTTTATTAGAGATAAGTAGGGTTTAGGAAAGACAATTCTATACTTTATATACACCTTTATTAATACGCTTTACAAGCTTAATATCCGTAATATTAAGAGATCCTATAAGAAGAATAATAAGAGGTATCTTATAGAAGAGGAGATAGGATTATACCTATTAGCTACTAAATAGTAGCTATAATATATATACGAGCTAGATAGCTTACTAGTAGAGGTATATTACACACCTAGCCCTATACTAGTTATTATTCTAGTAGGACTTATCTAAAATTAGTATAATAAGTTTATTAAGTTCTTTAATATAAAGCGTTTTAGGCCTACTTCTATACGTCTATTTAAGTTATATCTTAAGTAGTACAGCTCTATCGATTTTAAAAAAGGTTAATATAGTTTAACTACCTAAAGATAGTTAATCCGCTAACGGGTAGATATATAGTATTATTCTTACTATAGTAGGATGCTACTAGAAGTATATCTATATATATATTAGGCGGTTTAACTAAGAGTAAGTTAGAAAGGGAAGGAACAAGTATTAAAAGATAGTGGAATACCTAGGACTCTTTATATTATAGTTATTTATCTATATAGACAAAATACACCTAACTAAATACGCCTAAAGTATATATAATAATATTCTTAAGATAAGGGTTAATAAGGATATATTTCTTTTCCTAATATTAGGAATACTATAGAAGTAGAGGCTAAGGGATATACTTAACTATACTATCTAGTTAGAGAAGTGATAGAAAACCTTTATAATAGAAGATAATAATCTAATAGAGATATAAAAGGTATACTTAATAGCTAACTTCTATACTATCTAGAATAGCTTTAACTAACTCTCTAAAATAATAGATATAAATACCTAGAAAAGGCTATAATAGATTATAGCTATAGTAAGGTAATAGAGAGAGATTTTAGTCTATCTTATAATCTATTAGACTACTAATTTAGTGGGTATTAATAGTTAGCTACTAGTTAAGCTACCCGTCCTTAATAGACGAGATATTCTATATAAGCTAACTAGTTTAGTAAAGAATTACCTAAACTAGTATATTATAGAGCTAAAGTAAGCTTTATAGTAAAAGTACTAGGATAACCTTATAGCGTAGAAAAAGGTAGAATTAAAAGGAGAATAACTAACTATAGTAGGCGCGGTAAAAGTCGACTAGTAGATAATACGATTAATCTATTTCTTTCTAGAGCTAGGTTATATATATAGCTTCTTAGATAATTTCTTCCCTAATAGCTAGGGTCTAGCTTAAATAAAAATATAGCTAGCTATACTAGGGTAAAGTAATATTATTTATAGGAATATTAACTAGATTACTACTATAGTGGTGTAGGAGGTTTATCACGTGGAGACTAGTATAGAATGCGCGTGCGGAGGTTTAAGGTTCTTTAGAATAACATCACCTTTTATATTATAGTATTAAGTAATGCTACACTCGTTCTATAAGCTGTTTAGTCTTATATAACCTGTCACTGTGATCCTATCGCCGCCTTAATAACCCTACCTTAATATCTTACCTCCGCGGGCACGCACGACCTACTCACCTAAGTCCTATACTTAAACCCCTTACACACGACACTACGTCTAGTCCTAAGATACTACTACTTATTAATATCTTAAACAAGATAGTATAGGAGAAAGTAAAGGAAGTAGAGGCTATAGGTAAGAATATAAAAGAGTAAAAGCTTATAATTCTTACTAAATTCCCTATCGTCGCACTAGTAATCTATAAATAGCTCTATAAGAACTATCTAGCTTATAAGAGCTACTTCTATAGATTATATATACTTATACTAGACCGTATAAAGATAATTAGAGGCTTTTAAGCGGACGTGATACTTAATACTAATAGGGAGGCTATATCCATCTCTAATACCTCTAATATTTAGCCTAGTATCTTAGTAGATATAACTAGTATTCTAGGTACCGGATTAACACTCTATAGGGTCTATTACCTTATGCTAATTAAGCTACTATTTATAAAGTCTACTAAAGAGTAGTATATAAAACGTGTTTATTATATTAGTTAGAGGTGCGACTACTAGATATACTATTTTACTATATTATCTATTAATATTAAGGCGGTAGTAGTAGATAAAGTTACTATATAAGTACTCTTTATAGACCTTATTAGTAAGGCTAGTATAAGGGGTGAAGGTAGTGCTAATGGTAGTAGGAATAGTATAGAGGAGTAGATATAGTACCGCTCTATTACCTCTTATAGTTATTTCGTTTTAGGCTATATATTTAGGGCTCTTATATAAGGGTTTAGGTGGATCTTCTATACATTTATATTTATAATAGTAGATATAATAGAGTAATTACTACTATCCAGTCTTAGGTTTATATCTGTATCTATAAGAACTATAGGTTGTAATTAGCTTTACTACCTAGAAGTAGTTCTTATATATAATTAGTTTACTAAGATATTAGGTTTTATATAATGTAATATCTAGTATACTACTATTAGTATAAGAAGTGGTAAAATCTAACTACTTTACTATAAATATAAATATTTAGTAGTAAAATCTAATAAATCTAAAAACTAAGTAGTGAAATCTAACAGCTTAAAGCTAGCTTTAAGAATCTAGTAATAAAATCTAATAGCTTAGAGCTAGCTCTAAAAATCTAGTAGGAAAATCTAATAGCTTAGGGGTTACTCTAAAAATCTAGTAATAAAATCTAATAGCTTAAAGCTAGCTCTAAGAATTTATAGGGTAAATCTAATAGCTTAGAGGTGCCTCTAAGTTACCTAAGTAACTAGAGCTATATACTAGCTTCTTAGAGAGGGTTAAGCTGTAAAATAAAACGCTAATTAACTACTACTAGAGCTCCTTTAACTAGTTATACTATACCTTTACCTAGTAGATAAACTACTTAATAACCTTATCTAGATCTTTAATAGTAGGGGGAGAGAATATCTATATAGGATTATTATATTCGGCTAGAGTAATTAGTAGTTAAGTTTATAGATAAGGCTACAGGAAGAAGAAGGGTATTACTAGCTATAGAACTACTTATTAAACTCTCGCCACCTTACTATTATTTTTATCTCTTTCTTTACTAAATCTTAATACTATAGTAAGGCTTAGTTCTTTAAATAATACTATACTATCTTTAATTTCTCTTACCTAAAGCTATACTAGCTTACCGGTTATTAGGTAATAATTAATAGGTAAGTTAGAGCTACTAATCTAGTAAGTACTTATTACTACTTTACTAGTATTCTAATAGCTAGGGTTAGTGTAAGTCTACTTAATTAGAAGATTAACTTTAAGATAACTAGCTACTCTATTAGCTACTATTCTCTCTAGTAGAATAAGATGCTAAGTAGTAGTAGTACCTTACTAGCCTTATAACTACTATAGAGCTTTAGGATAAGAATCTTTAGACGAGCTATTAGCTAGTATCTCTTTAACTAAAATTATAATAATAACGCGCGCGTCCCGCTAAAGGTAATACTTATACTAATAAGTAAGTAGACTATTAAGAGAATTAATATTATCTTAGTTAGTAAGGTTTTAAATAAGGTTATTTTTAACTAGTATCTTATCTTAAGATAGAATAGTAGTTATTCTTTTTTAATTAAACTCCCTTAGCCGAACTACGTTAAATACTTACTATTTAAACTAAACTAAATCTATAAAGAAGAAGGATAGCTTATCTAATATTAGCTTAATCTTATAAATAATAGAGTTAGCTTTTAAATTCTTCTTACTATATATAACACGCTAGATAGCCTTAAACTAAAATAGCTTATTCTCTACTACCTCTTATAGAGTATCTAGTATAGCTATATTATTAGTAAGAAGTAGTACTACTACGGAGCTAGCGCTAGGTCTAGCTTTAGCTTTAGCTTTATTTAATAGCTTACGCCTAGTATACCGTGCGCGAATAGGAGCCGGCTATATATAACGAGCCTTATAGGTAGTAGCCTTACTAGAGGCGGCCTTACTAGAGACGGCGGTAGGAACGTGGTAGCGTGGTGCTAGCTTTAAGGAAGTTAGTTTTAAATACTTACTAATATTGCTACTAGAGCGTGCGGTGCTCTTACGCTTATTTAAAGCTAGTGGCGCTAGCGGTGCTAGCGTAGTTAGTTAGCTAGTTAGTATTAAGAGATAGGGTAATCGCGGTCGCATTTCTAAAACATTATTAACTCTATATAATTAACCGCTTTAGGTAACTACCTAAAGTCATTTAGATACGGGTTAATAGCGGTAGGGGGGTTTAAATGGGTTCTCCGTCGTTTAGGGTTAGATTAGTATGAGGGGGGGGGATGATGTTCGTGATCGCCGGGTGGCCGCACATTTTGAAACCAGCAGTAACTGTCGGCATAAGTCCGTTTTGATGAGCAAAAGCGCTGCTGGCCTCTTTGCCGCTGCAATGTTGCACGAGAACCGGCACCGTTTGTCGGGGTATCACGCGCTGCAGACCTCACCAAGAAATCTGGACGTCAAGGACAATACCTACTGGCTGAAAGGTGGCGATGAACTACTCTAGGACTGCGTCTCGTTCATCTTGGCTTTCGGCGATGCTCCGACGACGTTGGTCTTGCCCAGAGAATCCCATCAGCTCTGTGTAGTCAATGAACGCTAAATGTAATCAGCTCAGGCGAATGGCCGAGCGGTGGAGACTGGATGAAGATATCATACAATAATTCCCTAGAGAGCAAGCCTTGGGCCGTGCCCCACTGAAATGAACTGTCAATATTAGACTCGCAGTCATTGCTCAGTGCAAGAATTCTCGAAATACAATCAGACCGCAAAGATGTCCTCCGTCACGGAAGTCTTACAACGAAAGCCGAAGAACCTCGCCGTTCACACCAATCCTGCACACGATCTCCATCTCGTTCAAAGCGACGTTCCAGAACCAGGCCCAAATGATTGCCTAGTACACGTGCGCGCAACTGGCATCTGCGGCTCGGATGTGCATTTCTGGAAGCATGGCCATGTTGGCGACATGGTCGTTGTTGGCGAGAACGGGCTGGGCCACGAGAGTTCAGGCATGGTTATCAAAGTTGGAGAAGGAGTAACAAGATTCAAATCGGGTGCGCAATTCATCAGACATGCTCCCTCATAACTTTCACTAACGGTAGGAATCTCCAGGCGATAGAGTGGCCCTGGAATGCGGCGTACCCTGCTCCAAGCCAACCTGTTACTTCTGCCGAACCGGCCATTATAACGCCTGCCCAGAGGTCGTGTTCTTTTCGACTCCTCCTTATCACGGGACCTTGCGTCGATATCATGTACATCCTGAGGCTTGGCTCCATGCCTTGCCTGACGACATGACTTATGAAGAGGGTTCGCTGCTGGAGCCTCTTTCTGTCGCATTGGCTGGCATCGACCGCTCAGGTTTGCGTCTGGGCGACTCACTCGTTATTTGCGGGGCTGGCCCTATTGGTCTGGTCTCCCTACTTGCGGCTCATGCGGCTGGTGCAGCACCCATCGTCATCACAGATCTGGATGAGAACCGTTTGGCCAGAGCCAAGGAGCTGATTCCACGTGTCCGCACTGTGCTCGTGGGTCGGGGTGATGATGCAAAGGCACTTGGCAAGAAGGTCGTCGACACACTCGGAGAGGAGGCAAAGCTCGTGCTGGAATGCACCGGCGTGGAGGGCAGCATACATGCAGGTATCTATGTAAGTAGCTGCTAAAAATTCCATGTCTGGTTGTGCACAAGCTTACCATTATTTGCTCTTAGGCTGCAAGATTTGGAGGCGCCGTCTTTGTCATTGGGGTCGGCAAAGACTTCCAGAGTATCCCATTCATGCATCTATCGGCCAAAGAAATCGACTTGCGCTTTCAGTACCTCTACCACGACACCTACCCAATTGGAATCAGCCTAGTCAAAGAAGGTTTGATCAACCTCAAGCCGCTCGTAACGCACCGCTTCAGCCTGGAGCAGGGTGTTGAGGCTTTCGCGGCTGCGTCAAATCCAACTGCGAGAGCGGTCAAAGTCCAAATAATCGACGACTAAAAGGATAATAGTATGCTACCTACCTAATTAAAGAATGCCGATGGGCAGCTCAAAATGATACGGCGTTGTTTAACTGAGGTTCGCAGCATGGTTCTTGCACGCTCATAAGCGAAAATAATGGTTACCTTCTAACAATATAGTTGGTCAATGTAGAAAGGGTAGAATAGCGATGGTTTCAGCATCATTTCGTTGATATAACAAAGTTGCTGAATATTGATGGATTTATTATGGTTTTTGCGTAACTACGGTCTTTCCGCGTAACCCTTGTCCCGTGACGGTCCCCGCTACCAAGTCTACACATCTTTCGCCACATGAACATTGTACATCAATTGACAATTCCTACCCGGGTTGCCGCCCCTGTGAATACCGAAGAGTTTGCGTGGAATGAGTGACTCACAGCAGGACTTCGCTGCGTCAAGGCAGCTGTCTGCCTGCAGTGAGTGCAAACGACGTAAGGTACGCTGCTCCGGTGAGGAGACTTGTTCCAATTGCGTCCGCGATGGCAAGATGTGCAGGTACACATTGCCTTTACAGAGAATCTCGGCTCTCCAGAGGTAGGATATGCGGTGTCACTGCGATCGTCCAGGTATTTTCTTTATACTAACCGGCCAAGGCGCCTCCATCAATCCGAGCGACTCATACAGTCCATGGAGAAGGCATGGATGATTCATCTGCCGGGAGTCAATCTCAACGAGGCCATTCGACGCATGGAGAATGGGGAGGAGAGCCCAATTTTCCATAACGATGGCTCTGTCGCAACCGAAGAAGCACACGAGCCGGTCAAGACAGTGCCTCCGAGTGAGCAGCCTGAGTCGAGCCCTGCAGAATACAGCAACGCCGAGGACTATGAATTCGACGAGTCTCAAGATTTTGACAATTCCACAGACGGCATGGGCTTCCTGGTTGTAGAGCCTCGGAAAGCCGGTTACATGGGCCCTCAATCTGGCATAGCTGCTCTAAAGTTCCTGCAAACCCTTCCGCTCTACATGCCCATCAATAGCATAAGTCCTCTCTCATTGGATGATTTCAGTGCTCCCGACTCATCAACATCATCGACTGCAGACATCAGTCGCTACATGGATGATTACTTTTCTCTGTACCATACAGCATATCCTATTCTTCATGAAGGAACCTTTCGGGCCCGAGTATCATATAACATTCACAATTGATTCTGAGTATGTCACCCGCTAATAGCGTTGTAAGGGGCATTAGCCAAGCCACGGGATGGCTCCTGGCCGCTTCTGTACAATATCGTCCTCGCTATTGGAGCTTTCGTTGGTGACACGGACGCCACAAAATGCGATATCCCATTCTACAGAGCCGCGCGTAAACACCTCTCGATGGATATTCCTGAAAAGGGATCTTTGAGCTATGTCCAGGCACTCGTGCTCATGGCCAACTATCTCCAGAAAAGGAACAAGCCCAATTCGGGATTCGTTCTCATTGGCATCGGGTTCAGTATGGCACTCGCCATTGGCTTGCATCGCGAGTTCGGCTTGCCGCGCACGACTCCTTTTACAATGGAGCTACGCCGCCGGGCATGGTGGACACTGTTCATATTCGTGTCAGGAGCCCAACTGACTCTTGGACGACCAGCAGTCTCTCTTGTGGGCGTGAACGTACGCCTTCCATCAGATCTGGACGACCAAGACCTCGCTGTCGACATGGAAGAACTGCCAGAGCCGAAAGACGGACCGACGGTGACTTCTTGTCTCATCGCTCAGGTCAAGCTGGCTAAGATAGCGAATATGGTTCAGGTCGAACTCCTGACGAACCAAATCCCTAGTAGCGAAAAGGCCATGAGCCTCGATCGGAATATCGCATCATGGCATAAAGAACTTCCTGCCTACTTTGACGGCCAACGGGTCTTGAAGCCGTGGTTCGAAATACCGAAAAAAATCCTCATATGGAGGTCCTTTCACTTGCGCGTTGTACTCAACCGGCCCATCCTCTTCCAAGCCATCACGGCAAGATCGCAGCTCGCAACATCTATCGGTCCGATTGGTTCGTGTCTTACCGCTGCCGAGGAATGTGTTGAGTCGATATGCGACTTCTTAGAATCCGGGGACAAGCAGAGTCGGGGCCTGGCATGGTATGCGACGTACTGGTTGATTACTGCTAGCTTTGTACAGGCAACTTGCTATCTATATGATCCGGCACATGGCCTAGCACCGGGTTGGAAAGCACATCTCAAACGTGCAGTAGATTGTCTATCAATCTTAGGCTCTGCGCATGGCATGGCTTTACGGGCGCGGGACATACTTCAGAGACTTCTCGGTAGGTGATCCTCCAACGCGTGTTGATGTAGGTGCCGAGGATCTCTGACTATGGAACCTCAAAGATCAGGGCCGCTTCCTGCCACTCCCCAATGACGCTGAGTCCGGTACGACCGTAGACTTCCCGCAGGGCGATTGGCGTGAGTTCTGGGGACAGTCTGGATTTCCGAGGAGAAATTACACCACGTCCGCACCCACGCAAGTTCAAGCCAGCCATGCCCTCCCGGCTATGGACATGGATATGAGCTTTCCCTGGTATACCCAAGCCTCGTCTGATGCAGAGCTTCTTGACGCTGCAGGTGGCATCATGCTGCAGAGCTATTCCGACGCGGCTGGGCCCTACTTTGAAAACGGGTCATGGATGCCGGCTTGAATGAGCGTGAAGATTTCTTCAGCTTTCATCCGAGTTGCAGAGAGAAGCAGCGGTAATCCTCTGAAGCATCATCACTCAAGAAAGTTGAGAAGTTTGCAAGGGCCAATGAAAACGCTGATCTACTCAGGGTAAATTGACGAATCGGCGAACGGCCGAGCAGGGGCCGGTGCGCTGAGCCGCAACATCTCGGAATATCGCCGAGTGTTAGAAAGACGTAGGGTAACAACAGCAGCGATCCAACATGAGAAATGCCCGATCTGATATTCCAGCTAATGCGTTTGTGTTCGTGCATTGGTAGCATCACGTATACAGCATGCCCCCATTCGCACAAACCATATCTCCCGTGACCCATCTCGAGCGCTCCTCACACAAGAACGCGACAATCTCCGCGACATCGTTCTCGGTCCCCGCCCGCGGAGCCGCCGGCGTTTTTCTGTTCTGCTCCTCCATCCGCGTCAAATGCACCTCGCCCGCCGCACGGTACATGTCCGTGTCCACCGGGCCAGGATTGACGGCATTGACAGTAACCTTGTACCTGTGGCCCAGCTCCGTGGCCCAAACGCGCGTCAGAGCCTCGACGGCGGCTTTGGACGCGGCATACACCGACTGCGTGGCGTAGCCTCCCCGGGCGGAGATGGACGAGAGGTTCACGATCCGGCCGCCGGGGTTGGCGTAGGGCAGGAAGGCTTGGGTCATGAAGATGACGGCGCGCACGTTGACGGCCGTGAGGCGCTCGTACTCTGCGGCCGTGATGTCCTCGAGCGGCGTGTTTCCGCCCAGCCCGGCATTGTTGACCAGAATGTCGAGCGTGGATACGCCGAAGGCTGAGAGGGTTGCTGAGATGGTCGCTTTGGGCGCTGAGAGGGATGCGCTGTCGACTTGTATGGCGAAGGCGTCGGAGCCTAGGTGCTTGACTTCTTGGACCAGGGATTCTGCGGCTTGTTTGGAGGAGTTGGAGACGTAGGTGAAGGAGACCTGTGGGCACCGCTCAGCATGGACTGGCTGGGGGAGAGAGATTGATAGACACTTGCTTTTGCGCCTTGCTTGGCCAAGGCCAGGACGATGCCTCTGCCGATACCCCGTGCTCCTCCCGTGACGATGGCGATCTTGCCTGCGAGCGACATGGCTACTCCTTGACTCGAAACGGGCTGAACGAGCTTGGCATGTTTCTTTGTCTGAACGGTCCTCTCAATTGTTTTAAAGAACCAAAGCCTGATACTAAGCGGATCGTACAGCAGCTCGAGACGAGCGGACCAGACGGCCGCAAGGGCTCCGCTCGGGCTGGCCTCCGACGCAAACTTTCTCGGAGGGTTTCCGAGGGAATACAACGACACAAACCTTGTGGGACCGCTGTGCCTCTCGCTGGCAGCCAGGGCGTGACGAGGCCCGGCGGAGTTGCGGACGGCTTTTCTTCTAGGTGACGCGCCTCAACAAACAGCCTACTACCACCAACAAGGCATCAGGTCTTGATGACTTCAGGGCTTATTAGTACTCATCCTGCACCTCCGACCTTCACCGTCACGAGACGAACAAGCAGAATGGCTGGCAAGCCGCCACCCGGCCAACTGTTTGGTTGATAGTATGACAAAACACCGGCTCCTCCGAAGACGGCAGTACGCACATCTCTTGCGTATAGCTATACACTTCTTTTCAACAGCGGCAATATTTTTCAGAGAGGCACGGTACGTATATGAGTTTATCGATGGTATGCTGTAGCTGCTAGTCGTATCACGAGCTGGACCTGGTAAAGCCTTTTGGTAAAGCCTTTTGATATCCCGGGTATTCAGTCTTCTCCCTCTCGCGCCCGAACGCCAAATCACACTGATTGAGTGCCCACATGCCAGCCACATCCCGAAATCTGGTAGAGACAAGGAGCCTCATCCGCGCGCTTCGGAGCGATCGCGCAGTTGCTGGATAACAGTGTCCACGTCCTCCATGTTGCCCGCATCCACCTTTGCCGCCGGCCGCTGGGCTTCGGGAAGAGCTTTCACGGCTGCATCGAGCCCCGGCTGGAAGTTTCTCACCTCGGACGAGAGCGCCGTGATGGCTTTCTTCCGCGTAGCCTGATTGTTGTCGTCTGTTGCGATTCTCACCAGGATGGGGATACCGCCGAGGACCAGTAGCTATTCGGGCGGTCAGCAATTGTGCCGTTGGGAACAGTGACAGGAAGGCTTACCCTCTCTTGGGCCCTGGCATTGTTCTGCACGGCAGTACCGATGCACCATGCCGCCATCCTCCGCATCTCCGGCTCTTCGTGGTTCAACTGGTTCACCAGCGGCATCCACAAGCCGAGGGGTTCCATGTTGTTCGTGTTGTCGAGGTTCTCAATCAGTTGTTCGAAGTTGTCGAAGGCTATGAGTTTATTGTCGAGATCAACGTCCGGCGATACGATGGCGGCCATGGCGTCGCGCATGCGGTCTGCGTCAGATGGCCCGCCTAGGAGAGCTGCCAATGCGTCGGCTGAAAGACCGCGCGAGGCATCGCGTGTACCCTGCTGGTCCGTTTGGGATGCTGCATCGTCGCGAGAGGCGGCAGAATTCTCGACGCTCCACTTCAGAAGCTCGTTCAGACCTGGGTTAGCCATTGTGTTTTTGCGATATTCTGGCAGGTTATCAAAAAGACTGCGACCATGCAACCGAAGAGTTTTCAGAATGCACCAAGTTGGAAATTTGAAGTGGATTTGAGTGCGCGAGCCCAGACTGAATGTTTGAAAATGACGCAGGCACTGCGAATGAACTACGATCTTCGCGAAACTTCCGAAGTCGTCCGCGACAGCATGGCTGGCTGCTCAGCGGCACGGTCACCAGTGTGTGCTGGGCATTGGCTTCACACGTCCAGTGCTTCATACAGAGCTGCAAAGGCAGTGCCCGCGAAGCAAACTGCTGAAAAGGAGGCATCGCGACAGAATGCGAGTCCCGTTCTTGGAGATCACGTGAGGCTGCCCCGCCGTATTCCGCCCCCCTTGCATTTGCCCCTCACTGCACGTGCCCTGGCTGGAGAGGAGCGGTGAGGCTCTGTGACTGACCTGCAGCGCTGAGCCGGCCGTGGCGTTGATAGAGAGGAGTTCCAGAGAGGATGGTCTGAGTTTAGTCACCGACCAGCAAGCAAGCTCAGCTGGATGGCAGTAGCTAGTCGGCAGCTTCCATATGGAGGCTGCCTAAGGTGCTCCAATGAATGGACGTGGCGGATGATGGAAGACGACGCGTGTGCAGTCGCTCGAGCAATTGTGCAGCCTGCTCGGCTTGTGCAGTATTAAAGCTCGACTGATCTGACATTCTTCGGCCAGGAGCCCTTCGACAAACCCCCCAAGTGCCCGCAAACTCGAACGTCGCTGCATCAGAGTCTTGTGTTGATAGCAGATTCCCCAACCAAGTGGTCGCCGCAAGAGGAAAGGAAAAACGCTTGGCGGCTTATTTAGCACAGCACGGAACCTCGCCTCCCGCACAGAATACAACCTTGTCAGCCAGTGTTGTCCCTTCTCCATCTCAACTGCAGACCTCCACCAGCTCCTCAACCACCTACACAGCTGCAGCTCTCAATCTCGCTGCACACATCTGTCGCCAGCGAGTCAATCCGAACGACCACCTCCCGCACTCCCACACACTCTTATCCGTCGCCATGGAGGGTAAGCTGAGCCAGAAGGATAAGCCTTCAGCATGGGGAAGCCGAATCCGGCCTCATGCGCATCTCCTCCCAATAGATGGAAGCTGACTTGTTTTTCCTGCAAACAGAAGAAGTTGCTGCTCTCGTCATCGACAATGGGTAAGATGCCCCCCGCATGCCCACACTATCCAGCATTGTGGGCTGCAGCAGCAGCTATGCCACACTCGATATCTACCCTGGCGCCTCACACCACCACCACGCATACCTCAATCGCTCTCAGCAAACAGTACAATGGATATGAGGCTGACGTCCGTGCAGCTCCGGTATGTGCAAGGCCGGTTTCGCCGGTGATGATGCGCCTAGAGCCGTTTTTCGTAAGTCTTCCATTTTCACTACAGGATCCCATTTTGCGCGTGCAGTGTCAGTTGTAGAAGAACAAGCAAAGGACTCCGCTTTCAAAGTCGTGTAAAATTCCCGCTGACGCTTCAAACAGCCTCAATCGTCGGTCGACCACGTCATCATGGGTGAGTTTCCCCCAAGCCTCCAGCCACTCGCTGGTACGGTGCTCACAGCTGCTGATGGTGCACAGTATCATGATTGGTATGGGCCAGAAGGATTCATACGTCGGAGACGAGGCGCAGTCGAAGCGTGGTATCCTGACGCTGCGATATCCCATTGAGCACGGTGTCGTCACGAACTGGGACGACATGGAGAAGATCTGGCACCACACCTTCTACAACGAGCTCCGTGTGGCTCCTGAGGAGCATCCGGTGCTGTTGACTGAGGCCCCCATCAACCCCAAGTCCAACAGGGAAAAGATGACGCAGATTGTGTTCGAGACCTTTAACGCTCCGGCATTCTACGTGTCCATCCAGGCCGTTCTGTCCCTGTACGCCTCCGGTCGCACCACTGGTATCGTGCTCGACTCCGGCGATGGTGTCACCCACGTTGTGCCGATCTACGAGGGGTTCGCCCTTCCCCACGCCATCTCCCGTGTCGACATGGCTGGTCGCGACTTGACCGACTACCTGATGAAGATTTTGGCCGAGCGCGGTTACACCTTCTCCACTACCGCCGAGCGCGAGATCGTGCGCGACATCAAGGAGAAGCTCTGCTACGTTGCTCTCGACTTCGAGCAGGAGATCCAGACCGCCAGCCAGAGCTCGAGCCTTGAGAAGTCCTACGAGCTTCCCGACGGTCAGGTCATCACCATCGGCAACGAGCGCTTCCGAGCTCCGGAGGCCCTCTTCCAGCCGAGCGTCCTGGGTCTCGAGAGCGGTGGTATTCACGTGACCACCTTCAACTCCATCACGAAGTGCGACATCGACGTCCGGAAGGATCTCTATGGCAACATTGTTATGGTCAGTCTAGTGAGACCCTGCGTGAGGTGTTGCGAACTATGCTGATACAGAAACAGTCTGGTGGTACTACCATGTACCCGGGTATCGCCGACCGCATGCAGAAGGAAATCACCGCCCTTGCACCGTCGTCGATGAAGGTCAAGATCATTGCTCCGCCAGAGCGGAAGTACTCCGTCTGGATCGGTGGTTCCATCCTCGCTTCGCTCTCCACCTTCCAGCAGATGTGGATCTCCAAGCAGGAGTACGACGAGAGCGGTCCCTCCATTGTCCACCGCAAGTGCTTCTAAGGTATTTGCTCACTCAACGCGTTGTTGAGGAACGTCTTATTGATCCTTCCGTGTGCAGCCTCTCACCCAACCACAACACGAAATTACGAACCGACAAGATGCAGAAAGGTCCCGCATGGCCTCCTTCTGTCAGCATTCCGTTTCAGCACTTCACAAAAGGGCGATGGTTAGAGTTTGGGCGGGTTTGTTACGGAGCGTGGCCGGCTGTCACATCGTGCGGCATCTGAAGTCTGTAGCTTAGAAATGCGTCGTTTTCCTCATACGATTGGCAAACATTTCTTCAATTCCACTTGACCCTGTTTGACATTCCCTTTGGTTGACATGTGCTGTGTAATTGAATTCTAACTCCCCCGAAGCCGTTTGCAGAACTCCCTCTGCCTTTTGTCATCGACGTTATGCTGTGCTTGTGCTATCCATACCAATGGCTTTACATGCCTCTCCCTCAGCATGCATTCTCTCTGTTCAACCATCCCCATGGTCGGCCTTCGAGGAGCACACGCACGGGTTCCTCGGCTTCACAGTCGACCAGGCCAGGTTGCAAACAGCCGCCCTACCGCACATCCCGACCCCTCATATCCCCGTAAGGAAACCTCGCCCATTCCAGGCCGTAAACCCTCACCATCTAGGTAACCATCGTAACTCCGGCTCTCTCACCCCAAACACCGCAACACCAGCTCCACGACCCCGACAAACTCCTCCCTCCCGCTGCTCCTCCCCGGGGCACCAAACCCCCTCTCGAGCCCCATGCCGACAACCACAGTCCGCCGCTCGTCCGCGTCCCGTACGGCGATGGCGCTCGCGATCTGCGTCGCCAGCAGCTGGCCCGGCGTCGAGATGGCCGGGTCGGTGCCGCCGAGCAGCGGCGTGGCTGTGAGGTGTGGGAGGGGCAGGAGGTCTGAAGGTGGGGCTTCGCTGTCGGAGTCGTCGGCGTCGTAAGCGGAGGAGGAATGGGGAGGTTGGGTGGAGGGGTCTAGGGCGGTGGGGGAGTCGAGCGGGACGTGGACCTGGTTGGTAAGGGGTCAGCGGGAGCGGGTAGAGAGGGGGGAGATGCTGGGGACGAGGGGGATGAGGGTGTAAGGAACGAGGGAAGAGGGAGGCACACCCAGTGCGCGAGTCTGCCGCGCTGCGAGATGGTTACGAGGATCTTGTCGCTAAAAGACATGTAGAGGATCGAGGTTGGGATGCCATTGACGTCGCCGGAGAGGGTTTTGCTGCGCGCGGGATAGAGCGAGGGGACGACGGGGGAGCTTGGTGGGGGCTGTGCCATGGCGAGATGTGTAGCTCTAGGGCGCGGATGGTGTTTTGGTGCTGGTGGTTTGAACGCGGGCGCGAGTCATGCGGATCGCCAAGCCCGCCATCTCCGGGCACAGACTTTGCGGAGGTCGACTCGCCGGGAAATTTTGGCGGGCAACTTTTGAGAATCTGAATATAAAGCAGTGCGCGATGATGCGCTGATAACCTCTGGCAGAGCGGTCTGGCAGACAACACTCAGACAAGTCAGCAGGGAGACCCACGATGCCCAAATTCGTCCCCCGCCAGCGCAAGCACAAGGCTCGCGAACGAGCACACTCACATGCGCCAACCTCCACCACCGACTCCAACGCCGCCGAGATCCTCCCAGTCTCCAAGACCGAGCGCGAAGCCCGCCGCCAGGTGCTCCGAGAAGAACTCCGTGCGCAGCAGCCCAAGATCTCAGGCAAGAAGCAGAAACGGCTGGACAAGTACATCGACACCAAGCTCCGGAAGGATGAGAACCTCGAGCTCATCAAGAAGCTTGCGAGCCAGAAGGTTGATACCAGCTTGTTCCGGAGCGCGAAGAAGTTGGGGAGGGTTACGGAGAGTAAGAGAGAGGCGCTGTCGAGGGCGCTGAGGGAACGGAGGGCGGGGATCAATGTTGAGGAGAATGATGCTATACTGCTGGAGGCGAGAGGTGCTCCACAGGGGGATGGCGATGGTGGCTCGGCGAGCGATACTTCGGAAGCGGAAGACCCTGCGCCTATACAGCCTGTGCAAGCGTCCAAGCCAGCGGTTACTTTTGGTGGTGGCTTGAAGCGGCCGCTGGAGGTTGACGAAGAGGGCAAACCGGTTATTAAGAAGAGAAAGAGGACCAAGACCAAGTCTTTACCGGTTCAGGCGCCGGCTGAGCTAGAGTGGGAAGGTTTCGACACCGAATCGGACGAAGGAAGTGCATCGGGCAGTCCGCTAAACGAAGACATCGAAGTAGCCGCACCACTGAAAACGTCTGGCAATAGCGAGGCAGGTAATGACATATCGTATGATGACATCTCGTCTGCCAGTGATGATGACGACGAGGACGGCACCTCAAATTTCTCTGAAGATGATGACGAAGACGAATCCATAACCGAAGACTCGAGCGCCGCTGACGACCGCACCGCGGAGAGAAAAGCGAGGTCTTCAGCGTTCAAGGCGTGGGCGACGCAGCAGAGAAATGAGGCGGTAGGCTTCACGCCTTCGACAGTCATTTCCAGCGAGTCCACAATATCACATCCTGCCAAACCGGCGAACTTCGAGCCGAGACCGCTCGAGGTTGACCCGCTACCCCCAGAACTCGAAACGAGAACTGCTACAGATGCCACAAGGAAGGCTTTCAGCGTGGCGGTGGAGCGGTCACTAGAGATTCAGGAAGCTCGCCTTGCACTACCAGTGGTAGCCGAAGAGCAGAAAATTATGGAAGCGATCCACAACAACGATGTTGTAGTTGTTTGGGGGGCCACGGGCAGTGGCAAAACAACACAGGTTCCGCAGTTCCTTTACGAGGCTGGATACGGGGCTCCAGGCGGACCTACACCAGGCATGATTGGCGTCACCCAACCCAGACGAGTTGCCGCAGTCAGCATGTCGAAGCGGGTTGGCGATGAGCTCGGCTCTGCTAAGACCAAAGTCTCGTACCAGATCCGTTTCGAGAGCTCCGTTAGCGACAAGACCTCGGTCAAATTCATGACGGACGGTGTCCTGCTGCGTGAGATAGCACAAGATTTCGCCTTGACCAAATACTCAGCTATCGTCATCGATGAAGCTCACGAACGGAGCGTCAATACAGATATACTCATCGGCATGCTCAGCCGGATTGTGGACCTACGAGCTGATATGGCTCGTGAGGACTCAAACATGAGGCCGCTAAAGCTGGTCATTATGTCTGCTACACTCAGAATCTCAGACTTTACTCAGAATCAGATACTCTTCCGAAAGGCCGTTCCACCACTGATGCAGGCTGAGGGCCGCCAGTACCCTGTCACGATTCACTTCGCACGCAGAACCCAACGCGACTATCTCGAAGAGGCTTTCAGGAAAGTCAGTAGAGGGCACAAGAAGCTGCCGCCCGGAGGTTTTTTGGTTTTCTTGACTGGCCAGGGCGAAATTACTGCACTTGCGAAGCGACTAAAGCAGACGTTTGCAGCAACCCAAGCCAGCGATGTCAAACATCCTACAGTCCGGATAGCGGCTAGTGAAGCGCCGCTCGAGACAGAAGACATGGAGATCGGCAACGAAGGACCGCTTCGTGGGCATGAAGATGGCTCCGACTTCGAGTCTGAGATTCACGGTCTGGATGATGAGGAAGACAACGAGTTCGACATCGGTGAAGTCATTGAAGGAGCCACGTCTAAAGTCCACATCCTCCCGTTGTATTCTCAGCTGCCTACCGCGCAACAACTACGCGTATTTGAGCCTCCGCCAGACGGTTCTCGCCTGATCGTGCTAGCTACTAATGTGGCTGAGACGAGCTTGACTATTCCCGGTATCCGATACGTGTTCGACTGCGGCCGCGCCAAAGAGAGGACATATGATCGCTCCACTGGCGTCCAAAGCTTCGACATTGGGTGGATCAGCAAAGCAAGCGCCAGCCAACGAGCCGGTCGTGCTGGTCGCACCGGGCCTGGGCACTGCTACCGGCTCTACTCCTCAGCTGTCTATGAACGCGACTTTGAGGAGTACGCAGAGCCCGAGATCTTGCGCACGCCCATCGAAGGCCTTGTCTTGCAACTCAAAGCGATGAACTTACAACATGTGGTCAACTTTCCCTTCCCTACGCCGCCTGACCGGGACAGCCTAGCCAGGGCCGAGAAGCTTCTCTCCTACCTTGGTGCGCTTGATCCTGATGGCAAGATCACGCCCCAAGGTCGGGAGCTGTCTCTGTACCCACTATCTCCGCGGCTGTCTCGCATGCTCGTTATAGGCCAGAACCATGGTATTGCTGCTCATACAATAGCAATGGTCGCCGCTCTTGCTGTACCGGACGTCTTCATCCCAGAGAATCAGCTCGACCTCGGTGCTGCGGATGCAAGCGGCCAGGATGGGATTCGATCGGAAGCCGACAACCTCGCTGACGCTGCCCGCGAGAAGAAGCGCAAAGCTTACAACCACGCGCACGCAACGTTCTCTCGTTGGGACCGCTCTTCCGACGCCCTGAAGCTATTCACAGCACTCTGCGCTTACAGCGCCTCTTCCACACCAGCTGAGCTCTGCGACGATATGTTCCTCCGCGAGAAGGCGCTCAAAGAGGCTTCCCAGCTGCGTGAACAGCTTACTTCCGTTGTCCGCACCCACAAGCCGGGCAGTGTCGGCGCGTACTCGTCTAAGCTAGCACCTCCGACGGACGCTCAGATAAAACTCCTGAAGCAAATCGTAGCAGCGGGCTTCATCGACCAGGTCGCCATCCGAGCCGACCTCTCGCCAGCTCCGCCAGAGCTCTACCGCAAGCCCAAGCGCGCCATAGACGTGCCTTACGTCACACTGTTCCCCTCACACATCCGCGGTGCTGGGTCTGAAGAGGAGGCAGAGAAGTTCGTGTACCTGCATCCGTCCTCTGTCCTCGCGCATACGAGCCCACAGAAGCTGCCGCAGTACATCATCTACTCACACCTGCAGCGCTCCTCATCCACGGTCCCGGGTAAGGTCGCAAAGGTCAGGATGCATGCGCTCACTCCTGTGAGTGGAGCACAGCTTGTGGCGTTGGCAAAGGGCACGCCGTTACTGGAGTGGGGCAAGCCGATTGGGAAGATCGTCACGTTGGAGAGGGAAGATGGGTGTGAGAGACGGGAGTGCTGGGTCGTGCCGAGCTTGGTGGGGGAGAAGGGGAGGACGGGGTGGCCGTTGCCGGCGAAACATGTGGTGCAGAGGAAAGAGAGCGGTAGGGGCTGGGTGATTGAGAGGGAGATAGCTGGCACATAGGCCGCTGGAAAACAGCGCTGAAGTTGGGTATTGTTGTGTCTCGATACAGCTATCCTCAGACGCGCTCCGAGTTCGCGCTACCCATTCAGCTGTCCCTCTCTGCTCAAATCTAAGGAGTCCTTCGCCTTCGTTATCATCTCCAGACGTACATCCCCACCGTCATCGGACCAAGACCTTAAGCGTTAGCTTTCGTGCCAGAACCCTCCCCCTCTGCATCCTCAAAGCCTGAGTCATCCTCGTCTGAGCACCCCGCGGCTGAGTCCTCCATCTGACCAAGCTCAATCTCCTCGATCAGCTTTATCTTTCTGGCGAGCAGGACCTTGATGGTTTGATCGCCCATCTTCAGCCCATCCATAAATTGGTCCAGCTGTTTGATTGAGAGGCTGCTGAGCCCAGTGCCGAACTTCTTGTGACAGAGAGCATTGACTGCGGCGCGGAGTTCAACCGCAGTCATGGGCTTCTCTGGAGGGGACGCAGGGCTGGAGCTGACTTTCTTGGGAGGCGGTTTTGAGGGAGTTGGTGAGGGTTTGTGGTCGTGGCAGTGACACGGCATGATTGACACAGATGTTAGATATGTAAATGATCGATACGGAGAGAATAGATGGGTAGAGTGTTGAGGCGTAAAGATTTAGTCCGTAGAAGTTTGTTGCGGAGAGACAAATTGCGCTTTCCAGCTGTGGAACCGGAAGGAGCTTCATGGGCTTACACGTGGCTTTGGAAAGGACAAACCGCAAAATAGGCGTGCTAACCAGCGCGCCAACCGTGGTACCATCCACATCGCACAAACGTGAATCTCGCTTATAATTTGAGGCTCTATGATACAACGAGAACCTTCCAAGCGACGAAGCCGCAACAACACCTGTTCATCCACCATGTGGTGGTGCGCAATCAACTTGAGAATCTCGGGAGACGGCTTCACCTGTGCGGTGGTTCCCGTACCACTAAGGCGTAGTTTTGCTTGCGTTCCCCGAAATCACCTGGAGACTCTCAACCACTTGTCATATGTCAGTCAACAACAATACTTGCCCGTGGTACCCTTCTTGTCCCCGCTTCGAAACTGGACGGTAAAGTGCCATGGAGATTCTTGTGAATATTACTTCGTTCCGCAAACCGTCCACAAAGACAACGTGGCCTGTGAGACAGGTCATCGGATCCAGGGCTGCAATGAAATGGCATCGTCCCACAATGCTTGAGTAAGGAGCAACAAGCCGTCCAAACATCAACCGTGTGTGCTGGCATAGCACCATTCAACAGAGGCAAACGCAACACCTGTCGTAGATATGTAATGGCATTAAAGCCCGCCTCTTACGCCAACGTGGACTATCTCAAGATCTTGTTTAAATCACTCCCAGAAGAAACAGCGATCATGTCTTCCCCTAAGAACACCTCCATTTCCCCAAACGCAGACACCAAGCAAGCAGACGACTTCGTCAAGGTTTGGAAACCGAAGCCGGAAGGGTTCCAGCAGATTGAAGCACCGAAGATGGAAGAATTCGAGAACATTGAGAAGCCAAAGGAGGAGAAGTTTGAGTATATCGACCGACAGAAGCAAGTGAAGGAGAAGTTCAAACATGTTGAGCTACCAGAACCGGAGTCTCCTGTGGTGGTAAAGAAACCCAAGGACGAGGAATTTGAGGTGGTGGAGAAACCGGAGAATGTTGCGGTTGATGGGATGGAACGGAAAATGTATTCGGCTCTAAATTTAGGCGAAGGAGCCGGAAAGTGTCTTCGCTCAGGGCAAGAGCATGGAGCAAGCATTCATGACCATGATCAACGCTTTGCAAGCGCCTGATCGGTTCACATACGTTTTGTGTCGTTGGCGTGAGAGCCTTCCTGTTTGGGAAATTCATCGTTCTCCGATCTGTTGTCATTAGTGTTGTGCGGTTGAGCTGCTTGGCCGATTCGCAATCACCTGAAAGGAAACGATATTCCAGCTCCCAGAAGCATGACGAACGAGTAGAACATAAGCACTCCGTGGAGTATCTTCCAGATCTTGACCTTCAGCGGCGTTTTGGTATTTGTCTCATCCCCTAGACTTGCAGCACCCTGCGGCCTTTTGTTTTGGTAAACCCGGACAAAGACCCAGCCGAGTTGTATCGCACTGGCACGGTATTCAGTACGGATATCAGATAGCGGAAACACACTTACGCGAACATGCTGAAAATGTAGAACGCCACGATGTCCCAGCCGGTGTACGTATAGACGCACCAGATAGCCGTCACCGGCATCCAGATCGTTCCGAAGACCCAGGTGTAGCCAAAATAAGCATGTAGCCAGCGGCGGCGTTTCAAAGCGTCTAAAGGAAGCCGCAGGATAAGGGCGCCCAAGGCGACCCCCAAGAGGACGTAGCCGAGCATGGCATGGAAGATGATGTACGCGGGAAGATCTGAACGATCTGTCAGGACTTTGATCCGGTGGGAAGTTGTAAGTGTAACAACGTACCTGCTCCAAAGACGTGACCATAGAGCTCACGCCGTTTGAGCCTCGATGGGGAGTGCTGATGATGAAACACATCAAAGGCGGCGAGCAGAGCAAATACACCCATTTTGCCGGGCTATGACTGAGAGAATACGGAAGAGAGATGAGGACTTTGACATTTGTACAGGAGCTTAGCGGTTACTGTACTTATAGTCGGCGAGAGCAGCATCCTTGTGCGGAACAACCGGACAAACATCGCCAAACCTAATGTCCAAGTTGGTGTACTCATGATATCATGACCGAATGCCAGATGCATGTACGAGACGCCTAAAGACACTCAACCGCGAGTGCATTCCTCGCATCCTGCAAGATGCAAGCTCATAAAGTCGGATGTCTGAGGTTGGCAAGGGAGAATGCGAATGCGGGTTAGGCTGATCGGCGCAAAACCGCCCCGGCACAGATGGCTTGCCCATGTGGCGTGGAGGGATGCCAGCGCGGGCCTCCACGTGCGGTGGCCGACCGCCTCCAACATCGGTTTTCGCCAAGCCTGCTGCCTTAAACTTAGCTAACTTTTGTAACACTTCAAGCTATCCGTGAAATATTCACCCAGTTCCACTTACTCCCATATCACCAAAGTTTATCTGGATTTGAAATCTTGCTCTTGCTATAGCGTGCAAAGGTTTTGATTGATAACGTTTGTTCTTTTCTTAATGTTTCTACAGGTACTTTGTCGTAGTCGACCACCTCTTTTCACGACGTGACGGTTGGTTGCCAATCAGGTCGGCAATAGTCGACTGTTACGATCCATGGCATGCCGGGTTTGCCTGAATATGGATCCCAGACTCCATGGAGCCGACGAGTCCACGATATCTGGCTGGAAGAAGCTCGACTTGAATACTATTCGCTTTAGCTCGCGTTACATGTGCCCATTTTGCGGGTTTCTATTCAAGGTCGCCAATTACTTCATTGACCTTGCTTCTTCGGTTTCTATCAAGGTTATTCAGGATCAATCAATTCAAATGTGGGTGGAAAGAAGTGCTCCATGGACACCCCAGAGCGAACTCCGCATTTTTGCTCCTCAAGGTGAACCCGTGGAACGTCAGTAGCTTGCTGTACCTATGCTAATCGCTTGAGAAGGCGCAAATATACCGTTTTGGAGTACTTTGAGCACTGCACAAGAACAGCCAGCCTACTTAGGATCCGACGAAACAATCCTTTATATTAAGTCGTGCCTCGCTCGCTGTTTATCAAGTCATAGTCAGACATGCTCAGTCGCCGAGCAGTCTAGTCTTCCTACACGTGTTCTAAGCCTTCAAAGTAGGGACATCAGTCTTTACGAGGCCCATCCTATGAAGGGAAAATATGCCGCACTAAGTCACTGCTGGGGTGGCCTGCACCCCTTGCAGTTAACTCAGGCTTCATTAAAGGAGTTCAAGGCGGGAATCTCGTGGGATTTATTGCCTAAGGTCTTCCAAGATGCTATCACGGTAGCCCGTAAGCTTGATATCCTATATCTATGGATCGACTCCCTCTGCATTATCCAGAATAGCAGGAGTGATTGGGAGCGGGAAGCTGCAAGAATGGGCGAATATTATCAGGGTGCACATCTAACAATTGCGGCACCATCGGCGGCAAATTCAAGCCAGCGATTTTTAAAAAATCGGGTCCCTACCTGGTTGCCGATCGACTTTGAGATTGAATCTCCAGAGGAAGACCACAAACTGCACACTGTCCGCGTCCAAAGACTAGAAATAAATCCTCTCCGAACAACTTACTGAGCCGTTGTCCAGTCGAGCGTGGACCTTTCAGGAGAATTTTCTCGCGAAACGGGTCGTGCACTTTACGAACAACTACGCTATCTGGGAATGTCGAGGCTATATTGGATCTGAGGAGAAACAATTCCCTTCCAGTACTGAAGGGCTGACTCGAAGGTTTCGAGATCAAGATGAAGATATTCCTCGTAGCTGGCACCGCGTAGTCGAGGGTTATTCTAAACGGCAATTGACTTTCACCACCGACAAGCTGCCAGCGCTGAGCGGTATAGCGGCACACTATTACGATGATACAAGGTCGGGCTACATTGCGGGACTATGGCGCGACAGCCTTCTAACTGACCTCCTTTGGTTCTCTGTAGCAGCACCCGATTGGCTTCCTAGGGTTATTGGCTCGGTTCCCTCTTGGTCGTGGGCTTCAATAGATTGGCCTGTCCGCTTCGTTGACGACATACATGAGGTCCTTGAACCTAGAGTCATCTTTGTTGATGCGCACTGCACCGTTCACGGCCTGAATCCGTTCGGCGAAGTCACGGACGGCTTTGTCACTGTCACCGGCCAGCTGATAGAAACGACGCTCAGCTGTTCACAAACGCTAGATGGGAAAGCGTATAGCCTTTCAAACGACAAGCTCGGGCTTTCCGGGACCTTCTTTGCTGATACTATCCTTGAGGGATATGATGGCGTGTCTGGTCCAACAGCTCGAAGAACTCAGCCCGAGGCAAGCGTTGTCCCCTTCTCTTTGCCTGTATTCTGTCTACAGATAGCGAAGGGTTCCTCCAATGATGCTGAATCGTTGCTTGATATCTACTCGCTCGTCCTCGTTTGGTCAGAGTCTCATTTAGGCGCTTACGAACGCATTGGCCTGTTGAATGTTCTACTACCTTCCGCGGATTGGTACGAGGAGGCTCCGACGAGGACGATAACCATAGTTTAGGGATAGCGACTACGCGGCGCCGCTCTACCCTAATCCATCATAATAGTCTCGATACCGAGGAGTCACCTCATCCGCACAAATATTATACTTGAGCTGCAATCTCCGTGCATATATGCGATATCATCTCAGAAATGCCAATGCATGCTCGATGGAGAGGAAGCTCATCGCTCCTGCTAGAGGCTGCCCAAGACATTCAACACCCACATCATGATGACATTTAGACGCCTGGTTCGTGCGATGCCACCATAGCCCAGTGTTGTCGTCTCCGTTTATATGTTGGTAGAGGTTGTATCTCTGCTAGGAGCGATCGTTTCTCTTCGACGCGCAGCGGCAAGGATCGCTTTCGGCACTTTTGATAATGGCTCTATGTGCGGATATTTAGATACCTATCTCAGATATCGTGATACTACTATTGAAATACATAGTCTTTTAGAGTTTGATAAGAAAGGTAAGACAGGCGGTGGTTCAAAAATTAAGCCAATACAGGCCTTATGTTGTGATTTGCAACAGCATCAAAAAGGCGTTGCCAGCCTTCTTCCATGCTTGTTTATCTAATATTAAAGTTGGTGCTTGTGGATCTGGGATTTATTGGCTTTTGGAATGGAGCGAACAGCTTAAACTTCTTTCGCTGATGGACCTGTATCACTGGGAGCTCCGTCACCTTGCGGGACAAGTTGATCAGATGAGCCGGTTGGGGTTGATGATTCGGACGCAGAAGGGTCAAAAATTGGTTCGGATTGAACCACTAGGAACTGATTTTGTTGTAGTGCCTCGCCTGTTTCAGTCCTCTCATTTTGCGGTTCTTTAACATCCTCTTAAGCATGTAACCTCTATGGTTGACGCAATATGCTTTCATTGCAAAATCCTTTTGACGCTACAGCTTGAATTCTACATGACCCAGTCGAATGTGGAACAAAGTGTTTGTTTAGAAGAATCGTCAGGTCCTCAATTTGGATTCAAGGAGAACGTTTTTGATACGTTGCTTCAATAGCGCATATTTTTTAGAAGCTGTTTCGGACTTTCAATAGGGTGCAACCTTCGCAGGGAGCCGGATTGGGATGTACTATCTTAGGCTTAAGGTCCTAATTAGGCACCACTTGAAATACAGTAATCTTTATAACACAACCCGCGGACTTTCTTAGGCTCAAAGACCTTGATAACGAGCCAATAACAAAGAGCCTATCTATATAAAGCGTGCCCCTGGTAATGGGGCGACTGCCAATGGTAGTCAGTTCTGTAACCAATCCAATGCCAAAATCCACAACAATCATCCTCTGGCTGCGGCGGGTCCCTGAGCCTCCCGTCGTATCCTCGATAAGGTAGCACATACTCCTTACTTCCCCCTTCGTGGGCAAAGAATACATTCCCGGTGAAGTCGAATTGTGCCCCCGGTGGCCCATACACTGCCTTCTGCGACCCTAGTGTATCTTGGAACCCGAGCAGGATCCACGGCTGCTGCTGCGGAGTAGGCGGCGTGTACATCATTCCCGGCTGTGGAAGCGGTTGGCCGAAGGTTATGCCTTGTTGCGGTGGAGGAGAACCGTAGAAAGGCCCGCCCGGAGGTGGCGGCGATGAGTACCCGGCTGGAGGAGGAGAGGCGTAGTAGCCGCCGCCATGGCGCGAGTCGAGGTACGCTTGCGGCGGCGGGCCTGGAAAGGAGCTGTAGTGGGACTGTTGGCTGTGGTTCGGCTAGGCGGGAGACTGTTAGCGTCTTGGGCCCCCGAGGCATAGAGACACAGATATAGTGAAGACTGGCTGACCTTTTGTAGAGGCATCTTTGTTGGGAAGATGCGAATGACTCGAGTGATTTGGACGCTTATCTAGACAAGCTCGAGAAGGGTCGTCGAGGAATTAAGGATCGTGTGGCTGAAAATGCCAAGAATTCTTTGCGCGAGAGCGGCAGTCAAACCTCCTACGGTCTTGGTGGCTTCAGCTCTCGAAGACCATAAATTGGGGCTGGTGGTGAAACTGACTACAATGCGACTCTACTCGCTGTCCATCTTTTTGCTTCAATCTGTTTCAAGGTTAGTACTTGGTAACTATTATTTTTATGTATCACAGACAGAGCAGACGATCAATTTGGCCTAAAAGTTTAGATTTATGTGTACAAGACACAAACCCTTTACAGATTTTCAGCATGAAGATATCAGCAAACCGCTGCAATGCTGCGTTTAAGTGCACATGCAATCTGGGATAGAAACCACTTAGAGGAGAATAACCTTGTGAGTCCCTTTTCTTTCTTCGAAACTCAGGCTCACCTCCTCTTCGCCAAATCTCCTGCTCTGGTGCCTTGTAGTCTCTATACAAACCCTTCCATCACGACGCTCAGCAAGACTAATAAGCAATATATGTATAGTTCAGACTCCTTAATCTTGAAGGTGCGAATTCACGTAACGCAACTATGGAACTCGCTTCCCAACTACAAACCTTCACCCTCTTCCCACGACTCCCCTTCGAACTCCGCCTCAAATTCTGGTCCCATGTCTCCTCTAGCCTTTAAACTGTCACTATAATCCACCAAAACCTAGACCTAGAGTCCCCTCCCGGAGGTTTGCTAGAGAAGCCCTGATTCCGTGTCTCTTATCCTCCACATCTGTCAAGAATCCCGTTCGAAAGCGCTGAAATCCTATCATCTGTCATTTGGCTCGTATTTCCACCCCGTAAGGATATGTTTCGACTTTACCAAGCATGAAACTCTGAGATTCGGGTGTCTTTCTAAGATCGAAAAGCTGGTCGATTCTATGCTTGATGTGTTTCAGAGCGGAGATTGCTCTAGCGAGGATGTTCAGAAGAAAGTGCGGCATACAATTCTGGATATTAACGAGAGTCGTTATATAAGAACTGGCTTTTGGTGGAATGAAGTTCGTCTCTTTGTTGTGTTGAAGAGTTGACGATTGTACCTTTGGATGAGGATGAAATGGTGGACGAACTGATTGCTGAGTATCGGAATACGCTAGGGAAGATTGCAAGGGCTCGTCCTGAATGGGTAATCCCACGCATTACTATGGTTTTGAGGATTACAGGGAAGAGACGGGGAATTTTGGAAGTCGAAACGAGAGTCTGATACTGTTTAATGAACAAAGCCAGCCGATCGTTGAACGTGAGCGTTACGTATTAGATTGTTTCCATGTCTAAAAGCCGAACCTTCCTAGTGAAACTGTCCGAATCCGCTAGACATCCGTCAGCTAAGATAGAAGGAATGATACGCAATACTTACGAAGGTTGGTGAACAGGGATGGTCGTGAAGTCGTCTGAAGTCGGTGGGATGAGTGGGGTGAATGCGTCACCGATGGCTTAAAGCATTGAAGGAGGTGGCCGAGTTGAAGGCAGTCGGCTTGACCGAAACATAACATATTTAAACCACTAGGGCAACATGAGAGAGCCCTTTTGGGCTCCCGGAGACATACCTAGGTAGGTGAGTCAGGGTGAGGGATCACCCATGCGTACCGCGGCTCGCACAAGGATAGAGCGGCGACGCTCACCCTCTAGAACAGGAAAGGAAGCCCTGGAAAGGCTCGCAGATAATCCATCGGTAGGTAATTGTTCGCCAAGGAGACCGAGGTCGATATTGAAGCACCTGCCTAATACGTACCCGCCTCCCAAGACCTGCAGGGGTCTTGGGCGCGCGGATTCGGTGACGGCCCCGTACTCCACGTAAAAGTCAAACAATGAGAGGCCTATCCAGCTGCCCGAACCAGCATGGAGGGGGTACCCAGGGATATACAAACTTGTTAGTTCATGTATAAAGTGAGAAGACCCGCCCCTGGCTTGGATTGGGAGTCAATCGCCTTCACCCCCACCAGTCAGTGCCCGACCCGCAACCATGAAGCTTTCGCGAGCTGCGAGTTTCCTCTGCCTTGCGCCGCTGGCTCACGCTTGCCTTCTCCCCGAGGAGTCCGCTCACGAATCCGTGGGAGTTGTCCGCCGACAAACCACCAACAACACCGGAATACCCATCGGGAAAGCCGATCGGTTCAATGACGGCACCATTGCCCCGCGAGGACTGGGCACACAACCGCCGGGCACCGACCTAGGCACCCTCCTCAGTGTCAAAGAGATCGAAAGCGCCTTCCGGGGTCTCGCAAAAGAGTACAGCTTCGAAACCTTCGCATCCCCCTTCAAGACATATGAGAATGCGACCATCTTTGGTGGCAAGATCGGTGGCAACTCCAAAGGCAAATCTGAGTCCCCCCGCGTGTTCTTCAACGCCGCCATCCACGCCCGCGAGCGGGGCTCCTCCGACAACCTGTTGTACTTCTTGGGCGACCTGCTTTACGCCAACAAACAGAATACCGGCCTGGTTTACGGCGGGCGGACCTACACCAATGACGACGTCCGCAAAGCGTTGTCCACCGGTATCGTCTTCCTGCCTCTGAGCAACCCCGATGGCGTGGCATGGGACCAAGCGACGAACACCTGCTGGCGCAAGAATCGCAATCCGGCCGCCGCAATCCCCGGCAACGCCAACTCCATCGGCATCGACCTCAACCGCAACTTTGATTTCCTCTGGGACTTCCCGCGCCTTTTCGCCCCAACCGTCGCGCCGAACGTTGCCTCCAACGACCCTCGCGCGGCAACATACCACGGCGCCAGTGCCTTTTCCGAACCGGAGACGCGGAGCATCCGGTGGGTGATGGACACGTTCACCAAGCTCCGCTGGTTCATGGACATCCACGCGTATGCCGGAGTCGTGCTGTACAACTGGGGTAGCGACGAAAACCAGGCCAAAAAGCAGGGGATGAATTTCTTGAACTCCACCTACGATGGCGAGCGAGGCCTGATGCCGGACTCGCCGGCCGCCGGGATTGTATACTCGGAGTATGTGCCGAGCAGGGACTGGGCCGACAAGACCTACGCCGCCATGAGGATGGGCAATGCCATGGACGCCGCGGTCGGGCGGCACTATGAGGTGACGCAGTCGGCGTATCTATATCCCACCTCCGGGGCGAGCGATGACTATGCGTATTCGCGATCGTTTGCCAACCCTAAGCTGAACAAGATTCATGGCTTCACGGTCGAGTTTGGCTTCGGCAACCAGGCGGCTTCTTGTGCTTTCTATCCCACTCCGGAGCAGTACCATCAGAATCTCCTTGAAACTGGAGCGGGCTTCATGGAGTTTCTCTTGTCCGCGTCAGAGATTGGTCTTGGAGATAGAGGGAGCTATTAGTCGCTTCAACCATGATATTAGCCTGCTTATTAAAGGTGTCGCTCGCAGAGACGGAAGATATAGATGGGACCCGAATCTAGGATTAAATAAAGATATCGCTGCCTAATAGCTAGAGGGGAAGCTATATAATCTACAACTCTTTTCTAGAAGACTAACATGAAACAGTATCTAGTAGAGGTGTATACCTGAACCTCTAGAACTTGTTTGGTCGGCAGTTTGTATATTCGGGTTTTCATGTAGATGGGAATTATATAAGTCGGTTAACGTAAGAACTCGTCTTAAGTAGAGAACTCAAAGGTAAGATAGTTTCCATTTAATGAATACATTCGCAAACTCTGTACGTGATCGCAGAGTTTCTTCACGGCGGGTACCAAACCCAGAATCCGTCATTATATTTTGTCAAAGCCTGAGCTCACTATATCGTTTCCGTTCCACTCAATCAACCATGAGAGAACCGGCTCCATCGGCTTCTAGCACGACCATTTGCTCTATAGGTGCCGCTCCCAATTCCGCAAAGATTGCCATCCCTAATCGCCACCACCGTCTTGGCCGACACACCGCCGGACGTGTCGTTTACTGACATTGTCCAAGCGTGTGAATTTACGCCGTTCGCAGTCTCCTCTCAAGGTCAGCTGTACAAATTCAAGAACCAGCCCGTAGTGCATAAATTCCATGGAACCAAACAAGAATTACATGTGAGCAGGCTTGCTGGGAACTGTGCAATCCCGGTTCACGGACGAAGCATTTCTTATCGTCCCCGCCGGGGTATCAGAATGCAGGGAATCAGTATGGGTTTGGATTCTCCACTGGGTCGCACAGCCATTCAGAGTTCGAAGCGCGAGTCAATCATGCATTCGATTATCTGCTCACCTGGCGGAACTGGGCCTCGCTTGATAAGACCTTCTGATGTTGGCTCTAGGCAAGGAGGTAAAGCTTGTTTCTACCGCGAGGTGGGATCTATATGGGGCGGGACAGAATTTTGGTAGAGGAAGAGCGGTGATGTTGTCAGAACAGCACGCCTCACGCAAATGCTCCTAGTAGAAACTTAATCTTTTCACATTACGATACACCTAATGGATAAGGTCTATCTCTAGAGCTGCATCAGATGGTCTTGTCAAGCGAGGTCGAATTCCGCTATGCGAGCAGATATACCACATATCTAACTGTTTATGGCAACATCAAGCCAAGTAACATGCTCCTCTGCTGCGATGGAACGTTCCAACATTATCCGGGTTGCAAAAGTCTCCGGTTGGTGGATAATCTGGCCCGGGGGTTCTTATTCCCGCTGCCAATGTGCCCTAACAGCCGTTTGAAGTGGCGGGCGGCAACGGTTTCGCGGCGTCGGCCCGCTAGCGTCACGATCACTGCATGTCTGGATGAGAAGAAGAGCTCCGACCCCGCGTTCAGTCGCCGACACCCCACGGGGATCAGCAACGTTGTTTCCAAAAGGTAAGGAAGCTGGGGTAGTCAGTGGGCGAGTGCCCGTCGCCGCAGGCGGATGTCTGTCCTATCTTGACGCCGAAACCCCAGCAACCTCGGACTTCTGCCCGTTGACTATCGAGTATATCTGCGATGTTTGATTGTTTGAAAACCTCGTCTGCTTCAAACCTTTCCGAGCCCTTCTCGACGCCGCGCAGAGTGTTTCAACGTTGTCATTCCCAGACATCCTCTAGCCTCTCAATCTTATCACGAAGTAAATACTGGATTGTATCTCTGCCTACCATGCGCTTCCTTTCTCGTAGCGGTACCGCAGATCCGTCTGCCTCAGGTGTACACCCTCAGATCGATGATACTCTTCACACGAGTGATGGACCGAAATCCGCGTCCTTCTTTCAGGAGAAGCTTGCCCCAACATCGGGCCGGAGACTCTCTCGTACCGGCGACGGGGACACTGCCCTGGCTCTCTTCGGATCTCCAGACGAACTCCATGAGCCTATCGATCCTGCCGAAGCGAAACGCCTTGTGCGCAAGATTGACTACATAATATTGCCCTATCTTGCAGTCTGCTACGCGTTCTTCTATATCGACAAGACCACGCTCTCGTACGCCGCCATCTTCGGGATACGGGAAGACCTCAATCTGGTTGGAACACAGTACAGCTGGTTAAGCTCGATCTTCTACTTCGGCTTCCTTGCTTGGGCTTTCCCGACGAACTTCCTCCTACAGAAATTTCCTGTCGGCAAATATCTGGGCTTCAACATCTTCATGTGGGGGGCTCTTTTAATGGCTCAGGCAGCAGCGACGGTAAGTACACCGGAGTCGCCAGAAACATACGTCCACAAGGGCCGCAATTGGCTTCGTGGCTTCCAAGAATCCATCTTAGTCGAAGCTCAAGCTTACAATTCTTTTGCAGAATTTCACGACGCTTGCTGTCCTTCGTGCACTTTCTGGCGCCGCCGAGGCCTGCGCCGATCCAGCTTTCATGCTCATCACCAGCATGTGGTACACTCGCCGACAGCAGCCTATTCGAATGGGGCTCTGGTACACTGCGAACGGCTTCGGCATTGCCCTTGGTGGACTTCTGGGCTACGGTATTGGAAGCATCAAATCGTCACTGCCGTCGTGGAAGTGGGAGTTCATCATCATCGGCGCCTTATGTTCGATCTGGGGGATCGTAATGTTCTTCATGCTCCCGGATAGTCCTGTGACCGCACCGATGCTCAGCCAAAGGGAGCGCAAGATCGCCGTCGAGAGGCTTAGGGAGAACCAAACGGGTATCGAGAACAAACACCTTAAACTGTACCAGGTCGTCGAGGCTCTCAAAGATCCCAAGACGTACCTGCTTTTCACTCTCGGCCTGGTCGGCAACATTCCCAACGGCGGCATCTCCAACTTCGGCACCATTATCATCAGAGGCTTTGGATTTAGTACCCTTGTTACAACGCTGATGCAGATACCATACGGTTTCATCATCGCTATATCCATCCTCTCCTGCGTCTATATCAACGACTATCTGGCAACGAAGCATGGCAAAAATACTCGGTGTTGGTTCATCCTGCTATACCTGGTTCCCAACATTGCTGGTGCGTTCGGACTGCGCTTCGTTGGCACAGAGCACGGAGTCGGCCGCCTCATCTGCTACTACCTAACCGGCCCGTACAATGCGTCGTTCGTGCTCATTCTCAGCTTGACCACCGCGAACACGGCCGGCCACACGAAGAAGGTGGTAACGAACGCCGTACTCTTCCTCGGCTACTGCGTGGGCAATATCGCCGGGCCGTTCTTTTACAGGTCCGACCAATCGCCGACCTACTCGCTCGGCATTTGGTCAATGATTGTAAGTCACCTCATTGAGGTGGTGACGGTCCTCGTCCTCCGTTGGATATTGAGCAGGGAGAACCGGAGGAGGGACAAGGCTATGGCGGAGAAGGGAGCGGTGCCTGATTTGGATGCTACGGCCTTTGGAGACATGACGGATTGGGAGAACGAGAACTTTAGATATGTTTACTGAGATACTGGTCTTGACCAGCCTGAACCGAGCAGCGACGGTAGATTAGCGAATCTCTTTGCCAAATCCCCAGCAAAAGTCTTCATGATGTCGCGCGGTGCCGCACTGCCGGAGTAAACTCGGTATGCAGATTGTCGGGGCACGCCTATGATTACTACTGAAGATACTTAATAGCGAGTGTGTTGCTCTAGCGCAGCAAGACGCAAGTTCATCGAGTCGGATATGGTAGTTAGCAGGGAGGGATACAAATGCAGGTTAGGCTGATCGGAGCAGAATCGCTCCGGCACGCCTTGCGCTTGGCGTGGAGGAATGCGAGGACGGGTTAGCGCGTTACTCCACGTGCAGTGACTGACCAGCTTCAACGTCGACAGGTTTATCCCCCAGCAGCTGGGCTGTGCTCGTTCAAACCGCAATCTCTTCCGAAACCGTGCTCGTACTGCGCCTCAGATAACTGGGCAGAGTCGTGACGTATCGATTTAGTGTGCAGAGGTACTTGACATGAAGGTTATCATCGTACCGCCGCCGTTTAGGCAACTATACATTCATCGAACCCGATATCATGTATTGAAGCGCAGTGCTGTCGAAAGAGAATCAGCTATCGATCATAACGGGAGTGCGCTGCGAAAATGAGCCAGTCCAGAGACCAACAGCTACATCAACCGCGAGATCCCCCGGGCCTTACCCAAGCCGCAGGTAGAACAAGGCGGATCAAAGATGTCCGCCCGCACCGCCGGGTCCATACGAAATCACGCCTCGGATGCCAGAACTGCAAAGTGCGCAAGGTTAAGGTGAGTTCCCTCCGAACGGGACCTCCCGAGCATGTGACTGCCAGCATCTCACCAGGAGACTCTCTCAGTGCGATGAATCGAAGCCGGAGTGCAACAGGTGCTGTGCTTTCGGCGTTTCCTGCGATTACGTTGCAGTCGCAGCGATGACTTTGTCCTCTCGAGAAGAGCGCATGTTGGATTCGCCATCGTCCTCGTCCTCGAACCTGAGCTCCTCATGCTCCGCAAATGCCATGATTATCGACGCGATCAATGGCAGCCTCAGACACGGCGCGAACGGCGCTCTGCACCACGTGTTCGATGGTGCAGACCTCCAGAGACTCCACCACTTCCAAACTATTACCGTCTGTACCCTGGCCACTTCCAGCATATCGCGGGTTTACCAAGCCGAGATTGTCAAGCTGGCATGTTTGGTCAGTAGTACACCTGTCTGGCTCCAGCTCCACGTCTCACATCGCTTAGCACCCGCATCTCCTGCATGCGGTCTTGACTATAGCAGAAATGCACTATCGATATACCACCTCGGACAGGGCTTCGCCTGCCGAGCTCTATCACTGGCAGAAAACAACCTCTCTTTTCAACCAAAAGTTGGCTCACCCCATCAAGACCGAGGATGCTGATGCAGTCTTCGCGACCTCGACACTTTTAAATGGCATCTCCATGGGTTCAATCGAGACCGATCAGTATCTTGATGCATGGCCGTTGAAACCATCCTCACATGACCTTCAGTGGCTCCGGATGCAAGGAGGCATCAAGCTCATGGTGCTAGCAGCTCAACCATGGAGGAAAGGGAGTGTTTTCGAGAACTTGATATCCGAAGGCGACGACGGTCTATCCACGTTCACAGACACGCGGCTAGGAATTGCAGGTATACCAGCACCGTTCGTCAGTCTATGCGACCTCTCTGTTCTTTCTACAGTTGAGAACAACCCATACCATGCACAAGTGCGTATGCTTTGTCCTCTGCTCTCCATGGAGTGCACGAGGGAGACGCTCATGGAGCATCTCAATTTCATTGCCGAGATGCGGCCGGAGTTCCTCGAGTTGCTGCAACAGCGAGACGCGCGAGCGTTGCTCATCCTGGGCTACTGGTACGGACTTGTGTGTCGTTGCAGCCAGGTTTGGTGGTTGACGCGACGGGCGTCAGTCGAATGCATGGCGATTTGCTCCTTCCTGGAAACGTCCGAAGACTCCAGGATACGCGAACTTTTGGAAATCCCGGCCCGAGCATGTGGATATCGTCGCGTCCAGCCCACGGCTACGTTCGACACACAGCCGCTACTCGCACCTGACATTTGCAGAATGATGTGACATCTCTCTCGAGACTACAGGTCCTTATCCGCTCCGGCTGAGTGCAACGGGTTTTTGACCAGGTAGAGGGGAGACAGCTGAGGAATATTTGAGACGAGTAACACTAAATGACGAAGGGATTCAAGGATCTACTTTGTTATATTTCTATCCTTGAGAAGCAGGGCTTAGTAATCTAAAATGCAAGATGATCAAAAATGCTTTACTGCCATGCCTTCTTGTTCTGCTGCACCCATTCATCAAACTTGAGCGGAGGCCGTCCAGAAATTCGCTCCACAGCATTGTCCGACCTCTCTTCATCTCCCCTGGCAGCAGCAGCCTCAAGGTAAGACATGAAGTTTGCGAACTGGTCCGGCAGGCCCAGTTTCAGATACCGCTGAGCAGATTCCTCCTCTGAGAGTTTGACGTGCACGATCTCGCGACCTAGGCCGCTGCTGAGCTTTGCCGCAATCTGCACGGACACTGTCAGCGGCTACATTCGCGTACTATTTTGAGTCTAGAAGCGATGTACCTCATCGTGAGTCAACAGCTCAGGTCCCAAGACCCTGTGATCAGTATTGTGCGGCTTCCCGTCCGTAAGCGCATGAAACGCAACGGCCGCGATATCCATAGCGCTGATAAACGGGATCTTGCCGTCCCCACACGCCGTGTAGATCTTGCCCTCGTCTTTGATGGTGGCCAGATGCTGCCACTCCGAGAAGTTCTCCATGAACCAGGTGGGGCGCAGCACGCAGAACTCCAGGCCGGCATCGATGAAGCGCTGCCATATCTGCCCGACGTGGTGACCGCCTGGCTCCGTCGAGCTGCCGGCTAGCAAAACAAATCTCTTGACGCCCTTTGAGACGGCGAGGTCAATGAGGGCGTTCAGTGCGGGTACTGGATCGGTTACTGCAGGCGCAATGAGGTAGACTGCGGATATGCGCTCTCCATTAGGAAATTCGTAATGGAAGGGGTTCTCAAAGGTGGAGGAGTCAAGCCAGTCGAATTTGGATGCTGGCATTCCGGATGGAGCTCCGGTCTCAGCGTTACGAGAGGCTAGGAGGAATGGGATATTTGCATCTTGCAGCAGGCGTGCAATGCGCGTGGAGGTTTTGCCCGTGCCGCCTGTCAGAAGGATTGCCATGATTAGAGGCTAATATCCAGTGTCTCCGAATTGCTAAGTTCCTCGCTGGTGAACTGTCGAGCCAAGCTGTTGTGTAGCTGGCTCGCTGAATCCTATATAAACAAGCAGAGTGATTATGCTCGGCGCCTCGAGGACGAGATGACACTAAATCCGAATCTCGCGGCGCGAGTGCTCGTAAGTCCGTGGCCAGCCATTGTCGCTATCTTGCAGCTCATCCACTGGCATCATTGGTTCCAACAATCAAAGGATTGTGAGAGACGCGTCAACTTGTAGAGATCGTGCATGATGGTGATGATGCAATTGGCAGCGGACTTAACCATCTCTCAGGCCTTAACTCCGTAATCCCTGCACGACCAACCTCAATGGCATTTTTGGACGCTACATCCTTCGAAATTGTACATATCGACCCGCCTCAACTTTTGAGAATCATCAAACCTCCACGAGTAATACCGGCGAATGAAGCAGTCCGAAGGAGCACTTTCGTTAAATCGCTACCGTCCTGCCGCTCGCCATGGTTCTTCCAAGCGTCCGAGACCGATTGTTTCTCGGATTATCAGCTTCTGGCTTTGGGGCAGCACGAGACTTTGGAGCAACTTTGCGCCTGGGCATGATGGCTGAACCGTTGCTGTCGGGCCGGAGGGTAGTGGTTGAAAGCTATGAGAGCATGTGTTGCAAAGATGAATAACAAAAGTTTGTGCAGCTCGTGAAGTGCCCATCGCGGTCGGTTCACGTTCTTATTGAGATCAAATTCACTCCGGGTGATGACTCTGGGCGGGCGGGTGAATAGATCTTCGGACTATTCGCCTGTCAATGGTGCTAAGATACCTTGCAGGAAGTGAGGTCGGTGGAGACGGAATTGAATATTAGATGCTAGATTTAGTAGGGTGTACACGATTGGCTAAACGCAGCCCTTTGCAACAGTATGAGCACGAAGGGAATCATGGTATATGCTGTCAAACTAAACGTGTTCGGAAAGATTATTGGAGCTCATGTCGAAGTGGTTTCATCTGTATGCTAGCGCGAGTTCCATGATTGAGAGTTGTGAGCCATAGTTCGTCGCAGCCGGCGTTACACTGATACCAGCGGTGTCTCACATCTTCCAAAGTGATGGTTATGAAAACACTATGACACTTAGACCTAAGCTGTGGGAAGACGGGAACTTTTCGACATCTTACTTGCCGCTTCCCGGGATTGTAAGGATGAAAAGGCAGTACAGCGCATGCTGCCAGAATCTTTAAGTGGAATTTCCGAATTCCCCAACCATGCGCCTTATTCCAGCCAAAATGCAACGCAAGAACCAAAACCCAGCGAATCACGCTGCAAAAATTGCCCTGGTGGATGTCAAATGGAAAGAATTTATCCTGCTTGGATCCCCATGAGAACGTCGCAAGCCCGTTCCGTCGTAACTCTTGAAGTGCTGAGCTGACCGTTCTCAGTTCTCGAAGGCAGCTGTTTCCAGTTGGAAAGCTCCCTGGGTATCGCGGCCCTCAATTCCTGATCGGATGAGATAAGACTTCGTGCCGGTCTATCGGTCCAGTAAATCCTTCAGCTGTGCAAAAAACAGCTCCCGTGCATCATCAACTTGCGCGCATCTGCCATCGCGGTCGTGGGACCATGCACCCTCTGTTATGCATTCGTCATCAATATCGAGGATATCAAGGGCACCTATCTTGTCTCCCGTTGCGGCGCCGACTGCTTCAAGCCATGGGTGGGCGTCTCGATAAAAGCACTTGGCCAAATCGAATGAGTTTGCGTCGGTGTAGAAGTCTGGCTCGTCACAGTTTATTTTGAGGTGAGTGAGCCGGGTGCATTGGGCGAGGAGGTTATACGCAGCATAAGCATGCCTAGATTGGTGTGTTTCATGGATCCAAATGTCTTTCAGCCAAGCTCGTGAGGGGCCGATCTGGGAAAGAAAGTTCAACAATCCTTTCATACCCTTGACGCCAAAGGTGTTGACGCTATACAAGATTGGTGTAGCTTCTCCACGGATCTGTTTGTTCACGCCGAGTAGCCTAGGTGCTGGGACTGGGTCGCTGGATTCTCCGGCTTCCATGAAGTAGCGTGCGGTTACGCGGCGATTCTTCTTCACAACAGCTTTGAGGCAGATGAAATGCCTGCCGAGATGGTCGATCTTAGCCAGGGCGTACTCGTATATTTGGTTTCGGAGCTCGCCAGGAAGTTGGAGGAAAGGAAAATGGCTGATGTCAGAGGGACCATGGCTAACTTCGGGTTCCGTGCTGAAAAGCTTGCGTCTCTGGAAGTACAATCAGTGTGTTTCACTTCCCACCAACTAGAGTGCATATTCTACCTTCCGATCAGATCCCGGCTCTGAAGCAGCTTCCGATTTCGGCATGATCGCTCAAGTCTAGATGCCAGAGCGGAAGAGGCTGGTGTAGGGTTGCGGGAGTGACTGTTGCAGGACGGATGACAGAAGCCTCCGCTGCGGTGAAGTAGCTGTCTCGCTCCGTTCATTCTCCTGCTTACGTCATGTTCACTCCTACTCTACGGCAGAAGGTGTTGTGGTCTGGGGAGAGTCTGTCGTGATAATGGGACCAGAGCAACGCTCGCTTCCGGTTGTTGCGGAGCCGAGTTGAGTCGAGGCTCTACATATATAACTGATCTGGTGATAGAGTTGGAAAGACGGAGATCCGGAGCAGTAGTCGGACCAGGAGAGGTGTCAGAAAGCCCTTTCAGGGTGGCATTATTACACTCGCAGGGTTGCTGTCAAGGAAGGATGGGGACGAACGTATGAGTGAAAGGTGTAGGAGGCTTTGTGGCGAAAAAAAGAACGACAAACTCTTTCACCAAGGTGAAATATCTGCCGGTTTGCTCTTAGGAGTTACGTCATCTTCATTTCGTCTTTCGCTGTGTTGAAGTATATGGAGCTGCGTGGGGTTCTGTGGATAACTGAGATTGTACTGAGTTCTCAAGTTGTGGTGGCTTTTTGTTGAAGGACACAGTGGAAAGTGAGGGGAAATGAAGCCAATGCCGCAGGGACTAGAAGTCTATCCGCCCATACGTGCACGCTCTCAACTAACTCTCGTCGCAAGTGCAGAAGCTCTGCTTGAACTGGAATGAAAGAAATTACGTCCCAATGCTGACCCAAGTTCTAGATGCCGACATAGCCATCAAAGCAGACTCATTTGAGGATGGTGCAAAACGGGATTGCCGCTCCTCCTGGCAGCAGAATCGGAAAACAAGAGATGAAGCAAAGGTACCGTGAGCTGACGATGAATCCGCAATCGAAGCACGCTCTCAATACGAGTCAGCAGTTTGGTTCTCCACGCTGATGTGAGCTCCAGAATCATTAACGCAACTTGCCAATGTCGAGAGCCTTGCAGCTGCTCAATTTTCGAGTCGCCGAGTGCTGAGCTTACACTCATAGCTCATGATATTGGTTGACCGCAAGGATTGCAGGATGCGATTGACGCGCATCTCGAGACGGGAGCGCAAGCTCTGCGCGTGCAAAGCATACTGCGCTCGTAGTTTGCGTGCGCGTTCGGTGACTGACGCGTCTGTTAGCCGGGGAGAAAGTATCTCCGGGACCGAATCCTGCTGGAGTTGCTGTTAAGGAGCTTCTTCAGCTTCGTGAAGAACTCCTCGCGCACTCGAATGTCGTCTGCACCGAAAACTTGATTAAGTTCGTGCTTAGTGTCCGGGCTTCGAATCGTGATACAGTCCAGGTGAAGCATCTCGAGGGCAGCAAGGTTATCCCTTCTTGCATAGCCAACAGCTTCGAGCCATGGCTGGGCATCTCTGTAAAAAGCTCTCGCAATTGTTCTCCCACGTTTCCCTTCGTAGAAACCCTCGGTACAGATCGCTAGCTTGGTGAGCCGCGTGCATTGCGCAAGCATTGAGAATGCACCGTATGCGGATTCGCGCATATAACCATCGCCCAGCTCGATGTATTTGACGTAAATGCGCGATTTACCGATCTGCGAGAGAAAGCACAACAAGGCGTCGCAACCGTCAAACAGGAAGCGATTGTTGCTATAGAGAATTGGTACAACCTCTTCGTGAACCATCTTGCTCGCAAGAAGCAACCCAGTTGAAGGGACTCTTCGCCTGAAGCGGCGGAGGAGGAAGCGGTGACAGTGATGCTCGTAGTAAGACAGATTGACCGACGATGGAGCTACTAAGACATGGCCATAAATCTGGGCACGAAGCTCGGTAGGAAGTTTCATGAACGGGAACGGCTCGACCTTCGTACACAAGTCGCTTTCCTCGCGCTCCTACACAGTGCTGGTTAGGATCTCTTCGGGTACTTGCCGATTGAGGAGCAGTACTTACTGTTGGGCTGGGCGCAGACGCGCTAGCCTCCGAGTCCGATGTGCTGAGATCCGAGTCCGATGTGCTGATATCCGACTCATCCGAGCCCAACTCGCTGCTCTCCGAGTCCAACATCGTAATACCTGAGTCTGACACGCTCTCCTCTGCATCTGACACGCTCTCCTCTGTATCTGTATCCCACATGATGGCTTGGGTGGGACACAAGAGGGCCGCAGAATATGGCGACTACTGGTATTGTTGTGAGAGAGATGGGGGCTGGGTTAGTGCAGTTGAGTCCGTGCTTACGTCATCCAACTAGCTGTAATCTTAGCATGACCGGAAATGAACAACTGTGAAAGCCAGCTTCGCTACTGTCGCTTGCTGTGCGGCCGTTTGAAGATTGTTAAAGGCTAAAACCATGTTTTACACATTAATGTGACGTTTAAGATATGACTAAATAGTACTAAAAGATTCAGCATAGCTGCAGCTATCTAACAATTAAAACTAAGAAGGGTAGCGGCGTTATGTAGCTGATAATCTACTAAAATATATAATTTTTCGTTGCTAAGGCGGCCGCACATTTTGCAACCGACAGTAGTCTGAAAGATCTTACGCACAGCTACACCTTCACCCGACTCACTACAGGAACACCAGACCCTCCTGCCGCCACCAGCCAGTGACCAGCGCATCAACCAAAGAAAGCCGTGATGGCAACAGCCCGCGAAGCAACGACCGGTGCCTCCGACTTTGGCATGCTCCACGACCTCGCGCACGAACTAGAATCTCGCCATGAGCCGCGCTCAGAGCGCGTGAAGCAGCTTCACACGTCCGCATTCGAGCCCATGGTGCGATCTCGCAATGCGCCGGAGACGGGCCTGCCCGGTTGGCACGAAGCTGTTGGATGCTTCCTCGTCCTCTTTAGCGCCTGGTACGCAGAATCCCCAGTTCGAGAACATCGGTCAGCTGACCATTGGATCATGTCGCAGGGGCCCCGTCAACGCCTTCGGAGCTTTCCAAGCGTACTACGACACAGTCTACACCCCGCAACAAGAGGTCTCGTTAGCCTTGATCTCCTGTATCGGCTCCGTGCAAGCATCCCTGGTTCTCTTCTTGGGGTTCGCCGCCGGCCGGCTCGTCGATGCGGGACACTTCGACTATGTGGCTGTCTTGGGCTTCATCCTTACGGTGGCAGGATGGTTCGGGGCTGCTGTGGGCAAGCAGTACTGGCACGTACTCTTGACGCAAGGCCTCTGTGTAGGCGTCGGTTCGGGCCTTGCCTTGGCGCCGGTGGTTCGGATTATGGAAGTTCCTGGGCCTGGCCGGTTGGTCTTCAATGTCTCTGCCATGGGCGGCAGTATCGGTACGTGCGGGATTTCAGAACTGTGACGGAAACGCTGACAGCAGATGGCAGGCGGCATCGTCTTTTCGTTGCTTGTCGGCAAACTCGAACGCCGGATCGGCTGGGCCTGGGCAGTCCGTACAGTGGCCTTCGTGACAGTTGTGCCGCTGCCCATTGGCCTGGCTATGCTGCGCTCGTCCCTTCGCCCGAGACTCAGGTCGGCAAGGCGGGCAGTTGATATCACAGCATTTTCAGATTCGCCATACTTGGTGATTGTCGTCGCGCTTGTCCCAGCGCTAATGGCCTTCTTCGTACCGTTCTTCTACGTCCAAGGCTTTGCGATGAAAATCAGCCTGGATTGGGACCTTTCGGTATATTCGCTTGTGATCATGAATGTCGCGAGCCTCGTCGGAAGGGTGCTGGGCACTGCCGTCGCGGAGGGCTGTGAAAGGTAAGCAAGCGTTGCCAGCTTAGCATCATCCTCTGCCTACTCAACGCTAACAACTGTGACAGGTCCACCTCTTTCGGCGGGCTAATGGCGTTCACCATCTCATCCGGCATCATAGTCTTCCTATGGTTGCTGGTCGATTCGACCGGATTCCTGTTCATCGTAGCTGCGCTATACGCGCTGAACTCTAGCGCTATGCTGGCAGTGATACCAGCCGTAGTCGCCTATCTCTGTCCCGATCCGACAAGGTTGAAGACCCGTATCCGGATGATGTGGTCTCTCGGGTCCATCGGAGTTCTCGTCGGACCGCCGCTCGCAGGAATATTATACGAGTACCAGAACAGAGACGCTGATCCTGCGCATCGAAGCAAGGGGGGCTTGAGCTTTGATGGTCTTCTGGTTTTTGCTGCTTCGATGCTGATACTGTCGGCGGTGCTGATGGTGGGTGCGAGGCTTCTGAAGAGCCGCGGAGAACGCTAAGACAGCCGCTTGAGGCATGTTTCAACTAGCTGTGGTGTGACCGATAGGAGATTGGCATATCTCTGAACTTGACTTGGAGTGCTTATGGGATACTGGATATCTCAAGAGAACGGAATCTAGCCCATTGAGCGAGTAACAGTACGGCTTTTAGGATGTATGATTGCCTAGAAAAGACAGCGGACACGTCGGAGAAGTAGGCAGATGAAATGTTGCTTGGATCACCGACGGGTCGACTGCGCATTGCAGTAGAGTCTCATCGAGAAACTGACTTTGAAAGTGACTACTTGAACCTGCCAAAGATCCTCAAGCGTCGTCCTCGCTCTCCGCTCCCTCTTCCTCCCTCTGCCGCCTCGCAAGCACCTCCTTCCACTGCTCCGCAAACTCCCTCAACCCGCTCTCACCGCCCCGACTCGCATCCACAACATCCCGTGGCAGCTTATGCGCGCTATACTGCGGAGTCGAGAACCCGTACGCCTCCGGGTCGTCCTTCCTCACCAGCCGGAGCTCCGGCACAAAAACCTCCTCATCCGCCTCTTCTTCTTCCGTCTCAGTATCCGAGCCTTCGTCCTCACCCGGCGCGGGCATCTCCAGCAGCTCCAGCCAGCTGAACAACAAAGGATCTGTTCGCTGTGCCCAGGGGTTGATGTCGATGAGCCAGACCTTCTCGTGAGGTGGGGGGACGTAGACGTCGAAGACGAAGTTCTCGTCGGGAAAGGTATCTCTGAGCCTCACGTCGAAGAACTCCTGGATCTTGGTGGTGAGATGACTGCGCAAGCTGAAAAGGAAGTCGAAGTGGTTGAGGTCACGCTGGCAGAGGGCTATTAGGCGACGCTTGCGTACGAAACACCGAAACTCGAGGGAGGGGTTTAGCTGGAAGGATTTGCGGAGGATGAGGTGGTAGGGGATATCGTTTAGGGTCTGCGGGCGCGTCGTAATGTCGCGGTCGTCATCCTGCGCTTCGCCGTCGGTGGAGCTTGTCACCGTTTTGGTATTGTCGTCCTCGCAGTCATCAAACGCATGCTCCAAATCATGCGTGACGAAATCACTCGACTTGAGGAGTAGGTACACATCGTTCGGCGTCCGGCACTCCATGCTATTGGTAGCATTGATCCACGTCGCATCTTTCGGCGCCGACCAGTTCAGTTTTGGCATGACCTTCCCACCGAGCTCTTCTATGATATCTCTAATCGATTGATGTATCTCGCGCCACTGCGCCGAGGGATCTTGGTCCTCGTCATCGGACGTATCGGAGGCGTTATCGGTGGAGGAGAAGATGCCACTGTCGGAGTCGGACCAGTCTTGGTCGGAGGGGTCTGGGGGAAGGACTATACCATCCGCGCGGAGGTAGGAGAGGAAGGGGGGCGTGAGAGGGAGGAGCCGCGCTTTGGGGGTTATGGTGCGGTAGCTGGGAGGAGGTGAGTGGGTTGAACGGCAACTATTTGGCGATGTACGGACCTACCGTGGGTGCCATGAGTGGTAGGAGCAGTTAAGGATGTGGGTCTTGGTGACGGGAGGGAAAGGGAGGCGTGTCAAGGGCTCGGAGTGGTCTTCCCGGGTAGGAGCCGTCGCGTCCATAATCTTCTGCGGTGAAGTCTGAGAGCTGAAGGACGTAGATGGATCCTGAGTCCTTAGTGCTTGTTCGAAAAGATAGTGACTCCGCCGGGGCAGGACGATGCGTGGTGTAGTAGAAGTTGAGACAGGAGTCATAAGCCTCCGGACGAAACGATGACCACCGCGGGGCAAATTTCGCGTCACTCCGCGACACCTCCGAAGTGCTCCGCCAACATCCACCATTCCACCAGACTCCGCAAGTTCCCCTCTACAACGCCTCTCAACACTGTCCTCTGCCGCTTCAAACCCATACACCCCCACCATGTCCTCCAACGTCGGCCTCTCGACCCCCCGCGGCAGCGGCACCTCCGGCTACGTCCAGCGCAACCTCTCAGCCCTCAGACCGCGCGACAGCACCGCGCCCTACCCGAAAGACTTCGACAGCCTCAAGCACAGGCAGCGGCAGCCGGACAAGGAGATTCTCGAGCATGACCGGCGGCGGGAAATTGAGGTCAAGGTGTTTGAGCTACGGGATAGGCTTGAGGATGAGGGGTATGTGGGTTGTATTCTTTGTTTGGCGAATGGGCTATGGGCTATGGGTGGGATACTGGATGGTTAAAGAGATGTAGTGCTGACGGGTCACGTGGAACAGGGTTGAAGAGGACGACATCGAAGACCAGTGCACTGCGCTACGCAAGAAGCTGGAGGCGGAGCGCAAATGCGGGAAGGAAAGCACGGATGCGAGGGGCCTGAAGTCGCACCAGGTGCATGAGCTGGCGAAGGCGAAGATTGAGGAGAGCGAGAAGCTTCGGAAGGCGTTGGGGATCCGTGAAGATTATGAGGAGGGCGGGCACTGGAAGAAACAGCAGGAGAAGTACAAGGCGTCCGTGATTGAGAATGGAAGGGAGGACGTGAGGAGAGACGAGGATAACGAGTGGTAATCTGGTTGGATGGATCTGGCGTTGCTGCGGAGTTCAAGCCTGCTGGGGACAGGGACGGCAGGCGTTCTTGGAGTGTGCGGAATGGATTGCTACGGAGCTATTTCAACATCAGATACCCTGAGCTCTATCAAGTTTGTTCGTGTTCATGATCAAGAGTTCTGATTGTTCTTATGCGAAGCCACGTTTTGCAATTAACTCCGAACAGTCACCCCGAAGACGAGTCTGTATTGATCTACACTTTCTCAATCTTTTGTAGCGGGTCTCTCTGACAACGCCTACACACAAATTAACTACAACTTATGCTTCTTCTCCCCCGCCGCAATCTTCCTAAACTCCTCCTGCGGCACCCCCTTCAAGAACCTCTCCAACCCCCCGATAACCTCATGCACGCCCTGCGCATCCAACACCTCCCTCTCTGGCCGCCTAATTAGCGCCTTGATCTTCAACAAGCTCTCCTGATTCAGATGCTCGCCCAGCCTATCATCCACCTCCTTGAGCACCTCAGCCAGGAACTTATCACTCGCCTTCGCATCCCCCACATCCACGATCTTGTTCACGAAGCCCGTCGCCACGAGCTCCTCGGCCGTGATCTTCTTGCTCATGATCAGCGCCTCGTTCGCCTTGCTGATTCCGAGGCGTTGTACGAAGGCACGGCTTGCGCCGCCCTCGGTGACGAGCCCCAGCGAGCTGAAGGGCGTCAAGAGGAAGGCGTGCGGGGCTGCGTAGATGAAGTCGGAGAAGGCGATTAGGGCGGCCGAGAGCCCGACTGCGGGGCCGTTGAGCGCGGTCACGAGGATCTTAGGGTGCGTGTAGAAGGCGTGTGTGATGTGGAGGTTGTTGGCTACGAAGGACTTGAGCCAGTGGCGGCGGGCGTCTTCGCCTTGGGGGGTGGAGCGGGAGATGGAGACGTCGGCGCCGCTGTTGATGCGGGGGTTAGTGGGATGTACACGTAGGGAAGGGTGTAGGGTAGGTGTACGCAGAGAAGAACCGGCCCTTGGCTGTCAGGACAGTGACGGAGATGTCATCGCGCGCGGCTATCTCGTGCATGCAGCATGCGAGGCGGTAGTATAAATCCTGGTTGAGGGCATTGAGCTTCTTCTCCTGGTTCAGGGTGATGATAGCGACGCGGCCGCGGTATTCGAGCGTCACGGCTTCTTCGGGGCTCATGTCGGCCATTGTGGAGTGCTGTTCGGTAGAGTGGTTGAGAAAGCTGTGTCTTAGAGGTACAGTAGTGTCTATCTACAGAGACAGCGTCTATATAGTTGGAAGTTCGTATCTAGATTTCAAAGCAAGTCTGTTACATTGTCAATATGGGGTTGCGGGATCGCTAGACCGAGCTTGTGGTTTGAGCCGAGGTATGTTTCGTAGGGCTGGTAGGGCTGCATCTTTGTGAATCTTATCTTATCCAGATCTGGCTAACGCTTCGAGGTTCTTGACGCGCCTCATCAAGTCGCCGAAGTACCGCAGTCCGTACCGCATCAACGAGCTTGCCCGATCTCTGCAGTGTCAAGGAGGCCTTGGTAGGCTTCTCGGGAACCGGACAGTCAATATGGGAGGCCCAAATCTTGAGGTCTTCAAGGTATGAAGCGTTCGCGATCAAACTCACTTTGATATGCGCCACTGGACTCCGATGGCTAACAGTGCACCGTAGTTTGGCATGTATATCCTCTTTCCCATCGGCGTCATGTATTACTTCGGAACGAACCTAGACCAGCGGTTCACCGTGCCTGGTACGCCTCAGTCAACAGATAACTTCAGCGCAGTTCACTAATGGAGGACAGATTTCTGGCCGAAGGAAGGGCAGACCCACAAGATCCCGTTTGAGAAGGATGAGATTAAGGATGAGATTGAGAGGCTGAAGAGGAGAAGGCTTGAGGGGAGGGATCGACGGTTACGCGCTGAAGCCATGCGCCGAGAAGCGGAGGGAACGGGCGATGGAATGGGCGAAGAGTGATTTCTGGTATCAAGATTGAAGGAACTGGAGTCAAGTGAGCGCGTTGCATCACGAGGATTGTCATTCCCCAAGGGAAAGCATTGGGTGGCGTTGATGTGATGGACTGCTTGGGGCGTTCGGAGAACGTTGAAAGACTGTACATTTATGTTACAGTACTGTACAATCACACCGCAAGTCTACTCTGCAGGTCTGCCCAGGTGGCATCACTTATGTTGCCCTGTGACGCATTCATGTACATGGCTTGTACACCAGATATGTCTTGCAACTTCTCCGCGAACCCACTCAACGCCTGTGCAGCCTCCTCATCAGAAATCTCTACTTTCGTGTCCTCGTTTGGATCCCAGATGATTTCTGACTCTTCCACCTCCAAACCTAGGGCACCTGACAGAGTCTCCCCTGTCCCCTTCGTGTCCGCCGGTTCCGTGAAGACGACGACTCTGCCGTCCGCTCCTTCAACTACGTCCAACACACCAGGGGCAGCTTCCAGCGCGGTATCCAGAACCTCATCGGCGCCTAAGCCCTCCTTTGGCTTGAAAATTATCTGTCCCTTCTTCTCGAAAAGATAGTTGGTCGGCGTGACACTGCCTTGGTGTTGCTTAATGAGGTGCCGTATGTCTGCTAGTATTCGAAGCTTGTTGTCGGTCAGACAGTCGATGACTACGGCGACTGAGGGAGGAAAGATGGCCTCGACAGTGACTGGCTCAAGGGCTGCGCCAGAGGCCGATACGCCTTGGCCACGTGCAATGGCTGATTCGATGTTGGCTTTTGGAACGCCTGCCTTCTTTGCTAGGCTGATCGCTAACGCGAGGCGAGCGTTGGTATTGGGATCAGGGCCATAAACTGGACAGGGTCAGAAGGCGTTCTATAGCAGGCGGGGCTTGACAGCTTACATTTCGACGCGTTCGCTATCTCATGACTGAAGACTGAACGCTGCTTGTTCTTCGCCGCATCGTTCTTCCCCTTGTCATGCTTGATCGTCGCCCATTTGCTGTGTCCTGACTGCAGAGACGTTCTGGTCGAGAAGGCTCGGGGTTTCCGACATAGCTGACAGACATAGTTGTCTGCCGGCAAAAGACTCCGTAGCAGCCGCGTCGAAGGTGCGAACATTGACTGTGAGATATCTCTTCCTGGATCACCGTGTGCTCCTGCGATTTTTTGGCCGTCCCGCCGCCCTGGCTTGGCATCAAAATGCGGGATTGACTCGGGGGTGTCCTCGACCTCCGCAAACGCAGTCACGTCCCCTGAACGAAACTTTCGAAAGGATATCTATTGTAGTACGTAGCAATCAACATACTCCCGATGGACTAGACGGCATCTCCGAGTGCGCCTCCAATGGCCAGCGCTGAAGAAGCCCCCTCCACCAGCGGTGCCCCCTCGCTCCCCGAGCTCGACATACCAAAGCTGCACTCTCTCCCTTCCGAGCAGCAGGACCTATACCTCCTCACGTTCACCGCAGACTTAGCCAGACATGTTGCTGCATTGGACGCAGATGGAGCTTCAGCATACCAGATACTCGTCAAGAAACAGTTATTCCAGATAATCAACCTTTCCTCCCCAGCACCAACCCGAGTGGTCCGCAACAATCTCGGCCGGACCTTCGCTGGTATTTTTGGCAAAGGTGACAGGAAGTTGCTGTTCGAGTCGATCAATGAACTGGTGGGCATTCTAAATAGCGGCGCAAAGAGCGAGAAGGATATCAAAGCCAAGCACGCCGCTATACACTGCCTAGGCGCTGTCTTTGAAGCAGCCGGCGATAGCGCCATCAGCTTGGCAAACGTCTCGTCCACCTCATGTCTCAAGCTGCTGAAGTTGAGCCAGAATCATGCTGGCTTCCGCGCTGCTATATTCAGAGCACTCGGTCGGATCATCAAGGGGGTTAACGCTAGTGCCGACGAGCAAGCAGTAAGGGATATCTCGAAACAAGCAAGATCGGCTGCGTCGAATGACAAGGCAAATCTGGTTCAGTCGAGCGCCTGCTGGTGCTTAGAGCAGATTGTACGGCACACGGCATTTTACGACAACTCGAACGACTTCGAGAAGCTACAGAATGTCGTCTGGAAGGCCATTGACAGCTCGTCTACCTCTGTCAGACACGCTTCCGCTTCGTGCCTTGCCGCTGCTCTTGTTAAGGCTTACTCCGAATCACCCGACAGAGGAGCACTGCCCAAGTTTAAGAGACCGAAAAAATCACTCAAAAAGCAAGGCGCGGCTGACGACGAGGATGAGGCTGCTGAGAGACCCGGTTCGCCTGCACTGTCTAGGCCGGCTACTCAACTCGGTTTCACCCTTATTGAACTCCTGAGGCAGCTGTCAGGCCATTATTGCCGTTCTTCCACAAGTAACCGTGCTCGAGCAGGTATTGCCGTCTGTTACGTCAAGATACTCAAAGGCCTTGATGAAGCCGTTGTCGAGGCGAAGTACGATGATATTGTACGTCATCTGTTAAATGATCTTCTGAGCTCTCCAAGCATCATTCACAACCGGTATCGGCTGCTCACCACGCGTAAATACCTCCGCATCATCCTTGAGGATGTGGTTGGCAAAAAGATTCTTGGCGAAGCGGGACAGCTCAGTGCCTCCAAACATTTGGTTAACGACGTCGTCAAAAACTATCCGCAAACACTTAAAGAAAGGCCCGAGCCGACGAAGCAAGCGCTTACAGGCGCCCTGAGTGCACTCACATCCCTACTCAATACTCTGGGATCCGCCACAAGCAGTATTGCAGAGACCTGTCGGGAAGGCTTACTGCAGGTTCTTCAGCATCCTAGCTACACAGTGCAGGTACACGCATCAGCCTGCCTGCGGGCTTTCGTACTTGCTTGCCCTCAGCAGCTACTGCCCACCATCACGATCTGCATGAACAGCGTTGGCCGGGAGCTTGGCCAGTTGGCGGGCGGACGTCAGTCTTCAAGAAAGTGCGTCGGATTTGCCAATGGTCTATCTGCAGTTTTGAGCACCTCCACTGTCCAGCCATTATACGGATCTGTAGATGTCTACTCGCGTGTTCTGTCGCAAGCAACGACACTGCTTAAGTCTAGTGGAGGCTCGGATCTGCGAGTCTCAAGCACCCAGATACAGGTAGCCTGGATCCTTATTGGAGGGCTTATGAGTCTCGGACCAAACTTTGTCAAGATACATCTTTCCCAGCTTCTGCTGCTCTGGAAGAACGCTTTACCGAAGCCTTTAAATAAGGACAACATGGTCCAGAGGAACATGCTGGAGCTCAGCTTCCTCGCTCATGTCAGAGAATGTGCTCTTGGAGCCATCCTCGCGTTCCTCGGGTCGAACAGCAGGCTGCTCACTACTGACGTTACGAAGCGTCTAGCTGCCATGCTTCAGAATACCTCGGTATTCCTCAACAGCTTGCCAACCAAAAAGACTACCGAAGAGCTCCAACAACGACTCTCACCAGCTTTGCAGCTTCACGATTTTGATCTCATGGTCCGCCGGAGAGTCTTGCAATGCTATACCAAACTCATCAACCTGAGTCCACTAGGAAGTGTAGAAACTCTGTTGCAGACCAACTTGCTTCCTCTCGCTGTTGCCGCATTTGCCGACCCCGAGAATCATGTCCCAAGCTCTCTCAGTACTACTATAGCCAGCTCAGCAGGCACAATTGAGACAGTCTGGGAAGCTGGTGACAATAGCGGGTTCGGCGTTACAGGGTTGATCAAGGGCTTTGATACCGGTCCCCATTTAGGTGAGCATGGCACTAACGTTCCGAGACACTGGACTACTAGAGGCAGTCCAGAAGCGGCCATTGACCGAACGGTAAGTCTAAGCCCTCGTGGGCTTTTTCGGCGCTTTGCTTATTGTCAACAGCTTCTATCGCCTGTGTGCGGCGCACGAGAGCATGACTCCATATCTTTGTACCTTAGCCAGACCGACAAATCGAGCGAATTTTCTGATCCTCCTGCAACTGAGGTCGTGAATGCTGCCATCACTCTTTTCGCCGTCTCGCTGCCCTTGCAGACTCCCAAGGTACAAGAGAGCATCTTAGAGCAGATCTCCTCGTTCCTCTCTGCCAGTAGTCTTCAGCGAGACCAGCTGAGAAAGACCGCGATGATAGTCAATATCACTACAGCTCTTCTTGCCACGCTCAAAGTAGCAGCCAAAGAGGCACCCGTAGCACCTGGAGACATCAGAAGCCCAGCCGTCGAAAAGGCGATGCAGGAGCTCTTGCACGTAAGCAGCATCCAGATGCTGGCCTAGGAGTTGCCACTTACGCTTTCGCAGGCTGTCATCACGCATCCAGATCAATATATCCGGCACCTAGCAGCGGAAGCACTCGGCCGTCTCTGCAGCATCTCCGGCAATAACTTCACAACGATCGAAGTCAATTACTGTGTAGATCAGATCGTTGCAAATCGAGAGCCAAATGCACGCGCAGGCTATGCACTTACACTTGGCTGCATTCATTCACAACTCGGCGGTATGGCAGCTGGCTACCATCTCAAGAACATACTCGGCATACTTATGTCTCTTGCCAACGACCCGCATCCGACAGTCCACTTCTGGGCCCTCGATAGCTTAGCCAGAGTAGCTGACTCTGCCGGCCTGTCTTACTCTAGCTTCGTCACCAGCACTCTTGGCATGATGGCGCAACTCTACACGGTTGACTCCCATAACGAGGAAGGTAGCTCGTTAGCATCGTCCAATTTCGAGACCGAGCTTGCGTCGCCTGTTCTCATCGCGCGATGCATCGACAGTGTCATCAACGTACTTGGGCCTGATCTCCAGGATATGTCGAAGGCAAGAGATCTCATCATGACTTTAATCAGCCAATTCGGTGCCGAGGAAGACGAGCTTATGCTTATTGAGAGCTTACGATGCCAAGAACACATGTCTCTGTATGCACCTGGCCACATGGTTTTCGCAGACTATGTCAAACGCCTGCAGAAGGACCTCGACTCCGGGTCGGATCAAATCAGAGACATGGCCCTGGAAGGCCTGCATAATCTGATGAGACGAGACGCCGAAGAAATATTTCGAACGGCAGAGCCAGGCCTTGAGAACCAGCTGTGGTTGCTGCTCAATAACTTGCCGGGTCACGAAGTTATCTGTAACATCATGCGCAACTGGCTCGAGCAGACTGGCCTGGCTAGCACCACCGCGTGGGTACAGCGGTGCCAAACTGTGCTAACGCGGACAGTTCAAAGGCCCGGTCAGTCGCAACAAACGGTCGAGGCAAAGCCAGCCGGTCCAGACTTGCAAGATGAAGAAGTTGCCGGCTTCGCTGCTGCATCGGGCAGTGCAGCTGAGGATCCAGCGACACGGACATCGAGTCAGGAACTGCTCAAGTGGCAAGTGAGGGCTTTCGCCTTGGACCTGCTTAGTGAGCTGCTCGCCACGGTCAGTAGGGATTCTGCTGCGCGTGACTCCTCGTCAGCGGAGCTGGCACTTCAGCAAAGAGTTGCGGATGTCGTGCGAATCGCGTTCTCGGCGTCGACTGCTGGTGTTGTTGAGCTCAGAATTAGGGGTTTGCGCATCATTGATCAAGTTCTCAAGGTACTCCGTCCTACCCGCCTGCCGTTTATTAGGCTATTCTAACACCTGACAGCTTTTCGGCAAGACTCCCGACCCTGACTTCGCAGAGGCCTCCCTGCTGGAACAGTATCAAGCTCAGATTGGCTCGGCACTCACTCCAGCCTTCGCAGCTGATTCATCGCCGGAGCTGGCGGCCGAGGCGATCAACGTCTGTGCCACCTTCATCGCAACGAGCATTGTCACAGACGTGGACCGTATGGGCCGCATCCTCAAGCTGCTAGTATCCGCGTTGGTGAACTTCTCGAGTAGGTGTTCGAACCGTAACGGGTATATCAGCAGCTGACAGTTCAGGTAATACGGAGACCGCTGCCATTGGTGACCTCAAAGGCCTCAGCTCGAACGCGCAAGTAATGGTCAAGATGTCGGTATACTCCGCGTGGGCAGAGCTTCAGATAGCCAGCACTGAGCAGAAATATCTTGTCGACGTCTTGAAGCCTTACATTGCGAGGCTGACTCCGCTGTGGCTGTCGTCATTGCGAGAATACGCGCGGCTGAGGTTTGAACCGGATATCTCGATGACTTCTGGGCCTGCGTCGCTGTCTGGTAGCCTAGACACTGTATACGCGGCACTGAACCGGGAGACTTTGCTCAAGGCATGTCCCGTTCTCGCTCGAGACGTCGGAAAGCTTTTACTAACTCGCTGCAGTTCTACCAGGACTCATGGCTCAAACTCGTGGACGCCATCGCCAGCTTGATAGATGAAGACAGCGGATTCGTCTTCGACGCTCTGGACGGTAGAACAGAGGCCGACGAAATGAGTATACCCAACAGTAAAGCCAGCGATATCAACTACCGCGACGAACCAGCAGCGTTCTTCTTCGTGCTCTTTGGGCTTGCGTTCGAAGCGCTGGTTGGCCGACCGAGCGATACTCAAGCCAGCAGAGAGCAGACCTTGGAGATCTTGCAGGCGCTCAAGAAGATCCTGCGGCCCTCCGTTTCGGGACACGCGATCTACCAGGAGGTTGTCTTCTCGGAGACGATGGACATGCTCGACAGGCTCATCTTGACCGAGGGCCTGAATATACAGGCTGTGATAGTTGAAATAGCAAGGAATTTGTGCTTGAGCCATCCCTCGGCGAAGACGGATATAGGGTAAACACGCTGTACAGTCTAAAATACGCATGGCTGACACGAAACAGCACCGCGGTTGCCGAAGAGAAGCTATCCGAGGACATAGACCAGCTGTTCGAGCTGACCCGTATCATCGTCCTTGTGCTCGCCGGCCTCGTTCCCAACCTGACCGAAAACAAACCACAAGGTACGTCTTCAATTACCACAATCCCTGACACCGCTAACCAACACCCTCGGTCCAGCCCGCCACCCCCTCAACAACGAAGCAACAACCCTCCTCACAACCTCCCTCTCCGCCCTCGTCGACGCCGCCGCCGTGTTCCCCGCAATAATCAAGACCGACCTGCACGCCTGCATCCTGCATATCTTCGCCTCCATCCTCGGTAACCCCACCGCCCAAGCAGCCGTCGTCCCACAATCCCTCCCAATCCTCAGACGCTTCGTCTCCAGCATCGTGGCCCAGCAGCCCACCTCCCAGAAGTCAGGGACCACGACCCAACTCCGCGGCGCGCTAGCTCGCTTCCTATCAATCTTGAAGACAGGACAGAGGCGGGAGATGGAGGCAGCGGTGGCGTGCGAGAAAAACACCATCCTTGCAACCACTATCCTCATCAGCTCCGCAGCGCTAGTCTTCGACCCTGCAGACCCGCTCCTCAGGCGCGCGATCACAGAGCTGGCTGACTGTCTCGAGAACAGCCTCACCAGCAAAGTGGCCGCTGGGTGTTGCCGCTCGCTCCTCCTGCTGCCACCCAGCCGCGGAGCCGCTAAGTTGGCGATATCCGCGCTGCTCCTCCCTCGCGTCGTCGGGTTTCTGACGCAGCAGCCGCCTGAGGGGGAAGGTGAGAGCCTAGCCGAGAGCCGAACCATCCTCTCCACGGCGCTGGTCTCGTTCGTCGCGTCCCTCGAAGCCAAGAAAATCCCCACGGCGATGGCGCTCGTGCTGCCGACCCTGTTGGGCAGAGCAGCGAGGGAGGGCGAGGACCTTTATCCCGAGATGGCGGCACGGTTGCTGCAGCTTGCGGGCGTGGAGCAAGGGGTGTTTAGGGAGGTTGTGGGGAGGTTGGAACAGGGGCAGAGGGGGTTTATGGAGGAGGTGCTTAAGAGTGGGGCTAAGGCGGGTGGACAGAAGCGAGGTGGGGGTGTGGGGATGTTGAGGGGGGAGGAGGGGAGGGAACCGAGTATCGCGCTGAAAATGGATTTTGGGGGGCTGTGAGATAGGAAGAGGGGCCCAGGGGGATAAGCTGGGGAGGATGTGACACTGCGGTGGCTACTAGCAAGCAGTATGGATGTGGTTAATGGGCTCGAGTCTATATCGCCGTGGCTCGTGCCAACTGTATCAGCGTTGTTCGAATTATGGCAAACAAGATCTGGCGTCGAATTCAACTCCCTGTTCGTTTTTCTCACTCGTTGGCAATGCTCGAGGCCCCGGGACACAAAACACACGAGTGCAAGACTTATGATATTCATTATCTAGCTACTCTATTAATCTAGCTCTAGCTCTGTGACTGCTCCACTGGCTGTCAGGCAAGTCGTGCGTTCTGAGATGATGCAACGCCCGCTTCATCGTCGCCTCTTGCCGACCTCTCACATCCATCATCAGGTTCGCCACCGACATCTGGATCGTCGTCGCTACGGCCCTGATGCCGTAACTTCGTATTAACAAAGAATGTAAGGAGACCAATGTCATATGACGCCTTCAACGCACCGGCAGCAACAAAGGCAACCCAGAATCTACTCCAGCCAGCGAGAATGCCGGTGATGAGGGGTCCGCCACTTTGGCTCAGCGTCTTTACGACATTGACAATACCCATGACAGCCGTCCGCTCCGTAGGCAAAACAACAGCAGACAAGAACGCTGACCTCGGTGCCTGGTCCATAGAGTTCAAGCTCGCGCGCCCCACGAGGAGGCAAATGGTCAACGCCAGAGACTTCGGAGCTGGGATCAGCGCGAGGAAGATAGCAGACGGCAAATGCGTAAAAACCATCGTCTTGATCAGGCCGATGCGTTTGGAGATCGACGCGGCGAAAATGTTGGAGATGCTGGAAACGAACATGGCGGCGGACATGATAGCCCCGAGCTTGTTTTTTGGCATGTGGAATTTGCGGTCCATGTAGTAGTTGATTAGCGAGTAGGGCACCATGCCGCTGGCGAGCGAGTCCATGAAAAAGAGCGCGCAGAGGCGGAGGAGGATGGAGCGGGTTTCGGGCGAGATGTGGGACAGGAAGCCTTTGCGTTCTTTCACTTTACCGTTCGCTGCGCCATCGTCCGCTGTAGATCCATTTCCGTCTTGCAGAAGCGGCCGATTCTCGTCGTTCTGCGCAGGAGTAGCATCTGCCGACGTGATCCGCTGCGCTGCAACCTCGCACTTGCGACTCAAGAATAGTGACAAGCACGCGTTGACGGCGCCAAGGATGGCGTACACCCAGAAAACCGCCCGGTACGCATCCACCTCTGTCCAATAGTCGCGAGCATGAAGCCGATGAACGACCCATCCACAGACGACCAGACCGCCCGACGAGCCCAGTGTAGCCAGCACGACATACCAGGCAAAGACGTCCGGTCTCCCTTCCGGCTCCACCAGATGCGCCAGCGTCGATTCTTCGATAGCCCTAAACGGCCCAATCTCATTCCCACTCGGGCTGATCACGCCCAGGATAGCCGCAACCAGGAGGACGCAGTAGTTCCCGCTCAGCGCAAAGACCGCGCCCGCCCCAGCCATGAGGCACGACCCAAACAGCAGCGTGGTCCGCCGCCCAAGCTTGTCCGCCACGAGCGTGAGGAAGAGACTAATCACGACGTCGCCCAGCAGCGTGAGCGTCATGAAGAGGCCGATCTTCTCGTCGGAGTGGCCTAGGGCTGCGAAGTAGAGGGCGAGGATCAGCGCGGCACTGCCGTAGGCGAACATGCGGAGGAAACGCAGCAGGAGGATTATGTAGGTGTCGCGGCCGGAGCTGGCGAGGGTTTTGAGGCCGAATTCGCTGAAGAGCCAGCGGGAGGCATGGCGGAGGTTTGGCATGGTAAAGCGAGTGGCTGTTGAGAGTAAGTGTAGAGTGAATTGAATGCGGGTGCGTTCAAGTGTTTACCGTCTGGGGAGGAGGAAGATGAGGAAGCCCCCCTCACACCCCGCCAAAGTGCTTGACCTGGAGAGCTGGGGCGCAGTCATTGTTGGAGTGATGCCTGAAGGATTTCCTCCAGGGTCTCGCTCTTCGCCGGGTGTTTCGCATTTTGGTGCGGACGTCATTGGAGGAAACAGAAGTCACGTGATGGAGAAGCGGTTGACAGCTCAAACGCCCTTGACGGGACTACCTCTACTGTACATCTTCTTCTGCTATCGCTTCTATCTTTTTCAATCTTCTGCTGCTTTTCCTGCGTGTCTATGTGCCGTGCGAGTAAAACGATGTTGTAGTTGAGGGTAGTGGTATCCTCTGCGTCTGTTATACCCCATCTGAGTCCCTTTTCCATTCTATATTCAGTCCCTCGTCCAGAGCTCGGCCTGCAAAGATTCTTGCGGATACAACAAGCCAGTTCTCACGTTAGACATCGTAACTATGATTGGCAGCACAATTCCAGCAATATAAAGGTGTAGTGTGGCTTCTAGGGATTGTGTACTAAGGTAATGAAGAGAGGTTATGTTACAAGGAGGGTTAACAAGAAGAGTTACACATCTCAGGAACAACAGCGATCCAGCACCGTGCTTGTCAAGTTGCAGTCAGCCGCAAATGCACTTCCCCGCCGAGTGAGCATCACCCCCCCGGTGGCGCGCCGGTCTCGGCAAAGCGGACGCAATAGCGGCAAACACCATCAGCAGTGACCTCGGATGGGGACACGTGCTCCTCTGGCATATCGTCGCTGCGATTATTGTTGAACCGGGGGGGGCAGGGGTCAACACCGCGAATCGTCATACCGTATATGTGCATTATCCTGGGTGGGTAGCCGTTGGGAGGGGGCCCGCCGCATTGATAGAACTTTACAAGGTAGTATTCCTTGTCGCCATCTTGCACCGCTGGTACCGGCATCAGGCAAAACAAACAAAAGAGATTCGTGTAATAACACATTTTCTTTTTTCCCTACGTCAGGTGGTACCGTGGTAGGCTGCTGTCTCTTTCTTATTCCTCTTGTCAAGCTTAGCTTGGGTAATTCGTTGAGATTCTTTTCCAAATCTTGAGCTGGAGTAAAACCTGAATGTTTGAAGTTTTTGTGTGTCCGCTGAACCTGGTGCTGCTTCTGCTTGGAAACTGCCGGCCTTTAACAGTTGCAAACAGCTCTGACTGGAGTCATTCATCGCGCGTAGTTACTACTGTGAACAAGCTAGAGACTCACATCAGCTTACAGTCACCAGCAACCTTCCATGTCACCCTTGGTTATTGACAGTCACAGCTTGTCAACGTCTATGTCTCCTGCGTCTGTTCAAATCCTCAAAATCAATTGGTGTCGGCCGTTTCTCTATTCTCAGACAGTCGGACCGCACAAATTCTCTCATAGAGTCACGTCATCTTCTACGCATGAACACATATAACTACAGTCGCTAGCACAGTCACAGCGGTGGAAAGAATTTAAGAATCTCATGTTGTGTATCTCAGTAGTGAAGAGAAGTACGGCACAGGAGAAGGTTGACGAAGATACAGAACCCATAAATAGCAGCGATCCGCTGGTCCAGTGCCGGACTCGTTAGCCGGAGTCAGCCATGAGTGCAAAGCAGCCTCCAGGTCAGAACGCCTCGTCAGAGTCCTCGAGATCCTCAAACACCGGGACGAACCTCGCACCACGGGCAGCTAATTTCGTCGTCCCTCAGCAACTCATAGTCCATTTCGTCAAGCGGGCCGTTGTACCACAAGCCGTAGGGACAGTCTTCAACTCCTTTGACTGTTCCCTCCACCTTTAGCCGCTTCAATAGGGCCTCTGGCAAGCCGTAGCAGTTGTAAAAGCGGACCCACTCAAACTCGCGGCCGCGGCGGTCAAACTCTGCGTCTATCCTCCGCCAGCAGCATGGGTATGCGAGGTAATTGTAATAACACATCACTGCTCTTCCTGAAGCTGCTGGAAGGTTGCTGTTTGTTCCTTTGGTATCCTTGTGGAGTGTGCTGGATCAAGTTCTCGTACGTGGTATACTGATCTCGAGAGAAAGTGCTCTCGCTGTTCGAAGTGCTCAGATATCCCAGGAAAGATGCTGTTAATTCCTGCACAGGAGTTGCTGAGGTGGATACTTATCCATAGGGCGAGCTACTTCCGTGCTTCACTTCCGATGACGCAGCGAGCTTGCCAGCGTATAGCTCTGCATTCACCAGCAGCCCTCCCACGTCAATATTGGTGTCATCAGCGTCGCAAAGACGGCAATATCGCATCATCAATACCGGTGGCTGACATTTCACTCCGGGTCATATTCAGGAAGACAAGCCGGACTGTACGCCCCTCCCGATGAAAGCAGCCACGTCAACTATAGCAACGGCTTGTCACTCCGTTAAGGTTACGTCTTGGATGGCGATACTATGAAGCGGCCTTTCCAGTAGTATATAGCGATCTCAACCACGGCGCTCCGGTAAACTTGAACAGAGTCCTGCACATTTACCAAGGCTTCTGGAAGCACTGGTTACATGCCCACTGACTAACGGGAGGGCCCAAGCGGAGTTGTTGTACGCGTATGCTCCATTGCTCCGCAGGTCCAAGGATGTGGTCGGGAGGGGAAGCATCATAATTGCAATCATTGTGATTTCTTTGAGCCGTCACAGTCTTGGTGACTTTGCAGCGCTCCATCCCAACTGGCAAGTTGTCGTTTGGCCGGAGGAGACTGTGTCCACGTGGTTCGACTTCTGCGAGTATATGGGCGAGCAGGCAATGCTACGAATGTTCGGTCTCTAGACAAATGGAAGCCCAGGATACAGTGAGATTACGTAGTGTTCACAAGCGTATATGATGTGGAATAATTTGAAGCGTTTTATAGTTAGAAGAAGCAAATGAGGTGCAGAGACTTGTTATGATTCGGAATGGTGATCAAAAGCGCAGTCTGTGCTAGCAAACACAAAGGCAACTAGAGTTCAGCAAGACTAGGTTCGCGATTTGCGGTCCAGCACCGTTTTATAGATTAAGACTTTGTAGTAACAGTTGCGTGCCACGATATGTCAAATAACTTCATGCTATGACAAGTTCTGCCACACACTGCATACATGCACCGACCGTAAACGACGATAGAAGCCACTCCACGTCACCGCATGAGCCAGCAATGCCAACAACCCTCCCAATCACAGCTCGTCGAGCTCCAACTCAAGGTCTTCGCATTCCATGCACTCCCAACACACCTCATCATCCGGGTCGGGACCCAAACAGGTTTGTTTGTAGTGAGGGTGATCGAAGCAGGTGTCGCCGACCGGCCCGTATGGTGACACCGGCCGATGTACGCAGTACTCGCAGTCTTCTTCGTCGAAGATAATGCCATGACCGCACGCGGCGAGGTAGTAGGTAATTTTACACATCGCGTTGCCGATATTAGGAAGTGCTGGTATTGCTGGTAATGCCAAACTGTTTGTGAGGCGAAGACTGTGCGAGTAATGGCCGTCGATGTCCGGTGTTGCGTGTAGGATTGCTTGCAGTAGTTTTGATATCAGAAGCTCAAGCGTAGCAGCGGAGTCTCGCGAGATACAACAAGGAAATTGAAAGCGCGCGTTGCATGACACCGTTTGATGAGGCTCATTGCCTTGCATCTTCCGCTGTCCTGTAAATAAATTTACTCCACGGCAAATCCAGTACACGTAGCTTTCGGGGCAGTCATGAAATATAATTCACTGATCAGGAGCCAAACACAAAGGACTCATACATGCCTTCCATGAGTTGGCAAAGCCGCCAGCACCCGTGCAGCACAGTACTGGCCTGGAAAGCTGGTGGCCTCAGCAGCAGACAGAGAGATGTAAAAGACGATATAGGAGAAGTAGGTGACGCTAAGATTTTACAGGAAGCAGGTAAAGGCGTCCCGCGTATCGAGAACCAGGTCCATTTTGCGCAGCTAATGTCAGTGCTTGATTGAGGCTTGACTTTGACGGTTAGGAGGAGCGTTAATATGGATGTGTCGGCGCCCTGTGGTCCCCGTTGGAAGAGGTAGCGGAACCAACGTGTACCAGTTTTGGTTGCAACATTGGGATACTAGGCATATCAGGTTGATTGTCCTCCGTTCTGATGGGAGGTTAGGATAAAGTTGAACCCTTGCTCAAGGCTAACGACATTGAGCCCAGTTGGTAAGCGGATGCGGTGACAGGGGGCGGGTAAGGCGACCCCTGCAAGAATTTTAAACCGTTGACCGCTAGCTTCCTCGTTCCATCCGCGGTTTTGCTGTGGCGGTTTCCAACCAGTGCGGAGGAGGTTCTTCAGCCCCGAGATGCATCTTTTGTATCCAGTCTTTGATCTTTGCGCGGATCGTTGTAGCGTGTTAACCCCGTCTTATCCTTGAACCACATTCTTTACGGCCCAGCGAGTAAGTACCATTTCTACATAAGATCAGGAAGCGCGTTGTTGTTAGATCATGCAGATATCTCATGGTGTAGGCTGAGGAAATTCCGGTAACTGGGTTTGGAGTTGGAGGGGCTTCAGTTCTTTTCGGGACCGGTCGGAGTTACAGCCAATAACCCTTCACTTTGCTCCCAGTGGCAGCAACACAAACGCTTCAACAATCTCTCTGAACGCTCTGAGTCTCAAAAATATCCCAAAAACCTAGACACCGCAAGCATCTCACTTGCGCCAGTGTATTACCATTTTGGACTTTGAGCGTGTTGCCTCCACAAACCGCATCTCATCTGCTTTAGATCTGTCAGGCTGCCTTGCCTGTCCCAACACGACCGTTCACAGTCAGCACGCTGACTTTGCTGCTAGACAACTACCACTCCAAACCAAAATCATGGATGACGAACCCCGGAGGCTTCGACTGCTGTTCCTGGACGCCTACGACTCATTCGCGAACAACATCATAGCACTCTTTGAGCACACATTCGCTACTACAGTCACCCGTATCTACATCGATGATCAGCGGTACTGGGATTCAGCAGCCCTCTGTGCTCGGAAGGATTTCTTCTCATTGCTCAACTCGTTCGACGCCGTGATTGCAGGGCCTGGTCCGGGCACGCCTCTGAATGCACGGGATGTCGGCCTCATCGGAGAACTCTGGAGCCTGTCACCGGAGTCACGGCTACCAGTATTAGGGATATGCCTGGGGTTTCAGAGTTTGGCACTTGCTTTTGGCGCGACGATCGAGAGACTCAACAAACCGCGGCATGGAATCATCACCGAGGTCGATCACAGGAGAACCCACTTGTTCAGGGATCTTGAGGACAAGTTTTTGGCAACGCAGTATCATTCTTTGCATGTCAACATACAAAATGTTGTTCAGACGAAGCGGGAGGTTGACCATGTAACAGAGCCATGGTTCCCCTCTCAGGCTTGCCCATCACTGCTACCTCTAGCATGGGATTATGATCTCGACATTCACAATGGGGCAGTGCTCATGGGTGTTATGCATACAAATACAAGCATCCCGTTCTGCGGCATCCAATACCATCCTGAGTCAATTTGCACCGACTCTGAAGGCGCAAAGATTGTCGGAAACTGGCTTAGGCATGTCCGCGCGTGGAATGCAAAGCATCGCGTTGGGGAGACGAATCCAATGCACCTCAGAGAAAGTGAGTACGAAGGAGACTCTCTCCTGTTTCAATGGCGAGGCTCCTGACGGCGCTGACCATCTTGATAGCTCCTCAAGCAGCTGAAAACGGCGCTCACACCAGCCCGCTTCGCCAACATAGTCCCCTCCGAGTAAAGAAGACGTCACCATCGCATCGCAGAAGTGCCAGCTGGGCCGCGGTCAAAGTACTGGCAGAGCAACTGCCAACGGCAAACGGCGACTACATCCGACGGCTGTCACAAACGCTGAATATAGTCGACAACCCTACAGCGTCCGGAAGATCGAAGCTATTGTCTCTCATGTCAGCACACTTGAACACATCGGATGAGCCGAATCAGCCGCGGGTAGTTCAGTGGGACTCGGTCCCTCAGGCTTGGCTGAGAGTGGGGTCTATTTGCGAGCTTCTCGGTATCCCTGTATCTGAAGCGGTAGTGCTTGAGTCAGGTAATCACTGCGAGAAAGCCTCTGACGATGAAAATGACGACGAGTCGGACTACGACAACGGACTCCGTACCGACAGGTTCAGCATCATAGGCCTCTTCATTCCAGAACGCACCCTGAGAATACACTACCATGTTCACAACCAGCTCTTGGAACTTCGCTTAGGCAACGACACTGTTATCTTCTCGATGCAAACTGCCGATGTTTGGTCCGACCTCAAGGCCATCGTGGAGCACTTCCGCGCGATCAACGGTCCTACAGAATTGCCTTTCTGGGGGGGTCTGATGGGCTTCGTATCTTATGAGGCAAGCCTGGAAACAATTGGCGTTGTTCCGTCAACTCAGCAGGAAGCATCCTCCCGAGCGGATATCTGCTTCGCTCTCATAATGAGGAGCATTGTCGTGGATCACAGGAAGGAAATGATTTACTACCAGACCATCGAGCGCAACGATTGGGACTGGCTGCATCTTGCCAGGACACGGCTGCAGGAACCATACCAAGATTTCACGCGGCCCAACGTGCCAATCTTTCTAGAGACTTCCTGGAGGCCAGTCATATCACAGACTCTGAGAGACGAGATGCGCGTTCCGGACATCGATTCGTGGATTGGAAAGAACACCCATGTCGCTCGGGATCAGATTTTCGTGCACGTCAAGAGGCATTTCCTGGGGCAGGTGCGGGCGACTGGTATACGAAACTCGACGTACAGCCGTAAGGTCCAAGAATGCCAGGAAGCCATCCGCGCAGGCAACTCTTACGAGCTCTGCCTCACTGATCAATCTTGTATGCGTCTGCCCATCAGCCCGCCCGAGGCAGGTCTGTCTTGGGTCTTGTACCGCGACCTCGTTGTGAAGAATCCCGCACCTTTCAACGCCTATCTACGATTCGGCCAGGATGGCCATGGCGTCCATACTATCAGCAGCAGTCCCGAGCGCTTCCTCTCCGTCACACGCAATGGCAAATGCCAGTACCGTCCCATCAAAGGCACCGTCAAGAAACAGCAGGGTGTGACCCGCAAAGACGCCGAATACATCCTCAGCTCAAGCAAAGAGCGCGCGGAGAACCTCATGATTGTAGATTTGATTCGTCACGATCTCCACGGCGTCGTCGGCGCCGGTAACGTCGAAGTCACCAAGCTGATGAGCGTTGAGGAGTTTGAGACCGTCTACCAGCTTGTATCGGTGATCGAGGGAGATCTGAAGAAAGCGAAGGAGCCGAAGACGGCGATCGATCTGTTGGCGGCCTCGCTGCCGCCTGGCAGCATGACTGGCGCGCCGAAGAAGCGCTCATGCCAGATCTTGCAGGATATCGAGACGGAGACTGGGAGACGCGGTGTATACTCTGGCGTCATCGGTTATCTTGACGTCGGTGGTGGAGCGGACTTCAGCGTGGCGATCCGCACGGCGTACAAGTATGACGATGAGGTAACGACGCGCAGGAAGCCTGATGGGAGTTTGAAGGCTTATGATGAATGGCGGATTGGCGCAGGAGGCGCGGTGACCAGCCAGTCGACGGCTGAGGGGGAATACGAGGAGATGTTGGCGAAGCGGGACGCCGTCGCCAGGGTGTTCATGCAATGTATCATCTAGATGTAGAGTAACCGAATCACACTGCGGTTGACCTGGTGTTTCGTTGCGTCTTAAGCCACTCATTGAAGGCAAAATCGTGAACGCAATATTCGTTTCATTCTTCAAAGAGTGTTGCATCAAATGGCCTCCCGCCATTGCCCGTAGGCCCCATTCGCTCCCAAGACGCCCAAAAAGGTTCTTCATCGTGATGTCTTCCTCCTAGGTCTGTCAGCAAAAGCAGAGTCAGAAACAAGCTTCAAGACTTACAGCCGACCCACCACCCGCCAGAAGTCCCACCAGGGGCGCTTCTCCCTCAACCTCTCCCGATCCGTCCCCAGTTCCAGCTCGCTGAACATCAATGTCAGTTTCTACATCGAAAAGCCTCTCAACCACATGACGTATGATCTTCAGTTGAAGCCAATGACGCATCCATACCTCGTCGGACTGATGCTGGTGGGACGCGGCGACGTGCCCTCAGGCGGCTCCCAAAGAGGAATCTCCACCTCCACTACCTCTACCTCCTCCCCTTTTGTCTCCCAGATGGCTTTGAGCCACTTGGGGCTCTTCATCTTTGCTCTGGTTTGTGGTGTTGGTGGTGTGGTGAAGGTTTTAGAGGTGTCTGTTTCCATCTGGTGATCAGCCATATATCTCCTCACGGCTTGTTCGAGCTGAAATGGCCGAGACGAAGTGTGAACAAAAGACCTTTCGGCCGTTGGTAGAAGATAGAAAAACGTCCGATTGTGCCTTCTGAACGAAACGGCGATATTGGCAATGGCTGAGAACAAAGTCCATCGCCGCTTGAATTTGAGCTGCGTTGGCTGGAGCGTTTGTCTTCGAGTACCCCTGCAGAAGTGAAATCGGATATGTTGGCCGCTGCCTCAGCTTCCACACCTTGTGCAACTTCGTGACAGCTAGGAGTAAGCTTTCGGAGGCAGTACGGCGTTCAATGGGGACTCGGATTCAAGGAGCTGCCCGTTCGGATGGTTGCAATCCATATCACCCCTTTCGGCGTGCAGTGCAGCTCGTATTGTTACTGCAGCAGATCTCGAACCCGAGGAGCTTCCTCGTATGACAGATGGCTCCTGGATGTAAAGGAAACTCAAGAGACACTTACGCAGTGGTGGTGGTGGTTGTGGCGGCCTGGCTGCGTGGGTGAAACGGCCAAAACCAGTCAAATTCCCCAAAATTACTCCTTGGCCATCACCCAGCGGCCGGCACGGGGCCCCCCACTACGTCAGATAGCTATCATTTCCACCCTCGCCGTCACCAGCACACAGGATGCAAACAGTGCAAACAGTCGCTTAGCCACTAGCGCGCCCTCCTGTCGATTTAAGAGAGCCTGCCCTCCTGGCAACTTCCTCTTTTCTTCCTCACCTGCTGACGTGCTCACATCAGATCCAGCCTGGGCCCCTTTTAGGTCCCGGTCTCGGGTCTCTTTGTCTACTGTCTCAGGTTTGTATGCTCCTGTACGCTGTGCAGGGAATTTTTTGTCAAGGTCCCTCTGCCCCGGGGGGCCGCCCAACTTTTTTTCATTGCTGCCTCTGCCTCGTGCAGGGCTTCAAGGAAGAAATCTTGATAAACATGAAGTGACTGCGCAAATGATACCTTTGTCAAACAGCTTGTAGCATCTTGAGTACCACTTGATGCTCTGTTCATTCTTTGGCCTGGAAGAGAGCTTCGAAACAGTGACTGCGTAAGTTCCAGGTGTTTATGCGGTTTGTGACGCTGTCGAAGCTCACACGACCGCTTCCACGCCGTCGGCATTGCGGCCGTGTGGAGCAGAAAGACTTGTCAGGCTTCACAGTGCCATACAACTTGTAGGTCGACGTCGACACCGTCTCCATCACAGCCATGTGAAGCAGAGAGGCTCGACGAGCTCCATGAGGTGATGCAGTTTGCCAGTCTAGAAGATCCGCACAGCTTCTCGTGTGCCACTTTGAAAGCTTGTCAAATGACGCTTTCGCGCTATCCCGATCTTTGAAACGAGAACTCGATGAGCTGAAATGATTGTCCAGTCTGGGAATATGCAAGTCCGTAACGTCTTGTGCATTCGCTTCGCACTTCAGCAACACGAGCATCACGGCTTTGTGGAGTAGGGAGGCTCGGCGGGCTTCATTTCACGATGTAGCTCCAAATTCACCAGGCCTGTTGCAAGACCTTGCTCAGCATCTGCTGTATCGATCTCATAGATGCTTCCGTCATGGCTCTCGAATAAAGACTCCGAGGACAAGGCACCGTGGGCTTCACATCTTCACCCGCTTCACACAAGTGCCTGCAGATCCCCCGCGTCGAATGCAACAGAAGCCCCACGTCGAATTGTGACGTATCGCCGCTCACATCCCACCCGCACGGAGCAACGAGTACTTGGAGGTGACGGCGCCCGCCGGTGTAAACGATGCAAACAGTTTACAGCGGCTCGCTTACCCCTTGGCGTGGGTTTTGCGTATTAAGATCCGGCCGCTCTCTTTGCAGTCTCCTCTTTCTTCTCCATAAATTCCCGCTTAACTGCGGTGGAAAAGATGCCTTGGTATCTGTGTCCCTGTCTCACCCAATCTTTGGAAACTTCAAGTGTCGCCGGTATTGCACTGCCTCCGGCTGACGCGAATCACTCTTCATTGTTGCCTCCGCCTTGAGCAGGGCCTCAAAGAAGAGACTCCATGAGTTACCGCGTTTTCATTCATCTCACTCGGCAGCAGAATCTCTCCATGGAAGCTTGGAAGGCAGAAGCTTAGATGGGCAGAAGCTGAGGTTGCAAGAGCTCTCGTTTGAAGTTCAGAAGAAACTTCCGCTTGAGAGCTCAGAAAGCAGCACTGTTTGGATGCTCGTGAGGAAGTCCAGCTTAGACGCTCAGCAGGCAGCTAATTTCCGAGTCCCAAAAGGCAGAGTCTCTCTTTGAAGCTGTCGCTTGTGAGCTCAGAGGGCAGAAGCTCTGTATCGGAGGCGGTGGAAGCTCCCCCATGGAAGGCAACGGAACTTCTGCGTCAACAGAGTGACGCATACGCCCGTCAATCAGTGGCAGGCAGACATGAGCAATCTCCGGTGATGCAAACAATGCAAACACCCTCTGTCAGCTCGGCGGCCTTGCTTGGCAAACTAGTGCCATTTTTGCCTACTTATACCGGCCGTGTCCTTCGAGCTTCCTCTTTTCTTCTTCGTCTCGCCCACCGGTGCTCAAGAATACCGGTGGGCACTGTCTCGCTCCTGGTACTGCTCCCATTGTCCGGGGTGGGCTGGTGAACCGGGGAATTTTTGCTGTCGGACTACGGTCCTTAAAACTTTTCATTGATGCTTCTGCCTTGTGCAGGACCTCAAAGAAGGGCTTGTTGATTCTAAATTGCCATGCTTGCTTGTGAAAGTTGACGTTGCTGGATAGAAATGGGGTTGTTGTTGAAGACCGGGTCTTGCACAGTATGCCCACGCTATGCGGCAACCATCCGCTATCACTTGATGAGAAGCGTAAACCTCAGCAGATAGAAGAGCGACGTATACAGAGCTTGAAATATGATGTGGCCGCAGAGCTGCACGTTGTGTTACGCGGGTGGCAGTGAGCTTCATGGTGGTGAGTCCTAGACATAACGGCTTTCATGGCTGGCGGCAGCAAGCATGATCCTTCCAGTAGAGCAAACAGTTCAAACCCTCCAGAATCACGTAGATCTATGGCATAAGACCAGCTTTGTTTCTTTGATGTGACACCCGGTGTTGTTAGCTACGAGCTTTTGTCTCAGAAACCCGCCTGGTGGAGGCCGCACAGATTCATGGCAGCTCCATGATGAACTGTCCCATGCTTTACTTAATTCTCTTTCAACGTGAATGTCCATGAGATGACAGCAGATCAATTAGCATTGAAGCCGGCGTGGAGCAAGTCGGGAGATCTTCCCATCCACGGCGGGTGAAAATCATGACAATTGACCCTTCCACTTTTGCCATTCGGTATGGCGCCAAGAAGGACCACCAGCCCACCTCATGGCTGTGTTCAGCAACAGACATTGAATACAGTGCCAGCGGCGTTGTGGTCTTGTCGCGGCTTCCAGCTGATCCTGTGTGGCGAGTGGATTTTCGTTAGGCGATCTCGCGACACACGGAGCACGACAACAACACCAGCAGCGACGGTGATCTTGTGCTTCTCCAGCCCGACACGACTTTGTCTCGCAGGCACGGTCATTTAAGTCAAAATTCCCAACAAGTATTGGGACTTTGGCACATTGGTTCCTGCGCTGACATTTGGGCCTGCCAAAGGATCACAGATTCTTGCATGACGGCATCGAAAGCAGTTCTCATCTCTCAGAACCTCATACGCGCGACGAGACCGTTATTTTATCTGGGAGTCGAGCGGCGAGCCGATAGAAGTAGACGGTAGCTTGATGAGACCATTACTCCAGATCTCTAAACGCTTGACGCACTGTAGGAAAGCCTCTGCCGACTTCAGCCTGAGACCACCACGATGGATCTACCACACAACGGCCGCACTCGCGGCCAAAGAAACGACAGCATACACGGAGCGAATACACCCAGGACGGCTCCACAGAGTGAGAACGCGGCGAACCAGTTTCTTCGGACGCGTAGCAGCGACAGGCGCAGACAGTCCGCGACGATGCCAACACGGCTGCTCTCTCACTTCTACACAGATCGGAGCTGTCACAAGCTTTGTATTCTCGCAAATCGATTACGAGCCCTGGTTATCCTGCCAACGGAAAACTACCCTTGGAAGCGCCAAAGACGGTGATGGAGTACTTCAACAGGACGAGCACCATGGCGGAGAAAAACCTTCGCGGCAACGAACGGACGGCACCAACGTCGCACACGCCCAAGCAGAGCAGCCCTGGAGTTGTCATCGAATGGATGATACTGAGATAAAACGGGCCCATGGAACTCTTCTAAATGAGCGGTCGAGGACGGCGATGACGAACTGTCTTGCGTGAGTCAAGCACACCATGGCGGGCATAGGCGGACAAGGGGCGACTTCCTTTACGTGGCAAGCGCTGACGGCTTCATTCAACAGAGGCTTTCCACGGTCATTCCCACAGATTCCTATACAGCAACGGCACGATCCACGACGAACAGCAAGCTACAAAGTTCGACCAAGGCACAGTGTCCCACTGAGAGAATCGGATCCGTACGCAGGTGATTTGGACCTCGTGCACCACACGTAGCACCATCAACGCGCTGTGCCCGACACCTGTTAAAAGGTAAGAAGGAGAGATGTCTCTGATACACAACGGTAGCTCCGTTGAAGACGAGCCGGTACTGCTGCACCCGACGTCGATCATGCATGCTTTGGACTTGCGGAACATATCCCGGAAGATGGTCGATCGAGAGTAGCTTCTTTGAACCATAGACACCAAACAAAAGGAGAAGGCACAGCGAGCCGCAAGTTGTTCGGCAAGACGTGGATTGCAGACCAGAACGGTAGATATATGGGACCGCAGCATCCGGCTCATCTGATGCGTACCCTTACTGCTGAGAGTAGCAAAGCAACCATGTTCGTGCGGAAATCGTGGAATGGACCATAGAAGATTGTGGCTGAATGATACCCAACCACCTTCGGAAGGCATCGAGAATCCGAGAAGAGGCGACCCACCGCAGGCAGCCTCAAATTGTCCTTCTATCGATGCGCATCGGCACTGGCAAAGTTCGCTCTGCCGGCTCCCAGCCACTCCATCAAATTACCGAAGACCACGTGCATCCGAACAGTCGCCCAGTGAACAGAAGGTTGAAGACATAGGGAGCTGATGATCGATTAAGTCATGCTCCGGTATGGGTTACAACTGAGCTGGCTGGTTGCATATGGAACGGGATACAAGCGCCGAGGCGGCAGCTACATATGGACGAAGCGTCCCGTCGACCAGAACCTGGCCTTCCAAAGTAGGGTGAGGCGTACGAGATAATGGAGGGCAGACCCTGTTGCGCGTTGGCCGCGCAGGTAGCGTGAGGACACTAGGACCTGGAGTGGCAAGAGCAGAAGCACCAGGGCCAAGGGATACACCTCGCGCCGAATCTGGATCGGTGCTCTGCAAGCCACCTTTGCAACTGGAGAAGCCGAGACAGGTCCTCACTTGAGGTATCGCTTCTCCAGCAGACGAAAACAACGCTAGCAAGTCGACGCCGACACCCGCACAGGGCTTTGAAGAACAAGCGAGCTTCGCGTACGACACTCGAAGCACACTGCGGATGCTTTGAACTCCAGAAGTCGGCAAGTGATACCGGATAACGCGGTGGCCAAGGGGATACCACGAATCGAGAGCCCTCAGGAATGGACCCAACGAAGCCAATACCAGAGATAGGACGGGGACGTTAAATCCATTGATCGTCAACTCAACTAGCGGAAGCAGTGGCTCAGTCGAGGCCGATCCCACGGGCGAGGAACCTTGACGGTGCAAAAATGAGAATGGACAAGCCGATTCCCTCCCACAAAAAGACAAACACACAGGGGCTATAGTCTTCCTCGTGTAAGAGCCTCCGGCCCAAGTGTCGTGCGGGATGGATTTCGATACTCTGTGACCCGGATGAAAACCCTCAACGAACGCAGAAGGAACTGCCAGACGATGTGTCTGAGCTCCTCCGTTTGGACGGTATCAATTCAGTCTGCGGCCTGAGCTCGGAAATAAGCCGCAATCTCCTGAACATGGTCCACGCATGCCACTTGGTACTGAAAGGCGGGGACTAGCGGATGCAGAACGCGCTCCATCGGAAGAGCGCTGTTGACCATGGTCCGGTTAACGCCATCCTGACGGCAACTATCTATCCTCGACACTTCATACACTACGACAGTGTACCTGAAATTGGATGGACCACGTGATCAGATACCCTGAAGGGACAAATTGGCTGTGACCATTCTCCAAGACAGCTGGAGCATGCATGCAGGGCTTGCAAAGTGGGCCATAGTGTGCTGCTAAACGAATCCCGGAATCCATCCAGTGGCGTCCTCCCTGAAGCGGACGACAGGCGGAGAGCTACGGTACTCCCTCCGAATCAGCCGATAACCCAGTTCAACTCTGGAAGGGCGGTGAGCTTGGATGCGCTACTCCTGCGGCGAGATGCAATGGAGCTGGAGCCAGTGTCTTCTTCATCGAGTGGACAACAGAGCTCCTGATCGGGTTGGCATTTTGACTTGGAAACGAAAGATGCGGACTCAGAGAAAGAGCACGTTGGAGACTGTCGTAAGATGATGAGACTTGGACTTGCTGACAATGACGAGTGACTTGAGCAGGCTCATAGAAGTTGAGCACAACGAACAAAGGAGTATCTTTGACGAAGACGCACTCGTATATAAAATAAATATGAAAGATATATACTTGCAAATGGCGTGCCTATCTGGGAGGCGCTTTCTCTTGCTTGATACGGCGACTTGAGATGTCAATCGGACAAATATTAGGGCGTCGATGACAATATCGTTGCTGTGAGAAATGGTATCCTGAACTACCTGGGTATAAACCAATGCGGTGTATGCGAACGCCGTACATAATGCTATCAGAAGAAGCGCCACCAGATGAATACAATCATGATGAACCCGAGGGCGGCGAACGGCCCATACTAGCGCTTCGATTAGTATATAATCCACGGTTCTGAATTGTTGGCGGTATCACACCTGCTTGAGGAGCAGTTCCCAATTGATCCGGACCGCTGCTCTCTTGTATTTTCTGCTGTCTTCTCGGAGTCGTCCGCTCATCTCTCCCATCCTTTCTAAGCTGTCTCCCCGGTACAACAAATCCTCGATGTTCTTCGTCATCACTTTTGTCACGTCTTTCAACTCGTCATTCAACTTGTCGAGGTTCATTGACGCCCGGCTGTCCTGATATGTTTTCTTCGTCCTCTGTATGAAGGTGTCGAACTCGATGAAAGCAAATGGCCGACACGTCGGAGAGAGATACTGCTGCGACGGGTATGTTGTCGTGAACTCCTGTTGCAGGTCCGAAAGGTATGTAAATGCGAGTTTCCGCGGGTAGGACTGGTCGCAGATGCAGAGGAAAACAAGGTTATCGTGGATCAGGTAGCTGCAACTGGTCAGTGACTAATACCGGCTCTCGGTTGCTAGCATTTACTGGAGTGTGTATTTGCCGCTCTCAATGCTGGCTTGCGGCTCCGAGTTCTTGTTAAGGCGTCGCATGATCTGTTTGACCTTGCTCTTGATGTCGGTGAGCTGAGCTTCCGACTGAATACAAGCTGTCAGCAGGCGAGACACACATGCCGCAAGGCTATTCGCAGCTCCCTCACCTCCTCATCGTCCACCGATGCAGCTAGGACTAGGCCTGGAGCTTTGTCAGTATGCGTGCTGCTGGAGGCCGAGATTCAGGTAGCGGACCGTCCAGGCGCGCGATCTGCGTGGAGTTGATCATTCTTTCTGGCTCTCACGGACGGCACACGGGCTGCAGCCAGAGACAACTGCGATCAGGCAATCTTTACTAGGGTATGTCGTGGTTGACGTTGTGGGTTGACGTTGGTTTAAGCTTGTAACGGCTGGACAGCCACTGGCCGTGGTGGAGCTCGCTAAATCTCGGGCGGACAGGGGCAGAGGACAAGCTGCAACAACTTCAACATCACTTCAACCATCACGACCACGCCTTGGCAAGGTCTGTAGAGCATCCAACATTGCAATGGCTTCTTAAGACGGCCGAATGTCTCGAGGCTGAATACCAATGGCCATACGGTAAGTACGCTATCCTTGTCGCTGAAAGCTGAGCTGTAGTCCGTCACGAGCAATGGCAGACTCGCGCCAGCCATTGACAATACATAGTCAAGCTATTGAGCAATCTCCCACTGGAGACTCGATCATCCCTCCTGCACCCTTCGCAGCGCCCTTCGCAACGTTCTCCTCTACTTGCCTCACATTCACATGCGTGCGGTCCTGCAGCGGTCCCAGGCCCCCTCCTGACCCCCCGTGACTTGGTTTCAAGGCACATTATCACCTTCACTGCACGCACTCCCCTACACTTTCACAACCACCGATCTTAGCTCATACCAACCTGTGAGCCTTTCCATCTTCCTTTATCCAACATCCAGTCACTCTCAACACTCCGTCTTCACCATCCGTCTTAGCTCGACCACCATCTATTTCCATCTCAGTTCCTTCTTCATCTTCAACACCACCATCACTCAGATCTATCTTGCCAGCCAAGCGTACCAGCTAACCATCCATGGGCAAGATTCCCTTCTTCTTCTCGGGCGGAGTCTATCGTTCGCCGCATCACACCAAGGTCTATCTCAAGTACAAGTGGATCGCCTTGAAGAGGAAGTTCGGGAGCAAGAAGACCAAGCTCGAACGCGAACGCGCTTTGGACGACTATCTGAGGAGCTGTCCCAGCTACCACAATAATGATTCCTACGATCGCCGCTTCCGGCAGTTCTGAGGGCTCACCTCTCTCTTCCGTTCCGCCCAGTGACGATGAAGCTGTCGTCGACAAGCGCATGTCGAAGGAACCTACTCCTGTTCATGAAACACTACTCGACACCAAAGTGTCTTCGTCTAAGTCTCTGTCACAAGATCGACCCCATTCTCCCGGCGTTCCCAAACCCATCCGCCTCAAACTCAACATGCCGAAGGAGAAACCTATCTTCAAATCCACCACCTCTCTCTCCAAGGTGGATCTCTTCGTAAGTGACACGTCTCCTCCGCAGCTTGAGGCCACTAACTCACCATTCCTATAGAAGCTTCTGAGCGATGAGACGGCGCTCGATTCTCTCAATCACGAACAACTTCACCGCCTCTTGTCGCTGCTGCCACGTGACACGGCGGCCATTCACCAGGATACCGCCGCCGGCCGCATCTCCGCCATCAAGGCGGCTCTCCACGACAACGACGCCTTCAGGGCTGACGTCCAGCAGTTGCAGCGGGACGCGCAAGGGAAGGTTTACGCGGCTGGCTGGCTGCAGAAGGCTCGTGCAGCCGCTCGTTCTCGCGCGGAGGGCGCGTTTGACGACTGGAAGGAGGAGCATCTAGAGCGTTTCTGGGGTCAGAAGGCCAAGCCTGAATAGGCGTATGGGGCTTTCACTTGGGATTTCTGGGGATGATCTTAGGCTTTGGGATTTTGGAGATACCATGCTTTGCTGAGCAGCTGGCGCGCTGCTGAGCTACGACTCTATGAATGACTGATGCTTCTCTCTCTCCATCATGGTCGAGTAAACGTGATATGCTATAGCTGCGATTCGAGACCTCGATCTCTCCATCGCCGATTTTCCAGAGCCATATCCGATTTATAACTCCTCTCCTGGACCTTCAGTCATAATAGCGTTATCAGCCTCAACGTGCCTGCTTCGCTTCAAACATAGTTATAAGACAGTAGCATTTTCGCCACTATAAACACTCTGCTCAAGAACCTAGAATCTCGCGATAGGTTGACAGGAGACTATTGGTGTAGCATCACGTGACTTTTCTAGTGGTCCCAAGCATCACGGTTTCCTCTGACCGGGGATTCGACTATCACTTACCCCCCTTCCCAATCAGTCATCGAACTCTATTGCCGCTCATCTGGCCAGTTCCTATCGCTTCAAGAACACCGCCTCTCTTCTACTATCGCAAAATTATTACTCGTTCAGATCTTAATCAATATCTTATGTGCCTCTGTAAGCCCATCATCATGTACTCGGAGCTCCTGCCTCGTATACACCATGGTTCTCAAAGCATATCACTATGCGGGTAGATTTCGGCTTCATCATGTGGACAAAGACCCATCGAGGCAGCAACAAGAGTTCAGGAACGCGTTGTATGAATCCCTCATTCTTCTTTCTCGTCTATATCCACTACCCCTGCGAACCCTCTACCAACCTCCCAAGCCATCTTCTGTTCTGTCACCACCACCTTTTCCCACACTTCACAACTCATCCCTCACCCCTTCCGTCCCCAAACCGGGCATCGCCATGATCTTCACCACCAAGCTAGTCCACCCTGTGAAATGCTGAGTGCGCTGTCCCTTGCCGGTGTCAGGGTTATACTGCTCCCACGCAAAGCCCGTCCCTTCCCAAGACTTGTACACCGTCTCCACGAGATTCTTCCGCAGAGACATGTACAGCTTCGTCGCTCGCTTCTGATGCGGGCCTTTTGCTTGCGCAAGGTTCTGTTGTGCGAGATTAGTCCTTGCATGAATCCGCGAAGAGGAGTAAGTGGTACGAAGGGAGAAGACGTACCAACAGCCTCTCCACCGCCAAATAATTCATGTTAACCCACACCGGCCCCCTCCAATAATTTTCACCCGTCCCAAAGAACTCGTCCCTTTGACTCAAGCTCCTAAGACCATGCGGACTCCACAGCTCCTGCGGATCCGCCAGCAAATCGAGCACGGCTCCAAGCCTTGGGCTATCCGGCGGCAGCAGTCCCGTCAGGAAGGGGAAGACAGACAGATACCCCTTATGGCAGACATGCGTGCTCTCCTCGTATGCATCGATAGTCGCATCGCAGTACGTCTTCGCCTCCTCGCTCCAATGCAGATCATCAATGTTCCGCAGAATAGCCGTCTCATACCCTCTAAATTCCGCCTCGTCCTCCTCCTCACCCAGCACTCCCGCGATCTCAGCAAGCGACCTTGTCATCATGCCCACCCAGCTGACAAGATCAACATGCAGCTCGCCCGGATGCGGCGGCTGCGCGCGCGGGTAGTCGTCTAGCCCGGAGGTCAGGATATGGCTGGGAGTGCGGCCGCGCCAGCGGTATGCTTCCTTTGTCGAGAAGGCTTCGCGGTCGTAGGACTTGATGTCGCCGCGCTGGGTTCTGCGGAACCAGAAGTAGTGCCGCTTAAGCAGGGGGTAGAGGTCGCGGAGGTACTGGAGGGCTGCGGGGCGATTGGCGAGGAGGGTCGTGCCGGTCTCGGTCGGGGTGGTTTGGCGCTTGGATGAAGATGCTGCGGGCTGGGTTTCTAGTTTGCGGATGAACTCGGAGAGAACAAGGAAGAGGGTCGGCGGGTTGGCGTAGTGCGGGTACTGGACCTGGAATTCTTGTGGCACCTTGCTGCGGGCTTCGGCGCCGAGGATCTGCTCGCGCGCTATCCAGCCGTCTTCATCCATTAGGTTGAACCAGCTCTTGATGATCTCCAGAGTCAGGTCTATGTCCCAGTCGGCAACTGGCAGGAGGTGGAAACCTTCGTCCCACAAAAAGCCTCTGGGAAAGAAAGGTCGGGATGGAATGCAAGTGAAGAGCTCTGAAGGGCCTTCGAGCTTCTGTTGGTTCCGCGATCGAGCCTCGGCGGTCTCCTCCCAGAAGCCTTCGTTTTCCTCCTCGTATTCCGGGGCATACGAGCGGTCAACGAGAGCGTCGCCATGGAAATAGCCGATGCCCCCGATGAGGTTCGAAAGCAAAGACTTGCCGAACTCCTCGTACCTTCCTTTGGTGAACGGTGCTTTGGGCTTGAGGACGTCGCTGAAGCGCTTGGAGAAGGAGGCCGTAGCGGCGCTGACTCCCTCGGAGAGGTTCTCTGCTGGATTATCGTCAGCGGCTATAGTTAGCAACGATGTGCCGTACTTACAGCTCATAGGTTTCGGTGACGAATCGGAGGAGTAAAGCACATCAAACTGCGGCCGTCAGCCACAGCCACTTGGCCAGGTAAAATAGCGTACCTCGAAAGCGCCCTGGAAGACCTTCTGAATCAGGTGCAGGTTTCCTCCACCAGCCGCATGCTTGATAGTGTATGTTTGCCACGGCGGCGGCATGTTTTCCTGTCCATACTGCTTGACATAGTCCTCGATGACCTGCTTCAGATCGGCAAAGAGAATAGCTTCACTCGAAACAGATCGTCAGCCCATGTATGAACCTGATAGGACGAAAGCAGCTTACGTTTTGTCTGCCAGAGTACATCCTCCGGCAGTTGCAGGCTGTGCACCAGTGTCCGGTCAAGCGGCTTCTCCAGAGAGCTCGGGTGTTCGGATGGCGGATGCCGATTGGTCTCAGGGCCATCCGTGATGTCCAGCCTGAACTCCCCAAGCTCAACCGTCTGTCCCTGCAGCGTCACAGTTCCCTCGAAACCGGTCCCTTGCTCCTCGTTCGCAACCCCAAGCGTCCCCAGCCCCTCCATTGACGCATGGAATATCACCGTGGTCTTCAAGTCCGGCGCTGCATCTTCCCTGGGTATACCCCTGATCCTAACGCCCCAATTGCCGCCATGGTCCCCGCCTGGTATCTTGACAAACTCGGTCGCGAGGTCGATCTGGTTGCCCGCATCGTGGATGGTCTGTCGGCCGCCGGTGCGGACGTCGTATTCGTCCCAGCCGTAGCCGGCCATGCCCTCATGCTGCTCGCATGTGTGTCGGAAGTCTGCATTGAGGCCACGTATCAGCCATTGGGTCTATACAATTGTTCATGAGGGTTCAATCAGGGACCTTGAACGTACTGTGCTGTACAGTGGTGAAGTCTTCTACCCTAGCCCACAGCAGGCCTGTCATCAAGCTCTTTGGTATCCTTGGACGGACACCGAAGTAGAGGTTCGGCCGGTATGGGCCCCATAGCAGTGACTGGTTCAAGGCTTTCTCGATCTCAGTGGTAGATGCGGTGCCCTCTTCGGCTCCATTCGCCTGGCCGAACAGCAGCAAGCTGCATAGTGCGAAAAGCACGACTAACAAAGGCGGTATCCGCGTTGACCAGTCCATTGTGGGTTGTTGTCGCCCAAAACCACGAAGCTTTGGTGCTTTACGTGTAACTCTTGGCAGGGACGGCAACTGGTCGAATTTCCATATTCGGAAGCCCGCTGGACCACCCCATATACAGACTATGTAGCAGTTAAGCCTAGCTATTAATTTTGATTAATGTCACACCGCCAACTGCAAGAGAGGAGACACCCATGTTCAGGAGAGCACTTATAGTAATGTTTTCACTGCTTCACAAATTCTACAGTTTGTAGATCCGTCTACGCGGCGCCATAAGGATAACACCGTCTGATGCTGCTGAAGGCGCCCAAATGACCCTCGGGATATCACAAACGACCAGCTGCAGACAGTCCGATAATCAACCCACTTGCAAAACAGACCACAACGTGTGCCCCAATGCTCCGACCCCAAACGCGAAGACCAGCTGCAACCCCGCCTAAACTCCACTTGAATGACCGCTGTACTGCTGAGATCCTCCCAACTTGCTGCTGATCACAAGCCCTGCCCGCACGTTCACCTCGACGGACTGAGCGGCCTGTTGAACCCTCCCACCCTGTTCATGTACTGGCGATATTCTGTCTTCTTCTCCTTCCTCACGGCGTAGTTCTTGTCATTCCCAGGCACCTTCGTGTTCTTAGTGGTGCGAAAATTGCCAAAGCCCATCATCTTACGCATCTGCGCCTCCATGTCGTCGTCATCTCCTGGCTCGGTTTTAGGATCGATCGCGTCGCCCACGTCCTCTCCCTTGCTTTCGGTTTTCACGGTGGGTACTCTGGGGCCGTTGGGTACCTTTGCGCTGGGCTGGGTCGGTCCTGTTTTCGAGCTCGATGGTCTGTCGCCGCCATTTGCTGCCCGCTCGCTCTGTGCGCCTCCTCGTGGTCCCCTCGGTGGTGACCGTCGGCGCACGCCTTCTCTCGCGCCTTCCCGTTGCGGCGACCGTGAACGTGCTCGTGCTTCATTCCGTCGGGGCGGATTTCGCTCCCTGCTTCTGCTCCTGTCTCGCTTGCCTCTCCCATCGCGGCCGTCACGAGCGTCCCGATGGTCCCTCCTGCCGCTCACGCCGCCTGGTCCCCGGTCAGGAGTTCGTTCCCGTCGTCCCTCGTGACGCTCTCGCCGGTCGTCGCGGCCGTGGTTTCCGCGTCGGTCGTCACGCCGTGGTGGTGCTGCGCGGTCGCTTTGCTCCCACGTTGCTGCGTTGTCGCCGCGGCGCGCGCGCTTTGCTGGTGGTTCTGCCATTGTAGTTCGTGCCACAGTGCGCAGTGGTGGCGGCGGAGATGTTGCGTTGTGTCGGAGCTGGATTGCGTCGTCTGTTAGAGCTTTGGCAGAATGCGGTAGGGCTGAAGCGGGCCCGGCCAAGCTTTTTTCAAACCAACCTCGCAGCCAGGAACCGGGGTGAATGCCGGCCACAACAGCTCAGCTTCAAATCTGGTGGCATAGATAGTACACAATCGGTATCAATCTCTTTCTTGCATCGTGGCTATACATCTGAATCTGACTCGCAATCGTCAGAGTGTATGGAGCCGTACTGGCTTCGTGCAACTGGACTGCTACAGAATTCGTAACTTGATTCTTTCATGCATCAATTACCAAAGGTCTCCTCAGACCAGAATTCCTGCTTGCGTGAATCAGCTCTACGTCGGAACTGGAATGCAGCAAAGATCTGCTCCGATAATCTTTGCGCGTTGCGAAGCTCATCTCCTCATATCTCATCCTCCTCCTCGTCAAAATCGTCCTCTTCGCCCATGTCATACAGGATCCTCCCACCCTCCCCTCCCTCACCCTTCTGTGCGTCAAAGTACGGAAGGACGATGCCCTCCCTATCCCTCCGCTGCTTCTCTGTGAGCCCTAACTCAAACGTTACGTCCATCGCCCCATCGTCTTCCCCGCCACCGTCTTGCAGGACTCGTCTGAACAGCGGGGAGTCCTCTAGCAGAACGACGGCAAGTTCTTTCTTGCTTGGCACTGCACCGTTTGTGCTGGTAGCGCTGGGGTTGGGGAGGAAGAACCACTCTCTCACCCCACGGCCTGACTTGCGGCGATGCTCCATCTCAAGCACAACACCGCGGGGATCATTGCGTCCTAGGCCGGCGATGGCGCCTTCATTCTCTTCCGCTAAGCCGAAGACGGGCTCGGCGAGGCTGCGGTCTCTGGCATACCTTTGCGCTAGCACATGAGACGTGGAGTAGAGAGTGAAGATGGTGGTCGCGAGATACTTGAGTAAAGTCAATGGATGCGGAGAGTACGGATATGCATGAGAGAGCTGTAGAGCCATGTCAAGATGGTAAATTGCGAGGAGTGAAGTCGTGGGCGAGATCATAGATGAGAGGAAGGCTGGCAGATTCGCAGACTGGAAGCTTGCGAGTGCGTTGAGCGTGTCGAATATCAAGAGAGTCTCTGAAAGACCTCAGTAAATGTCATTTGGTGCTGTAACAGATGGTGTTGCTCATACTGCTCGATGACGATGTTGCTAATGTAATCTCTTTCTGCAGATCTGGCGGTCTCAGTTCCGCGCCTTGTACAAAAACATCGGCTCCATAGGGCTTCCTCAATGTCTCTAGAGAGACGAAGACAACACGCGTTTTAGCAACCTAGGTCCGGTAAGTGGAGGCTACCGGTCCCGATGCGGGAGGACTAACATTCGCTCGGCGGATGTATTCACGGATTAGGGGTCTCGCTGACTGCTCCAGTGAGTCAAGCAGCAATGTAAATGGAGAGCCATTGTCGCGCCCGCTGAGCAATTTCGAGATCAATAAAAGATTATGGGTTCGACGGTGTTGCAGGTCCGGCGGCATTGCTGTGAGATGCTGCAAGTGGCTGGGATCTGCGGCTATAAAACCATACGTTCACGTGACGTTGCGCACTTCTTAGGCATCCCTACGCGGCTCTCAACCCACGTCACTTCGAGTATATACAATAAACTACAAGAATCCAGGTGCAAATTTTGACGCGCCTGTTCAATAACGCTTGGGAAGACAACAGCTGTACCGCTCAAACGTCAGCAAGAAGCGATTGGGCAGGATGTTTCATATAACCCTGGTCCGCGACGGTCAGCCTATCACTACTATAAGGGGTTTTTGCTGTGCCTCCTTGGCCTTCAGCCTTGTCCGCATATCGAAAGTCAAATCAAAACGTAACTGGGGTGACGCTCCCTCACTTACGTCTTGTGAAGTAACTCTTCAATAGCCGCTGAGCCTGCAATCATTCACGAGCAAGATACAAGAAAGACACAGTACTCGCTCTCCATCAAACATTACGAGATAATCACCACCGGCGACCCGTTTCACAGTTTGATCCCCTCTGCCGCTCAGAGCTACCGCCTGTCAGCCCTGCCTAAATCCGCATATCCGGAGGTCCATCTCAAGACAACATCCGTAAGCGCAGTCGGACCACAGGTTGCCGTTAAGGCCATCTTGTGACTGATTACTCTAGCAGAGACGCTCGCGTCTCGGTGGACGCGAACCATCTTGGTGGATACAAGACTCGTTCAAAGTTCCAGCGAGGGAGTTGTACGCTTAAGATTATAAGAAAAACCGTTTAACGGATCACGAACTCAACAAGCCTCAGTGATGGATGCCGCCAAGGAAGTGACTATGGAAAGAATTGAAGAGAAGGAGGAGCTCTACAAGCTACCGAAAGAGGGAAGAGGCGGTAGTTTCTGGACACCAATGCCTCTGTTCACTATGCCGGAGACTTACTGTTCTTCGGTGTCGGAATCGGATCCTCCGTTGAGTGCGGCAACGTCTGGGTTGTCATCCGAAGGCTCGAGAATTTTGGACACACCGCGTCGGACAGAGAGGGAGAATGTGGAGTTGCAGGCCTGCCTTCGCCTAAGCTCATCCGCCTTGTCGAATGTTACGGAGAGGACTAGCATCAGTAGCTATCATTCGGCCGTATCTCTCAGTCCGAGCTATTGGTCTTCCTGGACCTTGTCATCTAATGGGAGCAGTGTGGCGACCTTTCAGACGGCTATGACATCTGGTAGCAGCACGGAGAACAGTCATCGCAAGCTAAGGTCAGCTATCCTACAATGTGTTTCAAGGCTTAGACGGTTGCTAACACTTGAGCAGGCTAAAAAGTGAATGGTTTTCGTATCTGAGAATGAAGAATCTCGTACCTTCTCCTTTCGATGAGCTTAATTGGTCCGGAAGAGGCCAGCATGTGGAATACATGGCTGGTGAAGAGCACAATATCCCGTTGCAAGTCGAGGGTGTGCTTGGATACTCCAAAGCGGTTGTGGAGCGGGTCCGCTGTAGGAGGATTATACTCGCTCAAAAAACTATCCGCTGTAGTCCACGCATCAGCAAGGAGGAGGCCCTGCAGGAAGTTGAACACCTCCAGCGCCTTAGCCATTCGCATATCGTCCGTCTTGTTGGTACCTACATTATTGCCAGAAAGCTCTGTATCCTGATGTATCCGGCTGCCGAATACGACCTTGATGGGTTCTTGGTGTCAATCCAGGATGGGCTTGCGGACCCCGTCCGATCTTCACAGCGACTCCTGGAAGTTTCTGAAAAGCAGTTCGCCTTGACGAGGTTCTTTGGATGTCTGGCCAGTGCAGTGCAATACGTACACGACAGCAACACGAAGCACATGGACATCAAGCCAAAGAATATTATCGTCAAAGCGAAGTCATCGGGAGGCAATCCTGCGGGAAGCCACCGAGTCACCAAATACAAGGTATACCTTACCGACTTTGAGATTGCGCGTACCTACGAATGCGCTCTTGAGTCAGAAACGGACACGCCAATCGCCTGCAGCAGGCCATATGCCGCGCCTGAAGTTGTGCTGCAAACGATCCGTGGGTTCAAGTCAGATATCTTCTCACTTGGCTGCGTGTTTGCGGAGATGGTTGCCACTTTATACAGCACCGTGAAAAACGACTACAGGCAACACCTTCGAGATATGCTTCACGGCGACACATCGTATCAAGCACATACCGAGGACGTACAGAAATTTGTGAGAACCTTGTTAAGAAGTCCTACATCGGCTAGCTTATGGCCTACACATGACGTCATTTGCGGATCCATCTTTGGAGATCCTCCGGAGACGAGCTGTGCGCATTTCATGGCAGCATTCTCTGATATATTCGAACTCATGCTTGACCAAAATCCAGCACGGAGACCAACTGCAGTCAGATTGGGATTGTTGTTTAGACAGTACAGCTTAATGTGCGGCAGATGCTACGAGGGCCCGGAGCCGTTCGAGGCTGTCTCAAGAATTTGAAATGAGCGAAGGGAGACCCCTCCGCGAGTCGACGTCAGCTCACATGGCCTGGGGAAAGATACGTGTGTCGAAGACCATGTATCAGTGCGTAGTATCGCGAACATTTCACGGAACACAGTGCTGCTGTCGTTCGCTGCTAGTTCTCTGCACCTCTAGCCTTTGCGTCTGCATTTCCCGACTCCCTTGTATCATTGAAGAACAGCGCTTTCCGTCTCCTGTAGGCTATAGCGACCTCCCTCTGTGCGTCAGATGCTTGATTGATTGGTCGAGGTATCCTGTTGTAGCGCGTCTTGAAATTGCTCTTTCGTCTTTTGATCCTCTCGTAACCTCGTCCCAAGCAACGCAGATGGTCAGGCATATCTTTCTCTATGGGTTGATTGTGGTAGGCGGCAGTGTGTGGTTTGGAGCGCAGCTTTCGCATTTCCCGGAGGACACACCATGAAGCGTCTGCTTTTGTCGAAGGGGTTTGGACTAAATGTAGACCTCTTTTTCCTTATTTTGCCTCTACGCGTACAACTACACGAGCTCGACACAGGTCCGAATACTCGAATCGCTCAAAGCGACAAGCGTGGAAGATGGCGTCATCATAGCGAGCAGGCTTTACTCGTAAGCTCAGGTTAGAGTCAGTTATTAGGATCGAAGGACAGTCGGCAGACAGACTTGCGTTGAAGCACATGGTATCACATTGCTCTGAAAGACATTACTCTAAGGGTCATATTCACAAATCTTCCGCGCCTTCGGCGGTATCTCCCAGTCCACCGTCTCCATGATGACATAGCTCTCAAAAGGCACACCTCTAGGCTTCCGCTTCCTTCCATGCTCCTCTGGGCGGTAGAACTCCACCTCAAAGCCTTGGACCTGCGCCCAGCCCCTGAACAGCACCCGCCAGTAGCACGCCTCAGCTGCAGAGGTCAAATACCTCTCCCGAAACAGCCTCGCACTGTTCTCAGCAATCCGCTGCGCCTCCAGCGGCCGAGCGAGGTAGTATTCTATCGTCTCCTCTAGCTCTTTGAAATCTCTGTCCCTAAACCTCACGATATTCTGCCCCTCTCCCCGACTCGCATCCAACAGGTGATGAAAATGCTCCACGAAATTCATTTTATGCGCCACAACCACGCTCCCACAGTTCAGCAGAAACTTCAGCCGCCCGGAATACGTATTCCCCTCCGTCTGCGCCAAATACTGGTATCCACAATGCTGCTGCATACTCAGCAACTTCGCATCAATATCCGTCTTGTTCCCCCAATCCAGCGCCTGCACATCGCTCCACTCCCTCCCCTGCGCATGCTCTATCAAGCTCCCCCGCACATCCTCAGCAGCAAGGCCATGCACTGCGCCCCGCCACACGAGCTTCGGGATCTTATCCACAAACTCCGCGGCCCCCTCGTCGTCCTCTAGCACAAGATCCTGGAACTCCCCATACGACCGTATCCCCACGTCCGGCCAACTCCACATGTTGAAATCAGGCATCAGCCACAAGGTTTCCTGCTTCTCGAGCCGCGCATACGCCCACGTCGTATGGCCCGGCTTCCCTTCCTCCTCCCCTAACTCCACGTAATCGTGGACCGTGAACGTGAACTCGATATCCGGCAGTGGTTCCTGGCTCGCCACAATGGCGCGGTGGATCGCATGCAGCGTCGCGAGCGAGCGGGGCCGGTGGTTGTGGTCAGAGACCCCGCGCGCTTCGAGGATGTAGAGATTGTTGTGGTGGATCATAGCGCGCACGATGCCGTCGCCGCGCCAGGCGGGGTCGACGTCGTTGAGGGTGATGTTACCGACGCTACGGCGGTGGGCGACGGCGCGGTCGATTTCGTGGTAGAGGGATGGGAAGGCGGCGAGGCATTGCGCTTCGCTGAGACCGTGGTTGGAGGCGTCGCGGGGGTGGCGGAACGACCATTGGGAGGACTGCGGAGAATTGGGAGCGAAGAGGTGGGTTGCAGGGCGAGGCGCGGTGGTGGTTGTATGAGCAGATGGGTCGGAGGACTCCCATAGCACCTGCAAGGTCACGATGAAGATGACGATGCAGAGGAGGAAGAGGAGCGTGAGGTAGCAGCCGGTTCTGCGGAGGGGTGTGAGTGCCATGGTGGTGGCTTGGGTGTCATCGAGGGTCCATCTCTGACAACGGACAGCGAACACCTGGGTGCGGGATGCCAATTTGTTGGAGGCCTCAAGCGGGATGTTGGACCCTTGCGGTGCCCATGGCGCAAGCGGCTGAAGCTGGAGCAGGGTTCGAGAGAGTGCGGAAGTCATCACGTGATATCGCGTCGCAAGTTCCCAGCTCAAGGAGCTTAAGGTATAGGAAATCAGTAGCATTTCTAAGTGTCAGGGACGAGAAGCTTGTCAATGACCTCCCTTCTCTGCAACGCCACGTCACTAATTTAGAATCGGCTTTTTTGAAACTCAGCGCCGCTGCTATAATCTCCAAAGTAGCAGCCACCAACGAGTGAAACTCCGTCATCTTGCCGAGGCAAACAAATGGCGGATGCATTGTTCCGCGCAGACGGAAGCGTTTCGTAAGTTGTCGTGAGCTTCAAGGGGATTCCAGAAGAAAGAGAGTCAATAACATAATTGGTGCTGTTCTCCTGCAAATGGTTCGGTGATTGTGCGCCGCGACGTCTAATAGATCCCCCAGCTACCGGTATATTCTCTTATCGCGCGGGAAGCTTGACGAAGCTTGCGCTTGGTCATCTCATGGTCGATGTTGACTTGAGCGAGTCGCGCGGCGACCTGCGTTAGCAGATCTCCAGCTAGATTGTTCTTGCCGCCGAGTGCCGAGGGAAGACTATCTCCGTACGTCTCGACTAGGCCGGAAACATGCGCCGCGGCGGCCCGAATTGCCGTATCCCGGAGGGGACAGTTCTTCTCAGGGATCTTCTCGTACATGTAGTGCAGCACGTCAAGAAAGCCGGCTTGATCCCATTGGTAATTGTTGAGCAAGTCGGCAACCTTCTCGGTGGCAAGGTCTCTCAGTGAGGGAACATCGTAATAACCCGCGATAGCGTAGACGTCTACGTTGATGAGGAGGATTTCGACTATTCCGACCATTTCCTCAAACTCCTTGGAGCGTTCTCCGACGTCCGGAGACTGAGGCTCGATGGTGAAGTTCGGTAGCTCAGATGGAGATCCACCAGAACCGTTAGAGAACGGCGGATGGTCTTCACCAACATCCCATCTACCCACATCTGATATTCAGGGTCAGCCTAACTGATAGAGCTAAGAACATACGAAATTGCTACCGCATCGAACGGTTGCATCTGGCGACTTGAAGTATTCGAAGCACGACAAGGTGACAAATGGCTTTGGGGGATCAACAGCATTTCGGACTGCAGGCTGCAAGACTCACCAACTTCCGCGATGATAATGGGCATTTCTTCTTCATGCTCCGCAAATTTCCTCGCGATTATGGCGTTACTTCTGCCGTCATCGTAGTCCGTGGTGTAAAGGTACTGAAGCATGCGCTCCAGCGTAGTCGCAGTGAACTCGTTCACCGGAACGACACGTGCATTAGCCTCCTGTCAGAACACGTTAGTCGTACTCTGCGAGCCGCGCCAAAGCCAGCCTTACCACAAACTGTCCTTGTCCTTCTTGCAGCATGCGTTGAATAACCGGAGACCGCGGGCAGACGAAGGCTCGGTGGGTCGGAAAGTCGCGGCCTTCGCAGGTGAACCGCATGTCGGCATATAAGCCGGACTCCAGAAGCGTCTTCATGCTTTCCTGGAGGGCCTTCTTGTGCGGATCTGTCACAGAGTCTTAGCCGTTGAAGCGAGGTTATAACGGATCAAGCGACATACCTTGTGACGTTTCGTCACATAAAGCCATGTTGAAGAAGTCTTGGGTGGTGCTTGGTAGGAGGTAGCCGTGAAAAGGTCCTCAAAGGTAAATGAAACCACTTGATGGAGTGAAAAGTGAAGAGGAACGACCAGGACAGGCCAGTTTTCCCAGTCGCTTGTCGATAGCCCGATTCTGTGGTAGACCCGGAGGCTCTCAATCGATGAACGACGCTCTTGATCAGCAGAAGACGAAGAAAAAAATCACGCGTTGACCCTTCGTTATTGTCCGCCGATGGTGCGGTTGCGATAAGAAGGTCGTATAAGAATGGTCGTGCACGGTTTAATCGGCAGCCGCATAGTGAAGCGAATGCAAGCAGTCCCGCAGACTGGAGTAAGAGAGACGTCTCGACATGTCAGTCCCTTCGTAGCTCACCCTTCGCCTCTCATCACCTCGCCTCACTCCCGCCTACCGTCATACTAGTTTGGTGGGCTGAATGCAAGCGGTCTTGCAGTATTCACTCCCTCACCGTCCGCCCCTAGCCTTCCCCTCCCTCCCTCCGCCCCCCCCCCCCCCCCCCGCCAATCCCCGGCCACCCCCCATCTCCCCCCCCACGTCCCTAACCAACCAGCCAAATCTCCTCTCACTCAACCCCCCGAGCTGCCGTCTAGCACCATTTCTTCTGGGATGCACCCCCGGCAACCCCTCGACCGTCGCGGGCGTCTTGCCCTTCCCGCTGCCATCCCCAGAGGTCTCGATGGCTTCGATGTACTGCCGCCGCCGCAGCTCGTCGTGGATGTCGGTGCAGAGCTGAGAGAACTTCTCGGAGGAGATGCGGGAGAGCTTGTCGAGGAGAGTGAGGGAGGGCGGGGGGGAGGGGGGAAGCGTGTGGGTTGTGAGGTAGCGTCGGAAATGGGTGTGGTGCGTTATTGTGAGGGAATCGATTTGGGTGTGCGGAATCGGAGGTTTGGCGGGGGGCGGTGGGACCGGTTTGGCGGTCGTTTTCATCGTGGAAGGCTGGCTGGTGGTGTTGATGGTTGGGCGCGGCGGAGTCGTCGGCACGGAGAGTTGAACGCGTGGTTAGGTGTTATCAAACCGAAATGACAAGATCTTGATATAGATCTGTGCGTGTGCCCAGCAGCAAGCACTCGATTAGCTACAAGTTGAAAGGTTGGTAGATGGGCTGTAGCCGGAGAGCCTCAGCCTGATATACATCAGCCCTGCTTCGGAGTCGGGTTGATTGAAGTGAGCGTTATGGGCGTAGTGCAATTGATCCGGAAGCCACCAGTGAGTGCAGCCAGAGACTGGATTGTTTCGATTTGATTTAGCTGAGAGTGATGTGTATTGGAGAGTCGAGGACAGATGCACTTCATCACGTGATAAGCCATAAGTTTGATATCTTTGGAAGAGATCTGGCAGGTAGACTTTCAATCGCTCATCTCAAAGTCTATCACGAAAAAGGGAACCAATTCTACAAGCGGCAAAGCCAGCGGTATTCCTCAAATGCCGCCGTCAAGCAGCAGGCCATCAAGACCGTGTCATACATTAACAAATAGGATTTACAAGCGGGACAAGCCAGCGCCTTCCCGATCAGCGTAAAAGGATCGGTGGGATACTGTCCACCCAAAAACAAGCAAAGCAATCCAAGGCACTCAATCCAAGATTTGAGCCGTGCCCACCCATGACAGCACCAAGCATGATCATAGTAAAGGCGGCGCAGGCCAAAAAAGCCAACGCGCTGAGAACTCAAGCACAGCCAGCAGTACTGTACAAGTCGTGAAGTTAAGAATGGCGAGTCGTAGCCAGTTGGCTTCGTGCGAGGATCGCTAAGACCGCGGATAAGGCGAGGTCTCGTGTGAGAACCCCTATCGAGATCGATGGCAGAGGCTTTCCCCGAACAAGCCGTCTGCGCATTGGACGGCAGACTAACTGCCGAAGAGCATTGAGCACTCCGATGTAGTACCACGTTTTATAGCTTCTCCTTCAGACCGCCAATGCGTTCGAGATCCAGTGATTGGAAACGATCAGACGAGGTCCGCTGATACGGCGGCAAGTCCTCCGGCAGCGGCTCCAACCCCACGCTTTGCTCTCCCACACGAACGACAACGACCCTCCCGGACTGCTTCTTCCCAGACTCATCGATTTCGTCGGGGAACGTGATGCGGATTTCGGGAACCGGGCTGGGTGGAGGGCTGGAAGAGTTTGCGATGAGGCTTTGCTTCTCCTGGTATACTAGGACAGAGCCTGGACGGCGGCCATACGGCGTAGCGGTGATGGTCAAGCGGCGATGATTCGAGGTCTTCGAGACAGGCTTTTCGTTGTACATGGGAAGCTCGGCATCCTTTCTCGATCTGCGGACCGCTTTGAGGACATAGAGGATGGCGGTTGCAGTAAGTGCGATGATGACCAGCACAAGGAGAGCGATTAGAAGATGGACCATAAGCGGACTCAGCGACGAGTCGATGTCGCGCGTAAAGAGGTAACGAGCGGAAGCCATTTCGGTGGTTGGTTGTATGGCCGTACCTAGGGGGTTTCTTTGCGACTTGAGCTGCTAAGAAGGACGTTCGATGTATCGTCAAGCGTCCGGCGAGTTGATGCTGTGGGAGCGTGTAGTATGGGTGCGAAGAGTATCTCAAATCTGGAATCCAATCACAGTCAGTGTGGATCGTGATTACACTGGGGATGATTGACGTCTTGGACCCGTATTTCCTGTAGGCTGTTGTGTCTTTGGGTGGAGGAATGTGGAGACCCGCATAAACTTACCTCGACACGCAACCGTTGGAGCTGCAGAAAAAACGTGGTTATCTGGTGCTGGAAGGAATGAAGTGCATACAATCAGCTGAAAGAGTGAAGCTGACGCTGCTGAGGGAAAGAATGAGGCACCGGACGAGAGTGATGTTCAAGCACGGAGAGGACTGAGGACGGGAAAGGACAAAGAAGAGGTCATGGCCTGTTTTGGCGGCGCAATCTCCATGTTGGCGCTGGGGCCGTTGGCAGAACGGGTTCGCGCTCACTTGCATTTTTAGCGCAATTCGGAAATTGCCAGCCTGCCCACCAATGACATGTTGCGATGTAAGCGCTCGAGAGCAGACGCGTGATGCTCTACATGGACCTTCAGCTCATAGCGGGAGTTTGTACACAAGCTCTGCCAATGATGAGAGGGAGGACAGCTTCGCAGTCGCTTGCAGGAGCAAGTCTTTCAGGTGGAGAATCCTGCTGAGCGGTCTGGTTCTACATGGGCCTGACGCGAGGGCCCGTCGCGGCGTGCAAGTCGCGCGAAGAAGACAAGCAGAACACACGGCAAGCTTCTTTGAGAGCCAAGGGCCATCCGAGAAGTACGTCGCCGCACTGAATGTGGACAGTGTAAGCGCAATTCACGGATCGAAGACCTCTCAGGCGACCAATGCACTAGAGGGCCACACTGCTGAATTCTTATGCTTTCTATCGCGTGATATCGGGCTAGCTGCTTCATAGGTAGCAAGATCATGGGTCAAGTTTGATCATGAATCTGGTTTTCGAACAAGCTTGAGCAAAGATGCGGTAACATACTTTCCGGCCGGCCCTCGGGCTTAGAAGAGCATGCTCGTAATCGAAGAGATATATATATATACGTAGGACATAGCCTCAGCGCTGACGTCTAGTTAAGCTGGTCGCATAAGCCCCTGGCTGAAGCAGCTCGCGTTTCGCCCTATGGACGTTGCCAGGTACGCGATTCTGACATGCATTTCCCCCTGCTCGAAGTGTTAACACTCTCGCTGGGCGATTGCTGGCTCGATTGAAAGCGCGTCAAAGGGGTAGGGCATCAGTGCCTTGCAGTACTAACGCTTTCATTGACCTCGACTCACGTGATTGAGCTTGCTAAGACTCGTATTCAGCAGCAGCCAGCCGCTTCAGCGTTGTTGATGGAGTCGTTCACACGCGATTATACCTGACAATGTTTACCTGGAAAGAGAGGCCTACACAGCTGAGCGCTTGACGCGACGAATCTGCCGCAGCACAGAGATGTTGGACGAGGATTTCAGGCGAACATTAGTATAGGTGGTGGTCTCAGTCGCTGTCATTCAACGCAGAAGATCGGAAACAACAAGTAGTTTGACTTGTCTTAACGGAAACATCCTGTCACGGAGCAGTGGATTTGCGTTCCAAGATTGCCATTATAATGTACGCATATGCCCTTTCTGTAGCGGCAGGGAGTTTGTTCAATGACCGAGGAGACCGAAGGCTGCCCCGCGAATCTAAAGGGTCGGATACGGGTCCCTCGAATCGTGCACGACTCTACTTCTGTGCAGCCGTGGCAGCGGTTCCAGTCAGGAGGTTTCTGAGAACAAAGCGCAGGGTCAAGAGTCTAGTCAACGTCTACCCAATCTGTCATTGAGTGGGGATCGGTTCTGGCAACAAGCGGTGAGGCACTAATGCTCGTCACTATCCGCATACCGGCGATTAGTTGTCGACCCGCTTTGGATTCTTTGTGGCGAAAGCCAGCGGATGGCACACTGATATGTATTTCCCGCACTTTGATCTTCCGACGGGCGAACATAGGTAGTACAAGGTTCGGCAGACTAGGGTAGATTTGTCCGTACTTGTAGCCGTCAGCACGACGGCAGGGTCGTTACTCCCGGCAGGCTTCCCCTCTGCGTACGACACGTTGCTACATAGTTCTGGTGAGGCTGGGGTGGCTTGACTTGCTGCAGCTTGGCCGCTGCGGAGACGTGAAGTTACGGGGTATCTGCTGAATGCAACCGGTCTCGGACGATGTGATTTCAACAACACTGAAGGGAGTGGAACTGTCGACAAGAAAATGACACGAGGATTGAGCAAGCAGCAGCACATGAAAAGCCTAGGTGGGAAAGGCAGACGTAGCCGTACTGAACGTACCGTTGAACAGAACACTGTGGAGCGAGTCATCCTGGACGGCTCCACGTCCGGCTGCGAAGCGGAGGCTTTGTGATACCATTACTGATCTGATCCACATAAGAGTTGAGAACGCCCGTAGGCAACGCTGGGATGTACTGGAAGAGCACCTCCACCAGAACCTGTCTCACCTACAGCCTGGAAGCAAGCGCTGCCGATCGACCAACCCGAGCAGCTACGAGACCAGTGAATCTTGCAGATAGAGCCGCGCAGTGCGCCTGGCAGCTGGAGGGAGCGGTCAGCAAGCGGTGCAGCCGTCCACACAAACATTGCCAGACAAGCAACGGGACAACTTGGACGCCACCTGCCGAGTGGAGCGCTACACTGGACGAGAAGAAGGTGCGCAGGAGAGACTCCACGGCTCCATCATCCTTGATTGCAAGTGTGCAGGTCGTCGACACAAAACGCCCCGGGCCTTCCAAGGCTGCTAGCGCGCCTTGCCCGCTCGACGCCATCTGCGACCTGGGCTGGATTCTGGGCTGAGCGCTAACTAACTAAGCCCTCCCTCCCGCTGGCGCCGGCGCCGAATCTAGGGCTCTCCAGGGTCAAAGTGTCCTCAGAGTGTCCTCAGAGTGTCCTCAGAGCGTCCTTAGAATATCTCCAGATATTCGCGCAAAGGGTTGCATTCGACCTTACATCTGCAGACATACCCCCCCTCTACTCCCAACCTCCGGCGCGCTGCACAACACTTCATCGTGCCCGTCACCCCAGCGGCAACGCGCCATTCCACACTGTCTTCCCCGGCCATCCCTTGCTTTGCCGGCGTCGACCACAGCCCACATCTCGACTCCTTGGCCGTGGATGATACACCGATGCGCTCCCTGAGAAGTGCGCGAGAGCACCTCTTTGAGTTTAGCATGCGCATTGGGTGACTCCTCACTGCTGGCTGAAATTGCATGCATTCAAGGGGTGCGCTCTTTGCAACCCGTCACAATATCATACCTCGCGTCCTTCGCGCTTCTGTCCAAGGAACCCTCACCTCTCCCTTTCATCTCTGAACTGTACATGCTTTGTGGACATACAGTTTAGTGTTTTCGCTGGCGGAGGTTTGTATTGCTCCCAGGCTGCACCTTTTCCTCTTCGCCTCGTGCTCCAGTGCTGACGCCTAGCCCAACTCAGCCCACCATCCTTCGGTAGCCACTTCGACCAAAGACGACATACTTCCTCCGATCGCCTCGAGCGACTGACCATCCCTACGTCTCGACCTACAAATACTGTCCCTTCACGGATCTTATCATGGTATCCGGAATAGCCGGTCGCACGGCCGTCGCGATGCCGAACAATGTGGGTCCTCCTGACAGTGTTACAAGAGACGGTGTCGCTCAGAACGGACGAGTTGATGGAACGTTGCAGGCTCGACCTTCTCGGCTTGGTGATTATGGCGTTTCCTCGAGATACGGCAGCGATAGCCAGACCTTGCAACCGGCCACTACCGCACAGGGCATGTCCGGTCCTAGCAACGTGTGGAGCGGCAACATATGGTCGAAAAGTGCGATAGGAACAGGATTCGGCTCGACCACCCGCGACAGCTCTCGATTGCGAGGTATACCCCAAGGGACACCCGCCAGCGACAGACGGGTTTCTAATGCCGACTGCGCAGACAACGGCGCGTTCCTAGATCTCGGAGATGAGGTGATCGAGGGCAAGACCGGCTCGGGATCTCTTCTGGCGTCGTCTGAACAGGATACGTGGACTCGTCAGCAACCGGCCTGGGCGTCAGACAATAGCTCTGTGGCTGCCAAGACCAAGGAATCCGGCATGTCTTCCGTACGACATCGCAATGGCCCAGCTCAGTCTTTCAGTGACCATATCCATGCCGGTGCAAACGTGTTCTCCGCACCAAACCTATCCAAGTCAATGAACAAGTATGCGCTTGATCCCATGTCCGGCAATTTCTCCTCGGTAAAATACGAGAACGGAGCCGCAGGGTTTGGATCGTCGGGCAGGTTTGGTGATAGCGACAGCCACCGGGCAACAGAGGCAAACATGGGGCCTTGGGGCGACGCCGCGTCCACCCACTCTCCCACGGAAGACCGCCGCAGTACTTCCGGGTACTTCGGAAGGAGTGCTGCTCCATCTCGCAGTGGCAGCCTGCCACCGTCAAGACATGGCGCCGATTCCTCTCAGGCAACCCCCACATCGAACGCTTACCAAGGGCTAAGTTCTCGTGGACATTCCGCAGGTCTCTCGGCGCAGAGCAATGACAGGCCTTTTCAGGACCGAAGTGACTCTGTTCACAGCGATGCAGCGTCAATGTTCAGTCGACTCAGTATCGATGGATATTCTGAGGCAGTGCCAATGCTCCAGCGGCCATCAATGAGTGCCGGCGGATCTTCCGGACAGTTGATTCATAGCTCTAGCGATTACAGCCGCATTCGACAATCAATATCAGATGCGTCGCATAGCCTCCCAGGTCATGCGGATTGCTCGAATGGCTCTTTCACTCCTGATGGATTCCCATCCGCACAGTATAGCGATCAGATGGTCGCACTCCGCGGTCTTCAGTTTGGCAGCCGAGGTGCCATGACCCCCGCCGATTACCGCCAAAGTCCGTATTATTCGACCGGTGGTACTCCACCTGGTATGGCTGGTATGTACGAGCAAATGTACCCCTGGAGGAAAAGCAGTGAGCCATCCGCCCGCCAATCTGCGAATGTTAATCCTGTCCTACTTCAGCAACGGCTTCAGGGACTTGAGGAGCAACAGAGGTTCATCTCGCCGCAGTATCAGCCCATGATGGCTGCGCAATTCCGTGGACAGTATAACCCCTACCAATACGCAATGCCAAACGGCCAACCTATGAGTGGTCTGAACCCTGGAATACAACTACCTACCATGCCAACGATGATGCCCGCCATCGAAGCCCCGAAGGCGCCTAGAGACCATGACTCTGGCATGGGTGTCCGCAGCGTTTTGTTGGATGAGTTCCGATCCAATGGCAAGACCAGCCGGAGATATGAGCTAAAGGTAGATCTTCCCCCCTTGCTGGTGTGAAATTGCTTAGGCATTCTCCTCATCTAAAAGTGCCATGCACAGTCACTGCGCACACGGTACTAACCGAGGTTAGGACATCTACGACCATATAGTCGAATTCAGTGGTGATCAGCACGGATCTCGGTTCATTCAGCAGAAGCTCGAAACCGCCAACAGTGATGAAAAGGAGAGAGTGTTCAAGGAGATCCAACCCAACTCGATGCAGCTGATGACAGATGTATTTGGCAATTACGTCATCCAGAAGTTCTTTGAGCATGGCGATCAGAACCAGAAGAAGACCCTTGCGAACCGCATGAAAGGCCAAGTCCTCAGCCTATCCCTGCAAATGTATGGTTGCCGGGTCGTGCAGAAGGTATGTTTTCTGTTGGTGTGTCTGAAACATATGCTGACTTCTGTAGGCTCTCGAGCATGTCCTTGTCGACCAGCAAGCCAGCATGATGAAGGAGCTCGAAAATCACGTGCTCAAGTGCGTCAAGGATCAGAACGGCAACCATGTAATCCAGAAGGCCATCGAGCGTGTTCCGGCGGAGCACATTTCCTTCATCATCAATGCCTTTGTTGGCCAAGTCGCGCACCTCGCGATACATCCTTACGGCTGCCGTGTCATCCAGCGCATGCTTGAACACTGCGAGGACTCCGCGCGCGGCTCGATACTGCAGGAGTTGCATGCCTGCGACTCATCACTCATCCACGACCAGTACGGCAATTACGTTACTCAGCATCTTATCGAGCACGGCAGACCAGAAGACCAGGCGAAGATTTTCGTGTTAATCAAAGCACAACTACTCCAGTTCTCCAGGCACAAGTTTGCAAGCAATGTTGTCGAAAAGTGCTTGATATTCGGGACTGATGAGCAACGGCGCGACATTATGATGATCCTTGCTACCAGGAACGAACGCGGTGAGAGCGCGCTTGTTTCACTTATCAAGGACGGCTACGGTAACTACGTCATCCAAAAACTGCTCGACACGCTCAATGCGACAGACTATGCTACTTTCATTGAGTATCTACAGCCGGAAATGACGAAGGCGAAGAAAGTCGTCTCTGGGAAGCACGTACAAGCCGTCGAGAAGAAGATGCATCGCTTTGATAGATTCAGCACAGCAGGCTACAGTCTTCAGCACCACGATGCTAGCCACGACATCTCGACGTCTACAACGCCGCCTTTGACGGCGGATGGCCAGAGTCTGCAGAGCGGCTCTTCGCCTAGTACAGCCAGCAGTGCAGCTGATGAGCCTGTACACAAGATTCTCTCGAACCCGCTACCTGCCATCCCCAGAATTGCCCTGCAGAACGCTTAATAGGGCTTCAAAATTACTGCAGTGGGAGCAGACGCTAAGACCTCACGCAACCCTATACCGCACCGCTTGCGCTGTGTTTCCTGCAGCGAGAGTTCACGATGCTTGCCCCCTTGTTCAACCCCCGGATTTTCCTTATACTTCAACTTCGGACAGCGCAACAGAATAGAGGACTTGCATGGAAACCTTTCTTTTACGATCTACGATGTTACAATCTGACATTTATGAGTACAGTCGCCGCGTAATAGCACCCTCTTCTTTTCGGGCCTTTTCAGCGCTAGGATACCACCTTCTCCTTTCTACCCCGTGTATTATTCCTTTGTCATACTTTGTTCGCGGATGCATTTGCTGGCGCTGGGACAAACGTCCGGTACGTAGTACATGTACGGATGGCTCTGCGCTGCTGCGCACTGGTCACGTCTCTCGTTCTCGATGGGAATGGTGCAGTTCTGGGTTCGTGGGCAGCTGAGGTGTTGCTGGCGTGGTCGGCTGAGCGCTGCCATCAACGGATGTACGGGATACTTGATGTGCTAGACGGCTGTCCATGATGGGTATAGATAGTTCAATCAGACGCTTGAATACGATCTTGGGCGGCTCAAGCCGCCAAATGCTTATTCTCCGTTGCGCGACAGATGGTGGGCGTGGACTTATTGCTGGTCTGAAGCGCTGATGCTTCCAGGTTGGGCGCCAATTCAGAAACCAACATGACTCCAGCAAGGGGCATGTAGAGAGGTTGATTTAGGGGTTGGAGCGAGACCAGCTTTCCTATGTCTCTCCCTCTATTCTGGAACGAAGCACTGTGATTCCTCATCTACATTCGCGCTGGATCGGCATGCTGCGGCTCAATTTGACTCGTGCCTTCCTTTGGACCCCTTGATCCCACACAAACACCAATGGCACGTGCGGAAGGTGTGTAACGAAAATAGTTTACCGTATCAAGTTTCCATTCAACAACGTCTCAACCTTGACTTTGCGCCAGCGCACGAAAGCAGCACCAAACATCTCCACCAACATGTCCGCACCGCGCCTAACCTTCCTCTACCCGCTATTCTACAGGTCCATACGGAGCTCAGAGTCCGCCGCAGTACGCTCAGTGCCTGAGCGCAAACCCCGAGCCCCGCAGCAAGCATGCTTCCACACGAGTCCTCGCCGTAGACAAGAGCTCCAGCCCCAACAACGCTATGGCACCGCCAACGAACCTCCGCCGCATTTGGGCGCCAGCAAGCCTCCACCTCTCCGAGAAGCGACATCCTCAAAGCCGCCGCCGCCGCCAGACAGCAAGCCCAACCAGCCCCAAGCCCTCCCCCCCAAATCCGAGCCCTCGAAGACCGCCCCTCCGCCCGCAGACAAGACGCCACAATCGGAGCCCCCCGATCCCTCTTCGTCCACCGAATCCGTCTCCCCCGCCCAAAAAGCCTTCCTCGACGCCAAAAACGCAAAAGAGTCCTCCCCCTCGCAGCCCAAACCCGACCTCCCGCAGACCGCAGGCCCAAACCCGCTCGAGACGGTGCTGACGATGCCGAGCCCGTCGGAGCGCGAGGAACATCGCCCGCCGCATCTGCAGACGCCGCCGTATGTGCATCATTTCGACACGTTTGGGCTGGTGCAGGAGCTCGAAAGGTCGCGCTTCAGCCGCAAGGCGAGCGTGACGCTCATGAAAGCCGTGCGCGGGATCCTGGCCGAGAACATGGAGCTTGCGCAGGAGAGCTTGGTCAGCAAGAGCAATGTGGAGAACGAGACGTATCTGTTTCGCGCCGCGTGTAGTGAGCTGCGGACGGAGACGCAGACGAAACGAAGGGCGGCGATGGAGAAGATGAGGACGGAGAGGACGCAGCTGCAGCATGAGGTCGATATGCTGAATCAGCGGTTCGGCCAGGAGATGGCGAACATGAAGGAGGAGCTCAAGGGCATGTTTGATGATCGGAAGATGACGGTTCGGATGGAACAGAGGGATGTGGACAGTAAGGTGAGTTTACCCCTTGCATTCGTGATCTCGACATATGTATAATGTACGGTAGCTAATGGCCACCCCACAGATCCAGCAGCTCAACTACAAGATCACAGTGACGCTCAACTCGGACGCGCGCAGCGAGGTCGAGGGGCTGCGCTGGGTCTTGACCAGGAGAGCGGCAACGGCTATTGTACTGTCTGCACTGATGATCCTCTCAACGCTAAAGTACCAGAGCTATATGACGCAGCTACAGGAAAACGAGAGGAAGAAGATGGCAGAGAAGGACGTCAAACCGGCTAGAGGCGAGAGCGGCGGCGGATCTGGTCTGCTCAGGCCGATTGCCGCTGGGGAGGAGACAATTGGCGAGGAGTTTCTTGCGAGTCAGGGGGGTGGGCAGGGGTATGTGTCACTTGGGTAAGAGGTATTTGGGAGCCCGAGCTGTGAGGAAGTGTTTGGGTATGGACTCGTTTCTGTTGTGCACGAGTTCAGGCAACCTGATCTATTTTGGGTGCGCAAAGCATTGGCTGTAGGCATGCTACCTTTACTGTAGATACTCTTCGATGCAACCGCAGTTTCCCCACCAGCAAACTCGAACAGTTCATAGCTCATATCGCTTTGTGTGACTCCATACAAGAGAACGACCAAGGGCGACCCGAAAAGCCCGTTGCCGCATCTCTGGTCTGGCTTATTCAATACCAGATTCGCGATCGAGCTGGTCTTATTACCATGTCGAGTATAGAATAGCGATACGGATTGCATGCGATAGAAGGGACATGACGTTCAGCATTGTAGCCCATTAGTGCATTGATCACTTGAGGCGACTTTAATCTCTGAACTGCACTTGCGCACCATGCGCCTTCAGTACGGCAATGCCCTTCTCGGATGGCCCTTGGACCTTGCTCAGGTTCACTCAATCAACAGATGCGCCGCTAGTCTAGTAGTCGTAGGTATGATCTCTGTATTTTTGGTCTCAGCCGGAAGCCCTTTGTATAACAACGCACACGTTGCAGACTCACAAGAAATCGCTCGAGTACGGTACACCCCAAAGCTCATCCATACCAAATTCACCGTAGACTCGCACCCGCTCCTCTTCGATGCGATGGCCACGCAAATAGCCGTCAACTTCAATAATGATCGGGTCCCACGACACTTTTGGTTCACGGTGTCGCCCGCGCCCGCTGCTGAGCCACTTATGACTCGTCTTGTCGATTATAAACGCCCGGACATTGTACTGCTCGGCCAGCAAGTCAAGGAGCTGCATCCTCTCGAGCTTTTGCTGGAGCTCGCCCCATGCGAATGCTCTTGTAAGGTAGTTCCGTATGCCATCTTCAAGCATCGTTGGCACCAAGTCGAATGAAGTCTCTTCGTGGTCGCCGATTTCGGTCTTGATGTAGGCATAGCGGGCCCAGAGCACGGCTTCCATGTCTACGCACATCTGCTTGGACGTGTAGAGGAGTGCTTCGGCGGTGCGGAAGCGCTCTTCGAGGCTGGGGGTGATGAGGCAGTAGCCGAGAATTTTTTGGCGGAGCTCTAGGGGTAGCGTCTCGAATGGCGGTTGTGGCATCCTTGACACTGGTGACAATAAGAACATAGAAACGAAGAGACACTTGAGAAGGATGACAGTTGAGCGTAGCAGGACCCGAGAAGTTCAAGTATCCTGAACGCTAGGTATCGCTCTGACAAAACTTTGAGTCCCACATACCTTCCGCACTTACAACCACGGTTCTAGAGTTGACTCGATACACTGAACCCAGATTTGCACAAGAAGTTTGCGCCCATAAGTCGTAGGGCGTCAAACCTTCATCTTCGCATGCCAGCTTGATTCTTACTTCAGCTGTTAGCTTTGTGTGCACGTTGGAATTGACACGCGGTCGAACTTCGTGTTGTCCCTTGCGATCATGGCGTTCGGCAAAAGTTCGCCCGGCGCCCGCCAAACCTCCAAGACAACACCAATGTCTGGAGATGGGCCACCGTCCGAGTATACGGGCATTGCCGCTGCTTTTGCCAAAGCAAAGGCCGAGCAAGAGGCGAAGGGCCTTCGACCGAGGAACGAGGACTCCAAGGCCTACAACAAACAGCAAGAGCGGCAGTTCAAACGCTCCCTCGTCCGGCTCATCGGCTTCCTTTCGCTGATCCTGTATGAACTCACTAGCATCTGCGCAACGTTCGATCGACCTATGCTGATACGTACTACAGCTTACTACACGTCTTTGGAATCTACCTGTTCACAAGCGGCTTCCTACTCACACGATTGGTCCTCGACAATAAGTCGGACTGCGCTGTACTTCCAACAGATGTAGAAGGATATAAAACTGGCTCACCAGCCGCGGGCTGCTGGCACCCCAAGACTTTCGAGAAGGCCGTCGTGATCATTGTGGATGCGCTCCGATACGACTTTACCGTCCCCTTCAACCCAGCTACCGCCAACAGCCAGCCGCACCATTTCCACAATGCCTTACCGGTATTCCACGAGACGGCCACGCAGCAGCCGAACAACGCCTTCCTTCTGCCCTTCATTGCGGATCCGCCAACAACAACCTTGCAGCGACTAAAGGGACTTACGACTGGCACATTGCCCACCTTCATCGATGCAGGCTCCAACTTTGCCGGCACCGCCATAGACGAGGATAATCTAGTCGCGCAGCTCCGGAACGCAAGCAAGACCATTGTCCATCTGGGCGATGACACCTGGCACTCCCTCTTCCCGGGATACTTTGAGCCGAACCTAACAAGAGCATACGATTCGTTCAACGTCTGGGACCTGCACACTGTCGACAATGGGGTGACCGAGCACCTTCTGCCGCTTCTCAGCCCTGCCAATTCTAGCAAGTGGGATGTTGTGTTCGGGCACTACCTTGGTGTTGACCATGCAGGCCATCGCTACGGACCGGATCACCCTGCTATGGCCGCCAAACTTAGACAGATGGACGACGTCTTCCGCAGAGTCATAGACTTGATAGATGACGAGACACTGCTGGTAGTCATGGGCGACCACGGTATGGATGCTAAAGGCGATCACGGTGGAGAGTCCGCCGACGAGATCGAGGCTGCCCTCTGGATGTACTCGAAAAAGGGCATCTTCGGCCGCAGCTCACCGGAGTTCGTACATCCGCCCGCAACCGCTAAGGAACGGCCTGTCGCGCAGATCGATCTCGTACCCACACTCTCATTCCTTCTCGGCATGCCTATCCCGTTCAACAACCTCGGCGCACCGATTGAGGAGGCTTTCATTGGCAGAGACGGCCAGGATTTCTCCAACCTTGCTCAGGTCAACCGCCTGACGGCGGCGCAAGTCTACCGATACCAACACCAATACGCCCTTGCCCGGAAGCTGGACGAGTCAATAACTTCAGGGCCCCTTGCCCTCTTTAAGGCAGCTACTGAGGCTTCTGAGTCAACCTATGGCGCCAGGAGTCCGAGTCAGGCTGATTGGCGTTTAGTCTACAAAGCATACAGCAAGTACCAAAAGGAGACACTCGGTGTCTGCCGAGGTCTCTGGGCAAGCTTTGATACCGAGAGCATGTATCTCGGAATTGGTATCCTCGCCTTTACTCTGGGACTTCTTGCGGTGTACGCGCGCGGTATTGATGGCGATATCACCGACGTTACGCCCGTCTTGCTGTTCCGGGGCGGTATCGGCGCGATCTTGGGTTCCACCGTCGGTCTTGGCTCTGGCATTGCCCTTGCGCCGTCATCTTTCCCCTTGGGGTTATTGGCAACAGTTTGCGCCATTCTTGTGGGTGGCGCTGGTATTGTTCTTGTCTTCGCTTATATGCGAGTCGGTAGTGATGGCATTATCTCTACCTTTACCAATGCAAGACAGGGGCTCGTTTCTACTCTACCAAGCTCGCAAAGGGGTTGGCTTGAGCTCGCTGCCGTCCTAAGTGGAGTGGTTAGTGTCGGCCTTGGCCTTGCAGCGTCCTTTCCCTTGGTAAAAGCGACAATACTCTCCACCGTGCTCGTAAGTGGTACTGGCATAGTATCTGCCCTCCGCTTCGCCGAACGGAGGCTCGTCTCTCCTCTGCCAAGCTCAATATGGGGCTGGATGGCGGTCTTATCTCCGCTTCTGCTTTCGATTGGATTCGCATCGAACTCGTTTACTATCTGGGAAGATGAGATTCTTCTCTATTTCTTGGCTACATGCGGTGTCCTTTTTCTTATCTCCTCGTTCCGGCAAGTGGATGTTTCTGATCGAGTCCTGGGTATTTACCATTCCATATTGTTCACGGTCCTAACGCGTGTCGCTTCCCTGTCGCGGCTCTGTCGAGAGGAGCAGATGCCCTACTGCGTGTCCACATATTACGCTTCCGCAACGTCGTCCACTTCTGCGGGCTGGCAGCTCATCATCCCTTTCGTCTTGGCTCTTGTGCTTCCCACCGTCATCAAATCCTACTACAAGTCCTCCCTCAACTATCAGGGCGCAGGCGTCATGTGGATCGGCTTCGCCTTCCGCTTCGGCCTCGTCCTCAGCGCCGTCTTCTGGATGCTCGACGCCGGCGACGACGCCGACTGGTTCGAAACCAACAAAGACACCCTCAAAACCATCAAAGTCATCGTCGCCCAGATCGTCCTTGCCGTCGCCTTCGCCGCTGGCTACTCGACCTACACGTGGTCCGCGCCTCTCCTAACCATTGGCACCACCGCCGACGTTCTTGCCCCCGACAAAGCAAAGTCTCAGGCCATCGTGTCGCTGCCGGGTCGCGCCGCTATCACAATCCTCGGCTACGCCAACCTCCACGGCACGCGCTACTTCCTCCTCGCCACCATCTGGGCCCTCGGCATCATCCTGCTGCAGAAGCCCATGGGCGGCGGGGCCATCGGAATCTGTGTCTGGCAGATCCTGTCGCTGCTCGAGATCATCGATACGAACAAGTTGTCGCGTACGCCCGTCGGCCCGGTCGTAATGGGGCTCATGGGCTCGTTCTACTTCTTCAAGACAGGGCATCGGGCTACTTTGGCGAGCATACAGTGGGAGAGCGCGTTTATCCCGCTGAAGAGCATCAGGTATCCGTGGTCCCCTGTCCTGGTGCTCTTGAATACGTTTGGCGCGCAGATTCTGTGCGCGGTTGCGGTGCCGGCTACGGCGCTGTGGAAGAAACAACCGAAGCAGAGGGGGTTGTTGGGGGATGTTGTTAGGGCGGTCGCGACGCATATCCTGTTTTATGCGGCTGTTGCGCTGGCGACGACGATGTGGGCCGGGTGGCTGAGACGGCATCTTATGCTGTATAGAATTTTTAGCCCGAGATTTATGATGGGGGCGCTGGTATTGCTGGTCGTGGATGTGGTGAGTGTGTTTGTTGCGTTGGGAGGGACGCTGTGGAGTTTTTTGAGCGTCGCGGAGGTGTTTGGGTGGCCGTGAGGTGGGTGGGGTGTGGGAGGGAGGCGTGCTAGGATAAGAGTAGGTCTTGGGAGACTCTTTGAGACTGGTAGCTGTGATATCATATGTTTACCCCATCCAACGCGGTGTTTTCTTGATGCCGTTTTTCTTGTCTTGTGAGTTGAAAGATAAGGGTTTGCGGGAGCTTGGATTATGTTCTCATCGTTCGCTCCTCTGTCCTTTGGGTGAGTTACACTCTCCTGTTCCGGTCAAGCTGGTATTTCTAAGATGGTTCTGCTCCTACCTTTGCTATTTTTGTCTCCTCCTTAGTTATTGTGTGGATGCCGCTGAACACTGCCCACGCACAACCTTTGTGGTCTCGATAATTTGGAGTTGGTGCTGTATAACTCTTGTCTCTTTTCTTGTTCCACGTCTCCTGGCTGCACGGCTCTATAAACATATCCGCCTAGCGAGGACACGTTCATACTGGAGGTTTCTAACTTGAAAAGCGGATTCTTCGCAAGAGACTACAGTTACGACAGGGGACCACGAAGCCGGTGCCGGCCTGGAAACAACATCTGCCTCTGCACCAACGCTGTCCACGGCTCTAGTCTCATATAAAAGATTTGTGGATGTTTCATGGTATAGGATTGAGGAGTCGTACCAGCGACGTGGATGCAGTACGGCCTCCTAAAGAGAAGCGGCGGTTATCAGCTGCATGCTCAAGTCCCTGGCCGTGCAGCTGCTCATTCCATCTCGCGGTTCAGGAAGGGACTACTCCAGATCACCCCTCGGCACCCCAGCACTTTTCAATCTCTCCACCACGACTCGCTTCATCGACATCATCCTTCTTCTCGACGTTTTGCTCTACCGCTGTTGCAGTTCGCTTCCTCAATACTGTCTTTACTTTGCGTATTGCACTACAGCACTAGATCTTCAATATGGGTACTAAGCGTACTACGGAATAAGTAAGTGGCTAGGACCGTCAGTTCCACCTCTATGTTGATTCCAGCGGCTGCTAGCGGATTGAAGCTTTATGTGTACCTAGATTATCGTCAATGCTGTTTTCGCTCTGCAGGGACTACGTGGGCGAGGAAGGCGTGTTGTTAGGTGATATGATGCGCAAGGTTGAGGGCAAGTTCGATCCAATCCAGGCAGCAAGCTTGACCGGGTTCCTCAACGAGACGGAACTGGTCAGTTGAGAAGCGAACAGAGTCTATCCCACGCAAGAGTTGACGGACCTCCTCCTGTGCGTGAGGGTCAGGAGGGACTGGCTGTGCTGTCTTTGGTGGTGGGTTTGGCTTGCCGCCAGGGTTGGGACTGGGGGTTTGAGGCATCAATGTATGATAGGAGTATGAAACTATGAAGCTTTCAACTGCGCATTGCGCTACATACTGTGGACTTGTACTACCATTCCCCTCCCACTCGTGCATCTTCTGTTCGTCAGCACATCGGATCAGGAATCGTGCCAGGTACATGAAGGCAGCCGTGGGTTGCAGTGACACTGGAATGGGAAGGTCCACCGCTGTCCCTATCGAACCTCCAGGTGGCCGTTCAGATCACAATTCACAAGCAAAGGAAGTTCATCCATGATCCTCGGAGACCTGCATTGAAGCCGGATTGAGGCTCAATGGTGCGGCAAGGGAATGAGTGGTATTAAGACTGACCGCAGAGCCACCATTGAGTGGGACTTGATGTCGGATAGCTACATGAACAGGAGTATGTTTCCGTCCTCGGGACACCTTTGATGGTTAATACATGAAACCTTTGACTGGCTGGACAGCGCACTGTCCTACTCGTACGAGATCAATCAGGCGTTGTTACCACGGCACAGCTGTGAGTCCAGCTCTGTCGTACCTTCGGGTTGCAGATCTCGGATACGAAGATATGCTGGTTAGTTTTGAGCATGACAGTTGGCTTTGATAGACGATCATTAGCGGCTCCATGAAGGGCTTCATGTTCTAGAAGCGGACAGGTTCAACACTGGGCGAGATATTCGGAACAAGGTTTCCACTACCTGTGAACTTTTGAATAAACTGTGTATCAAGCAACCACAGACGATCCCGCATCAGTACCAGCAACGCTCAACCCTGCATTTCAATCCCGCCAGACCCGTGGATGACTTCGCCGGTAAAGTACGAGCCCAGCGGCGAAGCAAGGAACACATACGCCGTCGCGACCTCAATCGGCATACCCGGCCTGTTCAGCGGAGCTTCCCCAACGCCAAGCGCCTCCATCGCCTCAGGCGGGTTCCCCTTCGTCGCGGGCTGCAGCGGCGTCCAGATGATGCCAGGGGCTACGGCATTGACCCTGATGCCCTTCGGGGCCTGTTGTTGGGCCAAACTGCGGGTGAAGGTGGCGATTGCGCCCTTGGTCGAGGAGTAGTCGACCAGTGTAGGGTTGCCCATATACCCGGCGACGGAGCAGGAGTTGACGATGCAGGAGCCCCGCTTCATGTGGGGGAGCGCGTATTTGGACATGGCGAACATGGAAAGGATGTTTGTGCGGAAGGTCTTTTCAACGACGTCGAGGTCGATGTCTACAAGGTCTTCGCAGGCTTCTTGCATGGCGGCTAGGAGGCATCGTCAATCACGGCTCATGTCGCGAAAGGGGCTGGAGGGGCATACAATTGTTGACCAGGACATTGAGCTTGCCGAACTTCTCCATGTGGGACTCAACAGCCTTCTTGCAGTTCTCATTGTCCCTAAGGTTGGACGGAATGAGATTCGCCTTCCTCCCCGCCTCCTCAATAGCCTTCTTGGTGAACTCCGCGTCCTGCTGTTCCTCGGGCAGGTAGACGAACGAGACGTCAGCGCCCTCTCTAGCCATCAGGATGCCGACTGAGCGGCCAATGCCCGAGTCTCCGCCAGTAATGAGTACAGCTTTATCCTGTAGCAAGCCCCGCCCTTCGTACTCCTTGAGGTACGGCTTCTTGCCCTCATCGTCCCAGAACTCGAGTTGGGTCCACACGGCTGCGGGCTCCATCTTGGTATCCAGTCCTGGGCCGCCGGACTGATCTTGAGCCTTCAGCTCGGTGCTTGGGTAAGCGGTGAGCGGCTTCTTTTGGTCGGACATGATGGCGGTTTGGTGGAAGTTGAGTCGGGTGTACGGGTGGAGTGATGAGGGCTTGGTTGCGCGTGGAAGGGTTCTCGAAAGCGTGCGGAGAGATTGCAATGGCTTCAGAAAAACAGAATTCATTGTCCTAGGAGGGACTACTCGAGTATTCGTACGGAGGGACGGCCGCTTTGTTCGTCACTGCACAGCAGTGAGGTCATAATCTTTGTCGTCATCGCTGCGAGCCGCTTGCCAGTGTGTCTGTCGATGTGACGACACTGGGGCTAGCATCTCGTGGGATAGAGCGAAACTCATTGAACAGAGTCAATGAGCATTTCGGAGGCTATAACCAGCGCATTGCTTGGTGGCAGGCCAAGTTGCTGCGAAACGTTACGGATGATGCACTCCGCTTCCTGCTGACTCAGATGAGGCTGACGGGAACCAGCACGAAGATGGAAAAGCTCCACGAGAAGCACAGCGGCCACCTAGATATCAAATATGCTGTCAGCGACAACATGAAACAAAGTTGAGAGTTCAGTACTACCCTTGAGTACTTGGGGAACAGCAGGCTTCAACTGCGGTGTATATCGTGTTGAAGAGGACATCACTCGGTGCACCGAACACCGGTAAGACACTCTGACCATGGTACCGTCGCGACTGGGTTGTAGCTTACAGTGAGCTTCACACTTGTATTGTAAGAAGCGTGGAACGCGGCGTCAAACCAAAAATCACTTTGTGAAAGCATCACGCTTCAGTGGAATGACCGCTCGCTCTTTGATGCGATTTCAACTCATCGGATGATCGTGCGGCAACCTGTTCAATAAACCACAGGACCCTCAACAGCTATATACAGGTGAGAAAAAATATCCGCCGCCTCCAACTAACAGCATAAGGCCAGACGCCATGTCAAAGTGAGAGATCTCTAGCAAATCTATTTGGCGTTGGTATTCCAGTCCTGGTAGTTGTTCTCGACGCTCTTGTTCAAAGTCTCGATATATGCGGGCATGCCGCCAGCCCTGCAGAGAAAGGTTAGCCCACGCCTCTACCACAAGCACAAGCACCTGGGAGAACTTACCAGTTCAGCGGCTCGACCTTCTTACCCGGAATATTCGCTCCCTGGTACCATGATTTGGCCTTAGGGAACAGCGAATTGTCCCACTTCTCGTTCATCCTCCTCTGCCAATCCTTCATAGCCTCCTCCTTTGCATCGAATCTCGTGATGCCATCTTGGTTCAGCCTCTTCAGCACCTTGTCGATCCACTCGGCCTGCACCTGCACGCACGTTGGGCCGTTGCTGAACGCCGTCGGCGCCTGCGGTCCGTACAGGAAGAAGAGGTTGGGGAACTTGGTGATTGCGATGCCCATGCTCGTGCGGGTGCCGTCTGCCCAGCGCTCTTTGATGCTCTTGCCATCCGTGTCGCGGATGTTGAGTTGTGCGAGTGAGCCGGTAACAGCTGAGTCAAAAGTTAGCCAAAGTCCTCCGTTACAACACACCGGTGCACTTACCGTCGAATCCTGTGGCCAGAATGATGATGTCAACGTCGACCTGGCCGTCTTTGGTCTTGATACCGGTCTCGTTGATCTCCTCAATGGGCGAAGTCTGCAGATCGACGATATCGACATGTGGCAAGGAGACAACTTCGTAGAAGTTCTGCTCAAGCGAGGGCCGCTTGGTGCCCCATGGATGCGGCTTGTTCTTCGGTGCGAGCAGTTCGGCCTTCTTGGAATCCGGAACCCGCTTGAGGACAGAGTTACGCCAGTAGTTGTAGGCTTCGTCATTCGCCTTCTCGTCGAAGAGCATGTCTTTGTAGGTGTTTAGCCAGTAGTGGAAGCCGCCTTCCTCGATGAGAAGCTTGTGGAAGAAGGCCTCGCGTTCCTCGGGTGTGTCGTCGAAGGTGTTCTTCTCGGAGAAGTCATACGTGAAACCAGCGAACGTCGTGTAGCACTTCTTGTGTGCCTTCTCGTACTCGCCGGCCTCCTTCTTCTTCTGCTCTTCTGCCTCGTCAAGCATCTTTTGGTTCATCGGAAGGCAGTAGTTCGGCGTCCGTTGGTAGATTGTGAGATGGCTAGCGTCCTTGCCGATCTCCTGGATGGTCTGGATACCGCTGGCTCCAGTGCCGATGACCGCTATCCGCTTCTTCTTGAGGTTGACACCCCATTGCGGCCAGACGGCTGTGTGGTAGAGATCACCCTTGAACTCACCCATACCCTTGATTGGCGGAGTGTAGCGCTTTGCAGCGAAGCCAATCGCTGGGATGAACCAACGGCAGTATGTTTCGGAGCCGTCGGCACACTCAACAAGCCACTGGTGGCGGGACTCGTCCCATGTTGCACTCTCTACGTTCTTGTTGTACTCTACGTCCTTGACGATGTCCCACGTCTTCTCAACGTGGTTGAAGTAGCGCTTGAGCTCCTTCCAGCCGGCATAGCGCTCTCTGAAGGTGAAATCCTTGTACAGCTCAGGCTCGAACAGTTGGTATATCGGTGTGTCTGCTACAAAGTTAGCAGAAAGTGCGGAGAAGCGGTTAATTGGTATACTGACCGCTGTCGACTCTGGCGCCAGGGTACTGATTCCAATACCAGATCCCGCCAGATGCGGAACCCTTCTCGTAGACCTTGACGTTCAGACCCTGTTGCCGCAACCTGGAGAACTTCAGTGGACAGTCCGCATGGTGTAACGAGCTCCGACCTACTTGTGCAGAGTGGAGAAAGCTCCAAACCCCGCTCCAACGATCAAAACGTCCAACTCAGGGATGGCCTCAGATGCGGATCCCATAATTACTGAGGTCGTTCGAGGTCTGTATTGGTTCTGTGAAGTCCAGTAGGTCTAGGGGGTCTGAGCAAGTTTGCAATTACAATGATACCAGATTATCCAGATGATTCTTAAGAGACTGTGGGGAGGTTAACCTGAAGAGTCAGAGAAGATGCGGACAGACAACGGAAACCGGGAGCGGAAGCACAGCTGTATTGTACTCGAAGAGACGCGCCGCCTGCGTAGCACATGCTGGTGAAACCTTCCCTACACGAACACTCAGCCGATCTCGCCTTGCCATTCCGTGATGCACAGGATTACTCAAATCATCCTAGGCCCCTTTACTCCGGGTCCACAACCATTCCCCGCAGCAGATGCGCAACCCTGGAGTAGCCGGGCGTGGCAATCAGTGGGCAATCAGTCTCAGGGTCCATGGACAATTGCTGCCAGCACTCGAAGTCCGGGGGGTTGGGCTCTGCGAAGAGATCCGATGAAGCAATCCGACAACGACGGAAAGCTGCACCATTGGACGCCGCTGGGGATCCCACCGCCACACCCTGATAGTGCGTGCATGAACGTGGGGAGAATGCGGGGTACAAGGGCCTTGCCAGACCCATGCCTTAGTCAACCGCGTATCTGGCGATGGCTTGCGGTGCCTGGAGTCGTTCGTCTAGGTACTTATTTACCAGACCGGGGCTAGATCTAGGAGACCTGAGGCCTTTGTGTCAGCGTCGGTGGACCAGACTAGGACTGACCTGCTTTGCGTGCACGAGCAAACAATCGGTCACGACGAAACGTATCTTCCAGCGACCTACCTTTCGAGCATGCATCAAGTGAACGCAGGCGATAAGCATTTGGCAGGGTATCTCCTGAGATGCAGCGATGAAGGAACGTCGGGAGGAAGGCCGGTGCTTTGGTCGGCGCTGCAATTCGCGGCTTGCCCGTTACGGTAACCCGGTCTCTACAGACGTGCGGCTAAATTTCCCTCTCAGTCGGTTCGCATACTCTCAAGCGCTGTTCTCAATCCTGCGGCGAACACGATGAAATCTGCAGCGCGACGGTCAGCGAACCGCAGCTGAGTTTAGATGCCCAATTGGGAAGACCTGAGCGCCGACTGTGCCTCCTCTTTGATGATCAAGGGGCTCCTCCGCCTCAACCGTGGCTATCGTCTCCCTTCCAGCACGTTGGCTGTTTCTGCCATTCTTGTGACAATTTGTATCAGAGGTAGTCATGTTGAGTCGAGAACTAATTCCGCTTGAGGCGAGATGCGAAACGAAGGCTGGTACCGAAGCTCGTAGTCCCCCTATAAAATCACTACCTTCTAGTACCGTTATGGTCATAGCGGTTCCCCAACACAATCCACTTCCATACGGTATCCCTTACATCTATCCACGATACGCTAGAAGGCATTCGACATTGCTAGTTTTACTTGTACTTCGCGATCTAGCCTTCCTTCTCCCTATTAGTAGATCACACGCCTGATGCCTCTGCCACTTTGAACCGATATTTCCATTAGGAAGATCTAGACGCCTACTCTCCACGAGACCAAATAAATCCTCCGCCCGGACTATAGGCTGTCCTTTTCCTTCGTAGAACGTCAACCGATTCTGCCATACTCATAATTACGTGCATCAGCAGCCGCGCACCAAAGCATATCTCCTAAGAAGGATCGAATTTCACTCGGGGCGAACAGCATCGATGCCCGTCATCCCCCGGTAAAATCACCACCTTTCTGTAGCCTCGAGCATACTTAACTGATTCCTTCCAAGATTGTGGATAGTGGCAGTTCGAAGGACGCGAGACGGTGTATATCGAAACAAGACTTTTGAAGTGAACTTAGTGAGATGAGTGGGAAGCTTTGTATACATACAAACGTGTAGAACGTGTGTACCACGTCGCCATCATGAGACGAGCTCTCGTAAGCCTGGTTGATTTACAGATCTACTACACTATGGTACAACAGTATACAGTGATGTATTGCGGAAGAAGAGAAACAACGCAACCATGCCTTACTGTCCTTTCTTCTTCTTCGGAATCACAAAATTGACCGTGCGTCCGCGCCTGGCCACAATAATCTTCGTAGCTTCCTCTAATCTGACGCTCCCATCCGCACTGAAGAACCTCCTGCCATCTTCCGTCGATACGATCTTGCTAACCACCCAATCCTCCAAGCTCTGCTCCGCCCCAGCCTCCAGCAGTTCACCTGGGGGCACGGGGACCTTCGTGGCGAAGCGCAATTTCCCGTTCACTTGAACCGCGCAAGGCTGATCGCGGCTGGAAAGCATTCGGATTGCATCTTCGTCAACGGCTGGAAAGCCAGAATCAAAGATGGAACTGCGGAGATTGGTATCCTGGGAAGCTTGCAAAACCTCCCAGCACTCCTCCGCAAAGGCTGGACAGACCGGTGCAAGCATCTGGAGCAGCTTGCTCGTAGCATCGGTGAACAAGCGCGAGCTAACGCCCTTATCGGCTGGAGGTCGACCAGTGGAACTGCTTGCGAGTGGAAAAGGAGTCACGGATGCCAATGCGTTCGTGAGCTTGGTCAAGTCCGAAATTACGGTGTTGAGTGTATATGTCGATGAGAGGGACGTTGTGACGGACTCGATGGTCTTCTGCGTCGTCAGCCAAAGCTCAGCCTCGGTATCTGACATCTCCTCCGGGGTGGGACGATGAATTTCACTTGGCGTGCACCCGCTGGCTTCATGCGCAACTCGCCAGATTCGGTTCAACCAGCGCTGGATGCCAACGATGCGGTCTTCCTCCCACTCCAGGACTTCGCTCACGGGAGCCTGGAACAGCATGTGCGCTCTGGTGGCATCAGCACCGTATTTGGCTATAGTGTCGCCTGGGTCAACACCGTTGTGCTTGCTCTTGGACATCTTCTCAAAGCTAACGTTCGGCTTCTCTCCAGTAGCTTTGATCTTCGGCGAAGCAGGTTCTGACAAATCGACTTCTTCGGGTTTCAGAAAGCGTCCGGTTGCTGGATCCGTGTAGGTACGACCGTGTACCATGCCTTGGGTGATGAGACGCCTAAACGGCTCGCCCCGGTTTTTCGGGCCGCCGCCACTGGGCCACAGACGCGTTGTCGCGAGGAACTTGGAGATGAAGCGCGCATACAAGAGATGGAGGATTGCATGCTCAACACCACCAACGTATAGGTCTACGGGCAGGTTGGCATCGGCCGCCTCGGGTGAGACAGGATCTTCTTTGTTGTGCGGATCGGCAAAGCGAAAGAAGTACCAAGAGGAATCCATGAAGGTGTCCATAGTATCAGTCTCACGCTTGGCCGGATGCTGACATTTTGGGCAAGGGGTGTTGACCCAGTCGGGAATGCTGTCGAGAGGATTGCCGCCTCTTCCCTTGAACTGACCAGGCTCTAGCTGGGGTAACTTGACAGGTAGGTCGACCGTGGACACTGGAACTGGGCCACATGACTCACAGTGAATAATGGGAATGGGTGTACCCCAGTATCGCTGCCGGCTTATAAGCCAATCTCGCAGACGCCAGTTGTCAGTTTGCTCAGCATAGAGGCCCTGTTCCTGGAGTGCACTGATGATTTGACGGATGGCGTCTTGAGAGGTCAACCCGCTGAATGGCCCCGAAGCCATTGTCAAGATGCCCTTGTTTTCGTTGACTTCATCGTTCTCGCCTGGAACCAGGAACGAAGAGGCCGGCGAGCCATCCGAGGGCCCAATGACCGTCAAGATCGGTTTGCGGCCTTGGTTTTCTCTCCAAAAAGCATGGTCACGGCTGTCGTGACCTGGCACGCCCATGACTGCGCCTGACCCATAGTCATCGAGCACATAGGGTGCGACGTAGACCGGTAGCGGCTCTTGCACTTTCGTGGTGGGGCCCGCAAAACCTGACAGAGGACTTTGGGCATGTATACCTGGAAGTAGAAAGCCGGCCTTGGAGTCCGGAGGCAGTGAGGGTGCGTCGTCAATGAAAGCTTGCAATTCCGGTAGCAACTTGGCCATGCGTGCTACGATAGGGTGGCTCAACGATAGTGCAAGATACTGTACGCCGAAGAGCGTGTCTGCTCTAGTGGTGAAGGTTTCGACAGCTGGCCATGAAGCTTCGCCCGCATTGCTGATGACTTGGAACTGGATCCTAGCGCCTTGAGATTTTCCAAGCCAATTCTGTTGCTGTGACAGGACTCGTTCTGGCCACTTGTTGTCTTTGCCGAGAATCTCTAGATCATCCAAGAGAGCTTCTTTAAAATCGGTGATGCGGAGGAACCACTGTTTGAGCTTAATCTTCTCGACTTTGGCTCCGGATCTCCAGGAGAAGCCGTTGGCATCGACTTGCTCGTTTGCTAGAACAGTTTGGTCAACCGGATCATAGTTCACAAGCGATTCGGCTTGATATGCCAGGCCTCGTTCATGGAGAAGGAGGAATATGCGTTGGGTGTGCTTGTAGAACGAAGGATCACAAGTCATGAATTCCTGAGCGAAGTTGTCTATCAGCGCTATGTACTGCAACAGTGATTGCCATTGCCGTGCTAGGCAAAACAAGGCCCACCCCACGTACCCGGTCCCAGTCCCAGCGTCCGTTCATGGCCGACAGCTGCTCCTTCATCTTCGCAATGTTCTGCACAGTCCATTGAGCCGGGTCCACCCTTCTCTCGATTGCCGCATTCTCTGCCGGCAAGCCAAAGGCATCCCAGCCCATCGGGTGTATCACATCATGCCCTTGCATATGCTTGAAGCGTGCCAGGACGTCTGAGATGGTATAGACGCGAAGGTGACCGAGATGAAGCGTGCCAGATGGATACGGGAACATGGGCAGGACATATGCCTTTCCTTTGCCCCTGCTCTTGCCAACGTCTCGTTCCGTGGATGCCTTCGCAGACTCCGCCCATCTCTTGCGCCATTTCGCGTCAATGCCCTGGAGGTCGAGACGTGCCGAAGCTATGGAGGCTGCACGGCAGGTGTTATCGAAGCATAGCGGGCGTGCGAGCGGTCTCCGAGACCATCGCCAACCTGCAGTGTACAGACTGCGAGCTTTCATCAGCTACGATGGGCATCCAAACCAGCTTTCCGTATCATTGTCGTTGCTGATGTTGACGGTGAGGTTGCGCGAAGAGGGTAAATGCAGGCTTACTCAGTATTGTTTGCCACGTATTGTATGTATTCATTGGACTCAAACCGGCGTTTCCTCATGAGCAGCTCCTCGACATCAATTTACTCCAACAGCACTGTATATAGAAGGTCCCACCCGTTGCTATTCCGAAACATACCGCGACGCACCCAATGGCTTCCTCCAGCTCGAGCGACCTATAACTTCGAGTCTGAGCCCCGAACAATGTCCCGCCCAGGCTACTCTAGCCATGGGGCCTCCTCCGCACACCCACCACGCGACTCCCTCGAACTCGCATCCCTTGCGTCCTCCTCGCCCGCGTCGACACCCCGGGCCTCCATACATTCCGCCGACTCGTCTTCTATCGGCACGCCTTCCTCCCGCAAGCTCTCTTTCGACGACGAAGACCCCCTATCGTCCTCCAACGCCGCGAATGGCGGTGACAGACCCGGTCACCGAATGCGCTCCTACTCCGTCTCCTCCGCTTTCGACTTCGCCTCGAACCTCTTCCCGCTCACTTCGACCGCCGGCGCGGGCTACACCGCTCTTGGTGCCCCCAGCACCCCTGGCCTTGAGTCCGGCGGCGCGCTGAATGGTGGAAGTCTGGAGAAGAACAAGAGCCTGACATACCTGAATGGGCTTTCGCTAGTCGTCGGCCTGATCATCGGCTCGGGGATCTTCTCTTCCCCTGCGCAAGTAAACAAAAACGCCGGTTCGCCCGGTGCATCCCTCATCGTGTGGGCGGTGGCCGGCGTACTGGCGTGGACGGGGGCAGCAAGCTATGCCGAGCTTGGGGGTGCAATTCCGCTAAATGGTGGTGCACAAGTATACCTGAGCAAAATCTTTGGAGAGTGGGCTGGCTTTCTATTCACATGGTGCGCGGCGTTTGTGCTTAAGCCTGGGAGTGCGGCGATTATTGCTATCATCTTTGGGGAGTACATTGTGCGCGCCGTCATTGGCGCAGACGCGGTCGATGCTAGCCCATGGATCAACAAGGGCGTTGCTTTGGGAGGGCTGGCGCTGGTCACCGCGCTTAATTGCATTTCCACCAAGCTTGGAACTAGGAGTGCGGATGTTTTTATGATCTTCAAATTCGTGGCATTGCTTGGAGTGACGGTCACAGGCATTGTGGTTGCTGTTACTGGATTTGCATGGAAAGGAAAGGCGAGTGACGATTGGAAAACTCAAGGCTGGTTCGAGGGCACCAATACCAGCGTCAGCAACTGGGCGGTTGCGCTATACGCAGGCCTATGGGCGTTTGATGGGTGGGACAACGTAAGTTTGCCTATGTTATCTATGCTACCCAAAGCCAACTCCACCGCTTCGCAAACCATCAGACTGACACATTGCGCAGGTCAATTACGTTACCGGCGAATTCATCAACCCTACTCGCGACCTTCCTCGAGTAATACATACCTCTCTACCTCTAGTAATAGCGTCCTACATCCTGGCCAACGTTGCCTACTTCTTCGTGTTACCACTCTCTACGATCGAGTCCTCCAATACCGTAGCTGTCGCCTTCGGCCACCAGGTCTTTGGTCCCATCGGCAGCCTCGTCCTCGCACTCATTGTGTCAGGCAGTTGCTTCGGCGCACTCAACGCCACCACTTTCACCAGCGGACGACTCGTATACGCCGCGGGCAAAGAGGGCTACTTCCCTGAAATCCTTGGAAAGATTGGATTCGGCAGTCGCGGTGGCGTCGTGCGTCTACACTCTTCTCGAGCGTCTCGCGCGAGCGGCAGCAAGATGGCAAGACTTATTGCTGACGACGCCGGCCTCTTCTACACCCCCATCAACGCCATGATCCTCAACGCCTCTCTAACTGCCGCATACGTGGCTGTCGGCGAGTTCAAGACCCTGATCACGTTCTATGGCGTTGCGGGGTATACATTTTACTTCTTCACCGTGCTGGGGCTCATCGTGCTGCGGGTGCGCGAACCGGACCTGGAGAGGCCGTACAGGACGTGGATCTCGACGCCGATCATCTTCTGCTGCGTCGCGCTGTTTTTGCTGAGTAGGGCTGTGATCGCGGAGCCGGCACAGACGCTGATGGTGCTAGCGTTTATGGCGGCGGGACTGCCCGTATATTTCTGGAGGGTAAGAGGCAGAGGACGGGAAAGGGGTGAGAAAGGGGTTGGCTGGAGGTTTTGGAAGAGATGGGGGAGGGCGCGATGAGTTACTGTAAAGATAAGCAACACGTGATAAGCATGAGTTTGGAACTGAAGTTCAACAGTCATCGCTCCGTGGAGCTTCCGTCGCCCATGCGTCACAGGTACTAGTCGAGCATACGGCGCGAGACGAAGCGCTGACACGGCACCCGCCACCAACCCCCTATTAGATCATCGCCAACTTACGAATGACGTGAGCTACAGTAGCCAAAGCATCTCCGAAGCCTTCACCTGATGCCTCGCCGCCTGCATTCGTCACATTAACTGCGCCTGGCGATGAGCAAGTTGTTGATCACAGGGTATCCACTGCCACAGCCAGAACAGCTCGTGCGAGCGTATCTCGTCAGAGGGTTTACAGCGGACCGTGGTGAAGACTGTGGCGCTGTTCCGAACCTGTCTAAGAGCTACGCATATAAACTGTCTTCCTGCTCCCATACCTCCTCATTTCATCATACAGCTTCAGAACTCAGTTGGACTACTTCGAATTCGAATCTACACACATCCATCCTCCACTGCTCGACCGAGTCGCTTTACCGATATGCAGAACTTTCCACTCAGACCTTCCACAATGAGGAACATGCACCCCACGGACTGTCACGAAGACTATGAGCCCCTTCTCGAAGAGGCTCGCAGAGAGATCCTTAGTACGGCAGTCACTCCACATGGCTCATGATCTTGGCGCTAACAAGAAACAGCCAACGCTTATGTTCTCTACGGCGGCAACGTTGCAATCTTCCTGTGCGGCGAACGTAACCAAGAGGGACAGCAGAAGTTCCAGGAGGACAGGAAAAGGCTAAAGGACCAGCTGGAGAAAACCGACCCGACGGACGTGGTAACCGAGATGGCCTTGATGCAGGAGATGGACCATAGGGCCCATATAGAGCAAGCCGCCCGTAGATACCCGGGTTTGAAGTCCTACGCCGTTCTCGCTCGCCGTAAAGTGTTCCGTGATGGGCGGCCCTGCCAGCTTGAAGTCCTCCTGGAAGGTCCGCGTGTTGACGGTGGGCCGTATGAGGCGATGCAGCACCTGTTCGGAGAAACCATGGTCTTGATGGGTGAGAAGGTGCAGGATTGTCGTGGTGCTGGCGGTGATGCTACAGTCTCCGAGCCTAAGTCTTGATTGCGGAGCAGAGGTGCGGTTTTGTAGTCACCTGAAGACAGCACCGCGGGGTCTGGAAGTGTAGAATACGATGGTTATACTGGCGGCTCTCCTTTCCGTAGGTCTTAGTCTCTTTCTAAGAAATAAGGCTTTCAATACTGAATCCTCACATGGCAAGGCCCTGACAGTGAACCGTAGTGAAGGCTGATGAAGATGACCTTCGTTTGCAATTTTCCAAACGTGCTAGCTGCAGTACATGTAGAATCTTTCTTCGCCCGCGCATTTCCTTCCGCCTCATTCAACATAAGGAACCCGTTGGGTTGCTTTCAAGCCACAGCTTAAGTCAAGGTGTGTTCTACCACTTCACTGCTGAAGTGGCTCCTCATCCTGACTGGTAGTGTGGTAAATAGCTTCCTCAGGTCCTCTCCTCGCAACCCCCAACGACGTCCGACTCGAAGCCGACCTTCGATGTCCGCGAACAACTCCTCGGTAGGTCTCCCATGCCACAGCTGTGCAAGGTCCTGAATCTAACTGCATACAGCTCACGGTAGACTACTCTATCGCAGCGACGTTGAAGTCCTCGTTTACAAGAGGGGGGGACTGCGGTTTCTACGCCTTACTCGTCAACAAGACAAGCGCCACTTCTTTCTACACCGGGGGCCCCCGAGGTCATGCCACGCCGGTGGATGCCATGAACGGTCTGTCGGAGCTTACGGCGGAGCTCCTGTATGACGAGACGGAGCGTGGTTGCTGGCGGCCTGTGACACTTTGCGCGGTGTAGCGGATGCTTGGAGATATTCTGGAAGTGCTATGAAAGGAGGAATACGATGGTCGTTCTGGCGGCTCCGTGCTCACATTCGGTCATGGTTCTTCAGAACGTTAACTATGTGTCTCACATGACCTTGATTGAGACTACATCTCTGCTCAAAAAAAAAATCCGAAATAAAACGCTTCCTGCTGCTAGCCTGTGTTTCCAATAGCGAAGCGGACCGAACGCAGCGCTCAGCTACGTTCTAGTGAATCCGCCTTTGAAGTCTCTTCCTGCACCCACACTTCCTCACTTGCTCACTTCAACCAAGCCTCCGTGAAGTTACGCATAGCATAGAGCTTCTGAATCGGCACCTAGCTCTGACCCTGTTAGTCAATCAGTAGACGCACCTCCCAATCCTCTCTCCCGCAACGCTACAAGATGGCGACCGTCGATTATCCGCCGACGCCCACTTTCAACGTTCGCGAACAACTTTGCGGTTCGTGTCACACCACTCATGTCCAGCTACATTCCAGTAGTAATAAATTCAGCGCAAGCCACAGCCCTGTACGGCCGGACTCAAGTACTCGTCTGCAGCGAGGAAGACGAAGCAAACGTCTCAACGTTCTACGCCGTCATTGCCCGCGACGACACCCGCGCCTACGAGTGCGAAGTCATTTTGCAGGGCCCGCGTGGATGCGAGACGCCTGCCGAAGCGATGAACATTCTGCTGCGCGTTACCATGAAGAAGATGAACGGACATGTGAAGCATGCGAGGGAAAAGAAGCAGAAGGAGTGGCTGGAATATGAGGAGTACGAGGAGGAGGAGAACCGCCTTATCTCGGAAACGGCGACATCCATGCGTGAAGGACGCGGATATTGACATCCGGCACCGGTCAACCACGCCATAATTCTGGGCCCATGTCGCAGTTTCTGATCAAAGCAGTATGGCGGTCATTCTGGGCGCCTCCTCCTTCGTCCTTAAAGCGTGTCTGGGGCATTCCAGGACAGTAAGACTATGATAGTCAGACTTGGATAATACGAGGTCTACCACTTGCACAAGATCCCAGCTTGGAGAACTGTTTTGATTCATAGCTTCCACACTCTCCAGCCTTTCAAGTCTAACTGGGATAAGACGCCTCCCAAAGGACCTTGGACCTCTCTACCATCTGCCCACAGCTTTCTGCCTGCCCAGTACTCGATAAAGCCCTCTGGTCCAGATACCAGCAAGAGTCTCGTTCCTTTCAGTGAGCGCGGTTGCAGTGTCGCCGGCTGTAGAAGCTTCGATACGTGGCCCGGCTTGATGAAGCTCTTCTCCTCGTCCACAAAATAGTCCACACTCAATCCATTACCCGAGCTTGACTTTGACTGCTCCCTGAGCGCCTCCAACTCCCTCACAATGCGGCCTGGTTGCGTATCCTCGCCTCTGTAGTCTTCTATGACCACCGGCTCTTCCAACCCAAACAGACTCCTCCAGCCAGATAACCTGCCCGGCTTGATGACATCAGAGCTATCGCTTTTGGCGCCCATACAATCTTCCTTCCTCCTGCTGGCCCACAGTATGTGCATCCTCGTTTCCGGTCTGGCAGCCAGCGCATGCGCAACCTGCATCGCAGGCGCTATCCCCGTTCCTCCAGCGAGGAACACGACCTCCCTCACGTCGTCTGGTATCTCTAGCTCAATGTTCGGCCCTCGTATCTCGACGGCAGAGCCTTCCGGCAGTCGGTGGAGGAACGTCGATACCTCCCCATTGTGCTCTTTGCGGATGAGGAGGCGCAGATTCCCGTAGTCGTCCTCGGTTTCCGAACCAGCGGGTGTAGTAGGCGGCAGCGGCGTATAAGCGCGTGCAATCTGTAGCTGCGGCTGCTTCACCTGTATGCTCCAGACAGCTTTTTTCCACACATCCTTGAGGTCATCGGGCTCGGCGCGCGCTGTGTTGTGGCGGAGGGTGAAGATACTGCTGGTTGAGGACACGGGTTCTTTGGAGACTATCGTGTAAGGCGTGAAAGTATGCGGGTTTAGCGACGAAGACTCGGATTCTGCTGGCGAGGTCCACTTCCGGATTTGCGCCCCGACGGGGATGCTTGCCGCGAAGACGATGAGGAGACCAGCTCGGGGCCGGAGGAGGACCGGACGGATCCAGGACATTCAAGTGTTTATGCCTCCGGTTGCTAGCGAAGGGCGGTCCAGTGCTATCTTGAGGCGGGCGATTGAGGATAGGTAGTAGTGCGAGTCCGAAGGTGTCCATGACGCCCTCGCCGTTCCTTCTGCCAAGACATCCCGTAAATTCGAGTATAGACAGATGCTCTTCGAACCAGCAATGCTCAGTAGACTACGATCGCGGACGATTGCCGCTTGAAACTACATAGCAAGGGGTGGTGGATTGAAGCTGCATTATAAATTCTTGAAACTGCCTTTGACGCAGCACTATGGAATTGGTCTTGGCTGATACGTGTTCGTATAGATTACTTATACAGTGCCCCTCTAAATCCTATGATTCCGTGCTGTACGGTGTTTCCAGTCCGGACCACCATAAGAATACGTCTTCTGTGCAATTACTCTTACAGTCTCAGAATTTTGCTCCCCTGTTCAATGCCACCTCGGAACATCTCTTTAATCACCTTCCCGTTCAAGATGGTCTCCTTAACAATACCCTCAACATTCCCGGGACCCACTCGACCGTACCAAACGCCTTTGCCCGCCAGTGAATTCCACTTCATTGAAGGCGGGATGTATATGATTACGTTTCCGGCATACTTGTGTCCACCAATATGGCTGATCAATCCAACCCGCGCTCCTGGTGGATCGCTCCCATTGCTATTCTGAGGCAAAGATGGTTCAGTCCTGAGTTGCAATCCCTCCGTCTGAAGCTTGTCTTCAAATTCAGCTTGCAGTAGCGGCCCCAAAATACCGCATCGCTGATCTCTCCCACCATGGCCGCAGATCAGAACTACTACATCATCCACCGGTTGGACGCCAGGAAAGTCCTTTTGTAGCCGCGGGTCTTGGACAAGGGCCTTTCGCTGCGGCTCCGCCAGAACGCCATGAACTGGGTGGAGCTGGGATGGCAGGACGAATGCCTTGAGAAAACTCTCAACCGCCTCTGGAGCTGTCCCAATCTCGGGCAAGTAGCGGAAGCTCGGAAACAGGTATGCAGACGCTGTATCTGGAGTGGATGTGAATGGGGCGAAGGACGAATTGGTAAGCATGACATTATGGAACGGCTGCAAACAACAATCAGCATGAGCTTTCGTTCAACTGGCAGCAGCGATAAACCAGGAGGGTAACGAACGACGAACGTCACTATATTTCCCACCTCTACCAAGTAGCCCTTTGACTCGTTTCGCTAGGACGGCACCTTCGTCGTCCTCGATCCGGCTCGTCCAGTCGCTGCGGCCTGTGGATATGAGGATCTGCTCGGCGTATGGAGCCATGGTTCCATTGAGAGGCTGATGCCGGTCAATCTCAAGCCCAGAGGGCATCAAGGGCATCGACCGGCATTTACATGTTGGTGCCGGACAAGAATCGACGACGGGAAACATCGGCGGTATAGGTATGCGGAGGCGGGAAGCGAAGCGGCGGCCGAGCCGTGCAGAGGCGGTTCTTGCTATGGATGCGCTACATCTTGACAACATTTCGAGAGCAAGCGTGAAGAGTTGCTGGGCTTCGTGTTTCGTAGTTTAAACATCCGCCAGCCGTCTTATCAGATCTTTATATTGCCGATGTCGGCTTCTTCGCACGCCGATCAGCCTGCACGTGACCCTGCGACAATATCTGATACCCACCTGCATGTTGTCGAATCTTCAGCCATTGAAGGTTTATGCCTCGCCTATCCACACGGCTGCTACTCCGCGCGCGAAGTATACATACGCTTCTTCCCCTGCTTCTACGGACTTGTCGTGACTTACGGTCCGCTCAGAATGAGCTACGATGGCTGCGAGGACATGCCTTAGGGGCTAGAAAAACTGTAGCTGGACGGCATGCATTTCTTCGTCAGCTTTGCCTACAGCGAGCACGTGGAGAGCCTCTTCAGTATCTCCTTGGTACTGAATACTTTGGTGACCTTGAGATAGCTTGTAAGCCTGGCGTGTTGATACCAAGGTAATTCCGACCTCATAAGTAACCCTTACGACTGTTCAATGAATGCTAACAGGTACATACAGGCAAGAGACGGCCGCGTCTGTAAGCTATCTCGTTGAGCAACTGTGCGCGGGCTCGCAAGTACCTGAAGCGCTGAGCGTGCTAGATCTGTGCACTGGGACCGGCTGCATTCCGTTGCTGTTTGCAAACGATCTGACCAGGAAAACTCGCAATCTCAATCAGCTTGAGGTGTTAGGTGTAGACATCTCAGCAACGGCTGTCAGATTGGCTCAGTCTAACCATGAGCGCTTCAGGGAACAGGCGAACACCAATGGATTGGGGTTCAACACAGCTCCAATCACTCGCCCACCAGGTGTAAAGGCGGACTCCCAAAGAGACAAACAGAAAATCACATTACAAGTACAGTTCGTACGTGGTAATATTCTTCAAGCAGAATCAACAGCAAAGGCCAACGTTCCGAGCCTTACGCATGTGCTGCAAGACGTCGGCCGCACGCGTTGGGACATCCTCATTTCTAATCCACCGTATATCTCTCCTGCAGCATTCAACAAAGACACCGCCCGGTCTGTTCGTAACTTCGAGCCGAAGCTGGCACTAGTTCCTCCAGGTTTGCCAAACAGATCAGATGAGGAGCAGGGAGACCTATTCTACCCTCGTCTACTCGCCATAGCGGATGATGTGCAAGCAAGGATCGTGCTTGTCGAAGTTGCGGACCTAGCCCAGGCCGTCCGAGTCGCGAAATTTGCCGGCCAAACAGGCTCATGGGACGGCATTGAAGTTTGGCGCGACGATCCGTCCGCTACATGGACTGAAACAATCGAAGGCTTCAAGATACGAGGTAGCGGTAATGGACGTTCTGTCTTCCTATGGAGAAGAGAGGCTGCATGTTGGCTCCCCTTGAACCTGACAAAGTGGTCAAGGTAAAATGGTTCGACATGTTCCTTAAATTGATGGAACATCTAATGCAGGGACTGATCATCCAGGTCTCTGAGCTGAGAGTGTACTCCAATGGAGGGCGTTCGACGGGCGCGCAGAACAGAACGATGTGTCTTCGTATCGCAGAGCGGTCCGCTCGTTCTTGTCACATAAGAGGACAATCTCAATCAGGATCTCGACGTGGAAGGGGGCTCTTCCTCAGGAGCAGCCTGTGCGGGAACGTCCGTGGTTTAACAACACACAGCAACCCTACGGGAAGACAATGCCTACAGCTCCTGGGAATCACCCCGGAACAACACCAAGGCACTCGGTTCCTAACCTGCGTGGGTTGGGGCTGCGTTCTTCAGCGGAATTCGAGCCTGGTTCGAGAAGGCGGCCAATGCCAGTCTGCTGCAGCGCTAGACAGGACGGCAAGGGTCGAGCGTTACTGACCGTGCTGACTTGGGCAAGGATCTGATGAGGATCCCAGTTGACGATCGGCGCTAGGGTTCCGTGCCGCCTCCGCATCGCACTGAGGCGCACCAGCTTGGCAGTCGTCATGCTTATCGCGCACCAAAGCTCCATCATCAGCAGTCCGAATAAGCTAAAACCGAGATCAAGGCCCTGTCCGGAGGCTGCATTAGCGTGGAGGACTTGTCAAGACGAGGCTCAATTCCATTGGTGGAGGCAGGCACTTCACCAATCTGCATCTCGCACGCCCAAACGTGTGCGGCAGCGCAGCGGCAGACAGCATCAGAAAGCCCGCCCAGGACTGATGTACAGTATCTGATCATAGAGTGACGTCGACCAAGCTGCTACCTCCTGGGTGACGGGACTACTGCATTTAATGACCATCGCCCTGCGTAGTAGTCTCGCGCAAGTCATCCTATCCAATCCTCCACATAGTCCTACCTGTAGTCACAATGCGCTTCACACTGCTCTCTATTCTCGCTCTCTTCCTGGCGTTCGCCGCCGCGGACTTGGACGTCCAAGGCTGGCTTCACAAGGTAAGCCGCTTTTGGTTTCCTTTCCTCTTCGATTGCTGATATCTGCCAAGCACAAGCCCGACCGCAATTTCCGCCGTCAACAGACCCCCTCGGGAGACCTGATCGCCCCAACCTCTCTAGCAATAACCGGTGTTGGCTCCATCACCCTCTCAGAAACGTCCGGGAGCTCGGCCTCCAGCACAAGCTCGTCGAGCTCCGGCTCGGCCACAGACATGTCGTCCATGACAGCCAGTACCTCGGGCGCTGGAATTGCCCCGGTTACGAGCAGTGCGGAGGTCGGAGGTGGCACTACATCCGCGGCGGACCAGGCTATTGAGGCCAGTGCTACGAGCGCGGGTCTTGCCGCCCCGACTGGCGCGGTCAACGTCGCTGCGTTGATGGGGGTGGGTGCCGTGATGGGGTTGATGGTAAGCCTGCCGTGCTAGCTAGTTCAATCAGAATTTTGGACTGACGAGGGTCGATTTGTGGCAGGCATGACAATCTCGAGGATGCAACCAGCGTTCAAAGCTGTTGTAAATTTGGCACAACCGAGACATGGGCGATGGAGTTCACGACCTAGATGTATCTTTTCTGATAGCAAGGCTTTGATTGTACCTACAACTATTGACAGTTCACGAATTCAACGTGCGCTATGGTGATACATTTATTGAATAGACCGCGCTCGGCACCAAATTCAGACCTAGAGTTCTAGGCTTGAATGAAGCAACATAAGCAGCCCAAGACATGATTATCAATACAAACCTACCTACAAGCACAATCTTATGCACCTGTCTGAGTTGATCCTGGAAATTTGAACTTGAAGGAACAGATTAACAGACCCATAACCAATGCGCCCCGCAAAGACCAAGGACATGCACAGACCGAGATACAGCTACTATACAAGAGATGCCTTGATGCATGCAACCCTTGCCCGATCTATCAACTTCCTCCAATCTTCGCCTTAACCCAGTCCACCAAGCCCCCCTTCGCAATAATCTCTTGCACGTTCGGCGGCAGCTCCCCAACCTTCTGACTCCACGTCTCCCCGCCCTCCCCCTCCTGCACAGTAACCGTGCTCCTCCTGACATCCCACTCAAACGTCCAGCCCGTCCTCCTTGTCAGCGCCTTCTCATCCGCCCTCGCCACCGGCCCAGGCGGCGGGGTGTCTAGACTCTGCCTGTTCCCCTCTGGCTCCTGTATCTGCTGCTGAGGTGACGAGGATGACGAGGACAGGGGTGCAGCAGGGTTAGAGGACCCAAACGCCTGCCGTAGCCGCTGGATCAGCTTAGGCACCTCCACGCCCATCAGGGCGTTGTTGATGCTGTTCCTGCTGAAGATGTTGCCGAAGCTGCCCGCGACGACGAGCGGGATGCCCTTTGCGAGGATGGCGGTCGCGGCTTGCTCGCGGGAGGAGCCGCAGCCGAAGTTGAAGCCGCCGACTAGGATGTCGCCGGCTTTTGCAGTCCTGGAGAAGGAGGGGTCGTAGTTTTCCATGCAGACTTGTGCCATTTTTTCGCGGGTCACGTCGTCCTGGTAGGTGTATTTGCCGGGGTAGATGGCGTCGGTGTTGATGTTGTCGGCGTCGCAGTAGACGATTTCTCCGCTGACCTTCTCGGGGAAGCCCGGTAGAACTTCTGTCAGACCTGTTGGCGGATCCGATGCTGAGGGATTGCTCTCGGTGGCTGGAGTTGTTGTTGCGCTGACGGCTTTCTCGCCTTCAGCAACCATTTCCTCTGCGTCCCTGATGATTCTGTCAAGCGCGTCCTCAATAGTAATCATCCGATCCTCGTCCCTGATCCCATCACCTTCACCTCGCTGAACACCCGACCAGCCCTCAGGCTTCTCATACCAGCCCGGGCCAGAGATCTTGCCGTTCAGCGCACTAGCCGCAACTACTTCCGGAGATGCGAGATACGCCTTGGCATCCGTGCTGCCCATCCGGCCTTTGAAGTTTCGGTTGCTGGCGCTGATGCCCACCTCACCCGGCTCCAGCAGTCCCGTGCCGAGACCGATGCACGGGCCGCAGCCAGATGGTAGAGGCTTCGCGCCGGCTTCTAGCAGCGCTTGCCAGTCGCCTTGCTCTTCTGCTGCTTGCTGCTCCGGCAAACTTGCGGCGGCGATGTAGAAGTTGACACGGTCCGGAATCTTGGGGATTTTGCCATTGTTCGTGGCCGCAGCATCCTTGAAGACTTTCGCTGCGGCTGCGATATCTGACCGGCGAGAGTTGGTGCAAGAGACAAGGTAGGCTTTGTTGATGTTGATGGATTGGCCTTGGAGTTCTTGGAGAGGCGTAGCTACTTTTACAGAGTTCGGTCCGGAAACGTAGGGTGAGAGCGTGGAGAGGTCGAGATAGAGTTCTTTGGCGTACGTTGCGCCTTTGTCTGCAGCTACTGGCGATTCGAAGAGGGCATCGAGAGCAGCGTGGCCGAACCTGCTGGCAGTGCCCTTGTCCTCTCCGAGACCTGCAGCGCCGAACATGGCTGCTTCCGTCGCCCTTCCTCGCAACCAACCTTGTAGAACGGAGTCAATAGGGAAGAGACCGGCCAACGCGCCCCACTCAGTGGTCATGTTTGCAATGGCGAGCCGGTCGTCCACAGGGAGGCTGTAGAGTGTCTCGGGCGATCCGGTGAATTCGATAGCATGATTGAGCACCTCATCGTTGTTGAACAGGCCGCAAAGCGCTACAATCACGTCCTTGCCCGTCACGCCTTTGGGCAGCACACCCGTGAACGTAACCTTGGCGATTGGCGGTATCTGCCACCATGTCCTGCCGGTCGCCCATATGCTCATGGCGTCGGTCCGCACCACAGGAGTTCCCAAACACCCAACACCGCCATACATGTTGCTGTGACTGTCCGAGGCAACTGCAAGTGTGCCTGGCCAGGCATAGCCCTCCTCGACCATGATCTGGTGTCCGATGCCACGACCAGCTCCGTAGAACACGATGCCCTGCTTCTTGGCGAACTCCTCAATCTGCCTGTACTTCTTGAGGTTGGCCTCGCTCTTGTTCTGGACATCGTGATCCAGTGTCAGGACCATCTGGTCGGGATTGTGCACTTTCGACGCGCCGATGGACATGAACTTCAACGCAACCGGCCAGGAGTTGTCGTGGGTCATGCATTTGTGGGGTTGCAGGGTGACATAGTCGCCGGATCTGACGAACTTGCCTTCAGGGAGGTCCACGGCGTATCGCTGGACGATTTTCTCGGTGAGGGTCTGGGGGACTGTAGGTCTCGAAGGGGCGGAATTCAGGAATGGGAGGAAGGAGGAGGCGGTGGGGTCCTCGCGCTGAGTATGGAAGACTTCGGCCTGCTGCCGCCGGCTTGAGGAGGAGTGTAATCGAGTCGGATGTGTCGATGGACGACTACATAGCCGGGGTGCTACTGAGGCGCATCGCAACGAAGGCGGGACTGCTCGACGCTGCAGATGGGTTAGCTACAGTAGCAGTTTCGCGCAGCCTGTTGAGTACACTTGGGAGATATCAACACTCACCAAGCCTGTCCTGGCTGCCACCAACCTCCCCGCGCGCGCTGTGGGTATCATAGTTGGCTGTTGCAAGCTCCTGCAAACTTTGGCTTGGCTGCTGTCTCTCCAGATTTTCTTCCGCAAGCGAGCGGAGCGAAATCGGCATTGGGGGCTACGAGGCTAAGTACGAGTCACCGTTTATTCTTATTTAGCCACCACATATCCCAGAGAGTCCTCTTACAATCACCCCCAGACCGCTGAATACATAACATCTCCAGTTCGGCTCCCAAGATGCCGTCCCGATCAGATATCCACTACTTCGGCGCCGGTCCCGCTCCGCTGCCCACAGCCGTCCTCGAACGCGCCTCACAAGCCCTCCTAAATTACAACGACAAAGGCATTGGCCTCTGCGAGATATCCCATCGGTCGCCAGAAGCCAACCAGATCCTCACAGACGCCAAAGTCAGCTTGACGAACCTCCTAGACATCCCAGATGACTACGAGATCCTCTTCCTCCAGGCCGGCGGCAGCGGCGAGTTCAGTGCTGTGGTATACCACATGGTATCGGTGTGGGTAGAGAAGCGGAGAAAGAGAGCGGAGCAGGAGACCAAGAGCGAGGGCGGGAGCGAGCAAGACCTGGAGGCAAAGGTGCTTGAGCGGCTACGGAAGGAGGTTAAAGAGGAGCTCAGACTGGACTACTTAGTTTCCGGCTCGTGGTCGCTCAAAGCGTCCCAGGAGGCGGCGAGATTGATTGGTCCTGAGCATATAAACGTGGCATTCGATGCACGAAAGGCGAATGAGGGCAAATTCGGCCGTATACCGCCTGAGTCCGAGTGGAAGCTTACGCCGCGGAAGCCAGGAGCAGCGCTGACATACTTCTGCGACAACGAAACGGTTGATGGGGTTGAGTTCCCGTCGTTTCCACAGTGCCTCGAAGCCGATAGTGAGGAAGACGCGCCGCTCGTCATTGCGGACATGTCTTCGAATTTTATTAGCCGGAAGGTGGATGTCAAGAAGTACGCCGCGATCTTTGGAGGAGCGCAGAAGAACGTTGGAAACGCCGGGGTTACCATCGTTATTGTACGAAAGTCATTGCTACCGCCAACCTCTCCGTTAGCTGCATCGCCGCTGCTACGAAGCCTGAATCTCCCTGTTGGTCCTATTGTGCTGGACTGGCCGACCATCGCCAAGAACAACTCGCTATACAACACGCTGCCGATCTTCGACGTGTGGATAGCGGGCCAGGTCATGTCCGGATTGATGGAGACGTACGGCGACAAGCGGATCAGCGGCCAGCAGGAGGTCTCAGACCAGAAGGCGAAGTTGCTGTACGGAGCCCTTGATAAAGACTCCCAAGTGTACCACGTTGTACCAGACAAGAGCGTTCGCAGTAGAATGAACATTTGCTTCAGAGTTCACGGCGGTGACTCTGAGAAGGAGAAGGAGTTCCTAGCCGGTGCGGAGAAAAGAGGTCTTACCGGTCTGAAAGGCCATCGTAGCGTTGGCGGCATGAGGGCCAGCAACTGTGAGTAGTGTGGCCTAACCCTGCTCTTACAACATCCTCCATGCATCAGCTTCTTACTCCTCGAGATGAACTCATACTAACACTGTATCTTCTAGACAACGCCGTCTCCCTCGAGGGCGTGGAAAAGCTTGTCCGGTACCTTGAGGACTACGCACAAGGATCTTAAGCCTGTTCTTGAGGAACTCCAGCGCAATTTTACGGTGCCGTGTTGCATATCAGCGCGTTGTGTGTACGGGAACAATGTTTCGTCCTCCCCCTAGACATGTATAGAAGTTTACTTCCATTCAACATGATACCCTGTTCATACGGCTCTTGCACGCAAACATCACTAGATCTGTGCACAAGAAAGTTCAGCATCTTCACGATACATATGAAAACTCCCTCACTCTGTCGCGGAAGCGATTTTTCAGACGGGTGACAGAAAAGATGGTCTGACAAACACAAGTACATGTGTATATACGTCAATGCATATTTTACGAGTTCTCTTAAATGCACCATATGGCTAGTATCGGTAGCTGCATTCTCAGCAATAGCACTTCAGAGGTCTTTGCGTACAGACAACTTCGAAACACATGACATATATCTGACAAGACTGAGAAAAAGAGAGAGCGTTTCCTCGTCCGCCCTGGATCTGCAGGCTTTCGAAGATAGACGAGTCGGCCTTGCACAGACATATCTCTTCCTTCCGGCTTCACTATGCATGCCGGAGCGCATCGCCAACCCTCCATATGGTCGGTGTCGTATCGCGGACTACCTTATTGGGTCTCCCGGCCATGTGGATACGCCCATCCTGCTTTTTCGCAGTTCGCTCGGATCTCCGTTCTGCGGGTGCAACTCGGGTTCGGGAATATCTTAAAAGTTCTCGCAGGGCAATTCAGCCCGGGTTCTCTCATCTTCAGGAAGGCAATGTTTTCCGCTCTGTTTACTTTTCAGGGCATTGCATGTAGATGTTGAGCAAACACTTCGCGAGGAGGAGGAAGTTCTCAGCTGCAAGCAAGGCAGGACAAGGTGAGGACGCCAATGGCTGTGAGGCTCAGAGCGGGAAGGCAGTTGATGGCTTTCCGCTGCGCCGCCCGACTCGGTTTTTGCAACACACGAGTGAGCACCGCAAGCCTGCATGAACCCTGACATCAATCAATCCATGCAGCGGTTCCCGGCCTTTCTACTGGTTCTGAAGGGGCTCAATTACTAAGACAATTGCTCGCAACCACTCTTTGCGCCGCTGTACGCAGCTGCTGACCCACGAATGCCGCCTGTCCGCGTCTAGAGCTCCTCGTTCTGTCTGAACATCCACTTGAGCCATACCAGCTTCCCAAGTTGGAGGCCGGGCCTGCTGGCTGGCGTGCAGCCCGTGGGTAGGAGCTCCTGTAACACTGATCGTTCCCCCGTCAAGCCCGAACCCCGCATCATCAGCAAGTGGGGGGAGCAAAACTGCCCCTCCAGGCACGGTCAGATCCAGAGGCTTGTCGGCGATGATTGGGAGTGGGGAAACTAATCCCAAGTCGCCCAGCGTGACCAAACACTGCTTGAAGCGGAGCCAGTTCATGCGGATTTACGTGGATGCCGTGCTGCCTCCCAAGGGTCCGAGGAGGGTTATATAATGGGGGGTCCTGCAGTGATGTGCAATAGCATCTTCCCCTCTTCCTCGCAGACGTCTCAAAGTGCCCGGTCCTTTGGAAACCGTCTCCGCGCTTCACTGTAGCCGAAACAGGTAATTCTGCTGTCGAGCCATCCGGCTGTCGGTTGGCGTCGAAGCCAGCTTGCTGACGCGCTGTTACCTGCAGCTCCTCCGACCCATAAAGTCACTGCTACCTCCTTCACCAACCCCCTTCCCTTCCCTTACAGCACTCTCAGACAACCTCCCTCATCATGGTATTTATCCGTTCTATCTCGCGGCTGGCCCGCCCAGCTTCCTCCCTCCTCGCCGCACGCGCCAAAGCTCCCAGCATTACATCACGCGGCGCCTCTCTTCTGCGCCAACCGAGTGGGGTCAGAACGCTAACAGCAACCTCGCGACAACAGGGCAAAGTCTTGCTTGTTCTCTACGATGTACGTACCTACCCAATTGACGTGCAGCAAGCTTGATTGCTTTGCAATGCAGCTTCCGGAGCTGGCACTGACCTATTCCGAAGGGTGGTGAACATGCCGAGCAGGAGCCGCAGCTCCTAGGCACGACCGAGAACGAGCTCGGCATCCGACAGTGGATCGAGGAGCAGGGCCACACTCTAGTCACCACCTCAGACAAGGAGGGCGAGAACTCCAAGTTCGACCAAGAGCTGGTCGACGCTGAGGTTATCATCACCACCCCGTACGTCCAAATAAACTTGATTTGCCATTTGAGGTACACTAACACGCCAACCCAGCTTCCACCCCGGCTACCTCACCGCAGAGCGCCTCGCAAAGGCCAAGAACCTGAAGCTGGCCGTCACCGCCGGTATCGGCTCCGACCACGTCGACCTCGATGCCGCCAACAAGACCAACGGTGGTGTCACCGTCGCTGAGGTCACGGGATCGAACGTCGTCTCCGTCGCTGAGCATGTCATCATGACCATTCTTGTCCTCGTCCGCAACTTCGTGCCTGCGCACGAGCAGATCGCAGCCGGCGAGTGGAACGTCGCTGCTGTCGCCAAGAACGAGTACGATCTTGAGAACAAGGTCGTCGGTACCGTAGCTGTTGGCCGCATCGGCGAGCGCGTCTTGAGGCGTCTCAGGGCGTTCGACTGCAAGGAACTTCTTTACTTTGACTATCAGCCACTGTCACCTGAGAAGGAGAAGGAGATTGGCTGCCGGCGGGTTGATGACCTTGAGGACATGCTGTCGCAGTGCGACGTTGTCACTATCAACTGCCCGCTGCACGAGAAGACCCGCGGATTGTTCAACAAGGAGCTGATCTCCAAGATGAAGAAGGGTTCGTGCACCATAGACTATGCGAGGCAAAGCATGACATGCTAACAGCGCGGCCTAGGTTCCTGGCTGGTCAACACCGCCCGTGGCGCTATCGTCGTCAAGGAGGATGTCGCCGAGGCGCTCAAGTCCGGCCAGCTCCGCGGCTACGGCGGCGACGTCTGGTTCCCGCAGCCAGCACCCAAGGATCATCCACTCCGCTACGCCGCCAACCCCTGGGGCGGCGGGAACGCCATGGTCCCCCACATGTCCGGCACGTCGATCGATGCGCAGAAGCGGTACGCAGCTGGCACCAAGAAAATCCTGGACTCGTACTTCTCCGGCCGCGAGGACTACAACCCTGCGGACTTGATCGTGCACAAGGGCGACTATGCCACCAAGGCTTACGGCCAGAGGTCCACCAAGTCCTAGATAGCTGCTTTTGAGGGGGGCGCTTCTTTTATGTGGGTAGGTAGGGAATATCTGGTGGGCGAAAATGCAAATCCATGAATGAACCCGTTTGATGGCTGATCATGTGACCATGTTTCGCGCGATGTGACTGTGACCCTTGCGGCGTGTTCTAAATTGTCCCGTCCAGTGACAATATGTCAGTCCGGCGTCGCGCGCCTGGGTAGAGTTGAGTCTGACGCTCCACACCGCAGCCGTCGCATATTTCTCAACGGGGTCATAGCAACGCCCGTAGACTCCACTCCTCTTCTCACGATCGGGCACCCTCCTCATCCGAGTCATCGCTATCATCCCTAAACCCTTCCTCCAAATCCCTGCTCAGCCGTGCCTCGCTTCCCGCTGCCTCCTCGTCCCTCCCAATCCTCATCCTCTCTAACGTCCGTCTCCTGCTCCTGTCCACTGCATCGGCCTCAAACCCCACCATGCTCTCTCCCTCATCCGCTCCAAAAAGCTCGTCCTCCTCATCCGACGAGCCGTGGGTGACTGCGGGCGGCGGCCCGTTCCAGCGCCACGAGTCCGGCGCGGCGCTTGCGATGAAGGAGACGAGCGCATCGGACAGCCGGTGGCGGAGGGAGGTGGAGTGGCTGGAGAGGGTGTCGAGCGGAAGGTAGAGCTGGCGTCGGTGGCGCTGGTGGTACCGCCGGAAGAGGGGGAGGAGCGCGTAGGTGGTTAGGAGGTAGAGGAGGGCGGCTATGAGAGCTGGCGGGAGGAGGGCTTTGAGGAAGGACAGGAAAGCGGACATGGCGGGCTGGGGATGCAGTGTGATTGAGGCGGGCGCGAGGAGGGTAGAGAGTGTGGTCCAGGGTTTTGCGGAGGGTTGACGGTGTGAGGGTGTGAGGGTGTGAGGGTGTGAGCTTCAGGTGATTGTGTAGTCGTTGTGAAGAGTGAGGTTGGGTAGCAAGGCCATGTGGCAGCGTGGTGGAAGCAGCGGAAGCGCGGCTTTGGCGGAGCATTCTGATTAGACAGGGGATCAGGGATCAGGGAGCAGGGAGCAGGGAGCAGGGTTCCATGCTTGGCCTCGCCTCAACTTTCAGGAGATTAAGGTGATTGAGGTGAGCGGCCGCCCAGAACTCCAAAACAGCCAGCGGAAGCTCGAATACTGCAACTCCATCTACCCAGCATAACTTACAGTGCAACACTCCCCGGATCCCCCATGATTGTGCTCCACCGCTGTCCATACCGCCGCTGATGCGCTCGACACGCCCGAAGACCGCGATCTGCCTCGCTGAAGCACCGCAGCTTCTAGAAGGCGTGAGCGACACTTCTTGCCGCATTCGGCCACCAAACACCCACGCCTTGTTTCCATACCCTACCCCCGCCACGCGCTCCGCCATTGCACACCCTGAAGTGCGCCGAGACAACCAGCAGTTATAGGGATCGAGAAACACCTTTCTGGCGGGATACCGGGGCCGAAGGGAGTCCTGACACCATCAGCTCCTCCGGAGCCCCCCCCCCCCCCCCAAAACAACACAAGGACAAGCGCGCAACATGCCGAGCAGTGCGCCGCAAGATGGAAAGTCACGACAGTCCTCTGGCGGCAAGTCCTTCTTTTCCAGGAAGCTCTACCGGTCCGACAAGAACCATGACAGCCACCTCGTGCCGGAGACACCTAGTATGCCACCCAGCGCCGCAGGGTCGCAGTCCTCACGACATTCCCACAGGACCTCCGTGGCGTCGATAGACAGGCCCATCTCCATGGGGCCGGACATGAACGGTCTGGCTTTGCAGACCGGCGTGGCTACGGCAATTCCATACGACTATATAACCCCAGACGGACGGTCGCCTATACATGTGGACTACCTACCCAAGGACGAGCAAAGACCTGGCACCCGGGGACAGCCGAATCCTGGCCTTCTGAACAAGCCCGGAAGCGACTTCCACCAGTACCCTGTCTTCAACGCTTCCGCGCCGCCCCCGAGCGGCTCCCCTGTATCTGCCCCGCGGCCGCCGGCACACACAAGCACAATCGCATCGGTCCCCACGGCTGACAGGGGATACCAGGCACAACAGTACGGCAATGCGAGCGGCAGAACAGGCAGCATGGCCAGCGGAGCCAACGGCGGTCAACAAGCGTACAACCCCTATGGCCCAACCGACTCATTGAATAACACAAGATCCTCCTCAGATCAAGCTAGCGTATACTCCGCAAACTCCCAGTCGCAAACCCGGCAATCTAGCGTCCTTTCGCTCCCGCAGTCCACCTACTCCTCCCTTGCTATCGATCAGCAGAGCTTGCCTCCCACCATCGCCGGCGCCTCATCCGCCCGTGAATCGCAGAGGCCTGGAGTGCTCGGCTCGTATAATCCCGCCGCATTTAGCTCGACGACCTCGTTCAGCAGGCCTCACGATGACCGCATCATCGAGCAAGAATTCATGGCCTTGATGCACAAGCGGGGGTGGAACAGTCTTCCGGACGGCGCACGTCGACAAATGCAAAACTATCCTCTGGAGAAAAAATGGACGCTCGTGCACCAAGATCGGCTGGCGGAGTCCCAAAACGAGGCGAAGAGGCGGCAAAACGCGCGCAAGACGCTGGACGACCCAGCCGGTGTGGGTCTGCTAGGTCGAGCAGAAGAGGAGGGCAGTCCGGAGTGGTTCGTCAAAAAATTGATGGACAATTCTATTACGGCGAAGCAGCTGCAAAGTTTGAGCGTCAGTCTAAGGACGCAGCCGATCGGATGGGTCAAGACTTTTGTCGAAGCGCAGGGCCAAATCGCCCTGACCAATGTGCTGGCGAAGATCAATCGGCGGCAGGGACAGGGCCCGGCTCCTCCGACTTCTGGGCGACATCAGTCGGACAAAGACATGGACCGCGAGTACGATATCGTGAAGTGCCTCAAAGCGCTGATGAACAACAAATACGGCGCGGACGATGCGCTTGCACATAGTCAGATTGTCATGGCTTTGGCCGGATCCCTCATCGCTTCAAGGCTCAACACCAGAAAGCTTGTTAGCGAGGTCCTGACTTTCCTTTGCCATTGGGGCGAGGGAAAGGGGCACCAGAAGGTCCTCCAAGCGCTTGACCACCTCAAAAGTCAGCAGGGAGAAAACGGCCGATTTGACGCCTGGATGCGCATCGTCGAGGTCACGATTGATGGCCGAGGCAAGATGGGCAGTCTCGTGGGCGCCAGCGACGAAGTCCGCAGCGGCGGTATAGGCATGGAGAATCTGCTGATGGAGTATGCCGTGGCCTCCCTGCTGCTCATCAACATGATTGTCGACGCGCCTGAGAGAGACTTGCAGCTGCGGATACATCTACGAGCACAGTTCACGGCCTGCGGCATCAAGCGTCTCCTGACGAAGATGGAGGGTTTCCAGTATGAAGTGATCGACAAACAGGTCGAGCGGTATCGTACGAACGAAGCAATCGACTACGAAGACATCCTTGAGCGGGAGGGCAGTAGCATGGTCGACAGTATAGAAGGCGAAGTCAAGGATCTCAATGACCCGACCCAGATCACGGATGCCATCATGACCAAGATCAGAGGAGACAGGGCTCAAGACTACTTCGTCTCTGCGCTGCAACATTTGCTGCTGATGCGTGACAATGAGCATGAAGACCGCCTACGCATGTTTCAGTTGGTGGACTCGATGCTTAGCTACGTAGCCATGGACCGACGGCTACCGGATATGGACCTCAAGCAGAGTCTCAATTTTACGGTTCAGAGCCTGCTCGACAAGCTGTATACAGACTCTGAGGCCCGACAAGCGCGAGATGAGGCCCTTGAAGCAAGACAGATTGCGGATGCGGCGATCGCAGAGCGGGATGAGACAAGGGCGCAGGTCGAGCTTGGAGCCGAAGGCATGGTCGCAAAGCTACAGAAGCAGCTAGAAGAGCAGGCCGCTATCATCGAACTACGTGGCCGACAGCACGAAGCGATGAAGGCTGAGCTTGCTGACCTGCAAAGAGTCCGTGCCCAGGAGCTGCAGCGGAACGAGCTGGAGACGAGGGAGCTGTATCTCATGCTCCGCGATGCACAAGACATCGCTGATTCTGCGGCCAAGAAGAGTGGGAAGGACAGTGCCGTGGCTGTGGATCCCACGCAAATGCAGGGCATTCTTGACAGGGAGAAACTCATGGACCGGCTTGAGATGCAGCTTGAGAGAGCAAAGACGCAGGCCAAGCTGGAAGGCAAGGTGTGGCAACAGGTTAATCCGTCAAACAAACTTCGAGAGCTGCGGGAGCGGATGGAAGGATCGCCACAGCGAGGCGAGTTTGACGCATTCGACAACGGCTATATCAATTCTGTGAACCGTACGAGGAGCGCTAAGGCGAGGAGAGCTGCCTCAGCATCGTTAGCTGACGATGGTGACCGCGAGAGCGAAGACGCTGAGATCTTTGGTGCCGACGGCACGATTTATGAGAAGCCTCGGATCGTGGAGCTGAAGCGGCCCAAGATGAGCGCCCAGCAAGCTACAGCCTACCTGGGAGAGATTACATCCAAGGTAAAGCGATACGAAGCGAGCGACGACGAAGATATTGAGGGTGACGGTGTCACGACTGGTCCTTCTCACCCGAGTCTTGAGTCAGACTCGCCCAAGACGCCGACGGATGACAAGTTTGATGGCCCAGCACCACCTCCTCCACCACCGATGCCTGGATTCACTGGCGGTCCTCCCCCTCCGCCCCCTCCAATGCGTGGATTTGCTGCCAATGCCCCGCCCCCTCCTCCACCGCCGCCTATGCCAGGCTTTGACAATGCCGCTGCTCCACCACCTCCTCCGCCTATGCCTGGTTTTGGCGCAGGTATGCCTCCCCCTCCCCCTCCTCCCCCGCCAATGCCTGGCATGGCAAACGGCATGGCACCCCCACCTCCGCCTCCACCCCCGCCTGGCGCTCCGCCTTTGCCAGGAGTGCGCACTGGACCTGGATTCTTACCACGACCCGGATTCGCCGCCGCGCCAAAGGTTGGCCTTGCTGTCGCACGGCCGAAGAAGAAACTCAAAGCTCTTCATTGGGACAAGGTCGATACACCGCAAGTCACCATCTGGGCTTCGCACGCACCCACGCACGAAGCGAAGGAAGAGAAGTACCGGGAGTTGTCCAAAAGAGGTGTGCTTGAAGAGGTCGAAAAGCTCTTCCTGGCGAAAGATATTAAGGCGATCGGAAAGACGTCAGGCAAGAAGAGCGACAAGAAGCAGATCATCTCTAGTGATCTGTCGAAGACATTCCAGATCTCTCTAGCGAAGCTATCCCAGCTTTCCGTCGAAGAGGTTGTCCGCATGATCATCCATTGCGACAAGGAGGTCGTGGACAACGATGTAGTGATGGATTTCCTGCAAAGGGACGATTTGTGCAACATCCCGGATAACACCGCCAAACTCATGGCGCCGTACAGCAAAGACTGGACGGGCCCGGATGCTGCGACCAGTGTACGCGAGCAGGATCCGGCGGAATTGACCCGTGAAGACCAGATCTACCTCTACACCGCATTCGAGCTGCACCACTACTGGAAAGCGAGGATGCGAGCATTGGCCCTGACGAGATCCTTTGAGCCTGAGTATGACGAGATCTCTGCGAAGCTCCAAGAAGTCGTCCGCGTGTCCGAGTCTCTCCGCGACTCTGTGGCACTGATGAACGTGCTCGGTCTCATTCTCGATATCGGCAACTACATGAACGATTCGAATAAGCAAGCCGCCGGCTTCAAGCTCAGCTCGCTTGCGCGCCTCGGCATGGTCAAGGATGACAAGAACGAGTCCACCTTCGCCGATCTTATTGAAAGAATCGTTAGGACGCAATATCCCGACTGGGAAGGCTTCGTCGAGGAGATCGGCGGCGTCGTGGCGGCGCAGAAGCTCAACGTTGAACAGCTGACCACAGACGCGAAGAGATACATCGACAACATCAAGAACGTGCAAAGTAGCCTTGATGCTGGGAATCTGAGCGATCCGAAGAAGTTCCACCCGCAAGATCGCGTCAGTCAGGTCGTCCAGCGCAGCATGAAGGACGCCAGGAGGAAGGCAGAGCAGATGCAGATGTATCTCGAGGTGATGACCAAGACGTACAACGACATTATGACCTTCTACGGCGAGGATCCAGGCGACGAAAACGCACGGCGGGACTTCTTCGCGAAACTTGCCATCTTCGTGCAAGAGTGGAAGGTAAGCCATCAACATCTCTTCACACTAATAATACACATAGAAACAGTCAAGCTAACCCGCGGCCCCCACAGAAATCCAAAGAGAAGAATACGACCATGGAAGAAACCCGCCGCCGCAACGAAGCCTCCATGCGCCGCAAACAAGCCGCAACCCCAAGTGCGGCCCTCGCCGCCGACACACCCAATGGTCCGCCCTCCCCCGCCTCCACCGGCGCAATGGATACCCTCCTCGAGAAACTCCGCGCTGCGGCCCCTCAGGCGCGGGATCAGCGCGACCGCCGCCGCCGCGCAAGGCTCAAGGACAAGCACCAGGTGCGTGTAGCGTCGGGGCAGAAGATGCCAGATATCCCCGGCACGAAATCCGCGGACGAGGGGGGTGCGGGTGAGACGGGACTACTATCCCCTACCAGCGAGACCTCGGAAGCCACGACGGGAGAGGGCAGAGAAGGAGCCGGAAGCGGGACAGCACAGCCGCTGTCTGATGCCGAGGACGTGGCCGAGCGTGCGGCGAGTCTGCTGCTAGGCCTCCGAGGCGATGTAAGCGCGGCGCCAGATGCGGAGAGTGTGAATCGCGATGATAGTCTCCGCGTGAGACGGAGGAGGGAGAGCGCGGATGATGAGAGGGCGGCACGGAGGAGAAGGAGGCGTCAGGTGGGGGGGAGTACGGCGGAGACTGGGAGCGGGATGCCGACTCCGCCGACGATTTCGGAGGAGGCGGAGGGGGCGGCTGCTGGGGATGGGCCAGCGCCAGAGGCCGAGAAGGGGGATAAAGCTGGTGTCGAGGATACGCCTACGCCGGTTACGATTGTCTCACCGCCGTCGCCTGCTACTAGCGAGAAGGCGGGCTTCGTCACGCCGCCGGGTTGAGAGCCGCCAGGCCATCGTCGAACGCTTCTCCCAATGTTGTATCCCGACTTCTCCGCCCTTGCGACCGTTTGAATCGCTACGAAGCGTAAGTGTGGTAATGTGGGGCGCAGGCCTATCGTGATAGTTGGATTGTTGAAGTGTATGGCGTGCGTGTGGGGACTATTCCGGTCATCTACTTAGCATGTGCATTATCATTGTTCTTGATGTACTACGGTAGGGTTTGGGCATCAACGGCGCTTGGGGTGTCTGGAGTACAGCAGCCGGGAAGGCATGCTGCGGGAGTCCTCGATCTTTGTTACTTTGGACGTTATTGCGGGTTGTGCGGAACTTCTATCTGCAAGCGCTTTGGAGAGGACGCATTGCAGTGTTGACGCTCTGGTCAGGCGTAGAGCTTGTGGGTAGTGGATTGGTTGACTGTTAAATGGCAGACGAGGCTCGCTCGAGCTACAGTGCAAAGCTTCGTACTAATCACGCACGATGTGTTCGTTCATCCTCCTTACACCATTTCGTCTATCTACATCTGCATTGTGACATATCTCGGCGTTTTACCCTCTTCCGGTCTGCCTCTCGGTTCTCGCTCTTCCTTTATCTGCCCTATATTTGGCCCACTTCTCAGTTCAGCCTAACCCACACTCCGATGCTGATTTTGACAAGGCCCAAGCGGAGGCTTGTGGATAGAAATGTTGATTCTTTCAAGCACAATAGCCGTGTTCTCGGATGGGTTGGAGCAGATCGCTGTAGGTTGTATTTGCACCAAACAATTGGCGTGCGCGGTTCGTGATCTTCATTCTTCCCTTCACTCATTTCTCCAGACCTTCTAGGGAACTTGAAAGCAATTTCCACTGTGTCAATGGCCCACTCCCGGGCGGATGCCGTCTGCCGAAGATCCTCAAACTTGGGAGTCATAATGCCATCGCGGGTTTCTTTGTTGATGCCCAGATGGCACAGGGCGGCAACCCAATCGTGCTCCGGGAGCCAGGCGTTCTTGGTCTCGGCCATATCCTTGAGGTATCGCTTAGCAACGAACGCTGATGTTGTCTACGTGGGCGCTGTTCTCTTCGTGGGCGCTGCTCTGCAACAGAGTCCACTGCTCGAAGAGTCGTTGGGCGTTGTCGGCGTCGAAACCGCAATACTGCAGGGCTTCTTGGCTGTTCAACTTGTCCGGCACTTCGACCGTTTTGATACTCGGGTCTCCATATTAGTTGAATAAGTGCGTGGGTATGGTCCTGTATTCCGTACGCGCGACATTGCGGGCACCGAGCTCGACGACGGCTTCGTCGATAAAGAGGATGGACTGTTCTGAGAGCACCCTCATCGATGCCATCTTGAATGCTAAGTGGTTCGCCTTTTTGAAGTTCGAAGTGTAGGTTGTTCCACGTAGGAAGAGAGCAGAAGGCGAGGTGGACGTGCTGAACAGCGGGGCCCTTCAGGCACCTTATATGTTCATGGGTTTTTGAGTTTTTGGTGTGTTCACTTACATCTTATATGTGTCGACATGTCAACTACGGTACTGTTACACGCTATTTTATGCGAGGCCAGTAAGTCAATCGGGTTGCTCAGCTTCGAACACTATACCGGTATACCAGCATCGTGGTTCCAAGCCTTCTACAACTGCTCCACGGCTGAGCACCGTGGTCTCCAAATTTTGATAGACGCAACAGCTATCTCATCGCCGTAGTGAAGAAAACGCATTGCACAGCATCACCGACTATGCGAGCCGCCAAGCGGTTAAAGTCAGCAGTTACATGGTAGCCTCACGGGCTTACGCCAACAAGGGTGCCTCATGCTGACCGAAGGGCCCACGCGCGTGCGTGGGTCGACTTACTTGTTCTCCGCTAAGGGCGGACTAGGTAACTTACCGAACCAGCTGAGGGCGAGACTGATGCATCCAAATGCCGCTGAAGCGGCAGAAGATCGTGATCGGCGCTCACGTGACCCAGCCCTGCATCGCGCTCACTCACACGGGATGCAGAACCAGACTATAAATAGGAGCAATACCACGGTCCATCATGCTGAACGAGGAACCCCGCCATTGGTATCTCTAGTTAACTACACCAATGTCCGCGAGGCTGGAAGCGCCTCTAGAGGGTGATTTTTGCCACTGCTGTGATTGGGAGTGCGGAGTCGCTCCATTAGGCAGCGGAGTTACTACTAGTACGCGTGTTTGCCTGCCTGCAGACCTTGTATGAGGCGGTCGCCCGTTGGCCTCGCGAATCGGTCCTTATCTCTCCATCCACACGTTTCGTTAGAGGCACCAGCCCATACTCCACCCACAATCCCGGCTCCTGCCTTGGTTCTCCAACTTCAAGATTACCCCGGCCGCTGATTTCCTATGAATCCTCCATACTTTTGCGAGAGACACGCTTCGCGGACCGGCTTCGATGTCCCACTGCCACTTTAGGCCGCTTTGGGAACACCTCCGGTGTCGTCCGGACATTGATAATATCCTTCGTGAACTCCTTGGGCTGTACTACTCTGATACTGTGCTTCATCAACGAGGTTCTACCGAGATCGTCCAATATGCCAAAGGACTGCTATTTCAGTTAAGGATTGTCTTTGACTTGCAGCGGAGCTATCTGCAAAATGGAGATCGCGACTCCGCAAGCGAGGTCCAGCGGTATCTAGTGGGTCAAGAACTTCACCTCTCCATCCTCTTCAATATTCTGAGAGTCAAACCGCACATACTACAACATGGCAGAAGCTCCTATGAAGAGACTTCAACGCGCCGGCTTCTTGTTGTGCAGGCCTTTCTTTCGGCTCTTCGCGCATTCATGTTAAACAAGAATCGACTCTCACGAGCCCAAAAGGATGACCTTCTGGGCGCTTTCAGCGATGCTTGGGAGCTAGATCAACCATTGTCCGACGGCGTCGAAAATTTCCTAGTCAACAAGCTCATTCCGAGGTCAATTCAGTGCATTTCCCCTCCAAATAATGCAGAAAACGTCGTAGTTCTCCAATCGTCCTGTGGTCGCTTTCTGACAGACTACACAACAGGCGTGGTACGTTAGTCGAGTAACTCGAACTGGCTCTGCTTAGCTGTAATGCTAACTGTTGCAGGATCCCTTTGAGATATCCCCCACTCGTCCGGAGATGGAGATGGGAGATGTCATGAATGCTGTACACGAATATGTTGCGGCCCTGTATGATGCTGGAGAAGAGTGGCTTGTCCATTGGTGGACGCTGTACGATGTTGCGTGGGCAGCGGAAGCAGCTGTCATACAATCATGTCTTTCTGAAGTCGACATGATTGCCACTGCTCCCTTGGATGACTCGAACGTTGGAAACGCGACATCTGCCGGCAATGGAGGTTCAGTAAAACCTGATCAGGTGTTGGCTTTAATCTTCGCCCAACAAGATTTTGGTCCAAATCAGCCTCGACACTCCAATCTGGTCCGCTCGCTCACGGCTGCGCTTCTCGACGCAAATGATCTCCAATCTTTCAATGGAGACAAGGCTCCGTTTGCGGGAATTCCTGGAAGCTTCATAACCCGCTTCACTGGATTCCTTGGAAACCGCGCGCGTCGTCTCAGGGACTGCAACGGCGAGGTGCGAGCGTTATTAAACCGTTTTAAGATGCAAGTGGAAAACTGGTGCGGTGACGCGTCTTCATTGAACTCCCGCGACAGACGTCACATTGGCGGACAGTACTTTCCGCTCTTCGTTGTCGACTGTCCAAAACAACACCCGATACCGAGCGTGATCTTGAACGACAAGCTCTCGCCGTCTCAACGTAATCTGTTCCAGGTATGTTCTAATTCGAAAAAGGCCTCTCCATAGCTGTCAGCCGCAAGCCTTTGGCTTTCTCGTACTTCAAACCGCTTTCCGTTATTTACGACTTGAGTATCTTGTGATATCTGAGTAGTCGTCAATAGTCTCGACTTGCAATTTCTCATGTCAACATCAACAAGCAGTTGCTGATTAAATACAGAATCACCAAAATACTCCAGAACCATTTCAGCTGGGTGACAATGTCTTCTGTCCGTATTGTGATGATGCAAATTCCAGGCCGATCAAGCAGGCTCGTTTGGTGCAACCCTTGTCCTTCGTTTTTACTGCTCTCGAAGACGCGCTTGACAACGGCCCAGCTAACCAATATTCGAGTACCCGGGATCCGGCAGAGGATGACCCCCAGCCTCCAGTAAATATCACGCCATGTCTGGATAGGCCGTTCAATCCATCGATGCACTTCCCGGACCAATCTCTACAGATTGTGCTCCCTGATCCACGTGATCGTCCGCCGTCATTCCGTAGCAGTGAAAGTAACGTCAGCTCTACGAAAGGCTTCAAGGGCATATGGAATCGGTTTACGAACAGAAGCTCCGCGCCTGGATCGGGCAGCGCGTCTCCCAAGACCCCGATAAGCCCTTTACCAGTCCTATCAGCCAGTCCACTGCCGAACTCACTCCGATTCGGGTTCTCTGCTTCCGGGAGGAATGCGCTGTTCTGGGAAGGGAGAGGTTATTATATAGTGAGGATCCCAATGGGCCCTTCTCCGCTTCAAGGCCAAAGACTGGGCCTCATATCGAACAGGTCTGACGGAAGCAGCGAAAATAGCGATAAGTCAAGGAGGTTGCTTGCTGCTGCAGGAGACAGTTGCGCCGCTGCGGTTGTAAGCGATCAAAAGGTATGAATCGTCTCCTGGAATATTGAATGGGGAGGGGATGTTTACTAGAACAAACAGGTTTATAAACTCTTCGTCTTCGATGCCCAGGGCAGGATGTTTGAAGCACCGAACGAGCAGCTGATGGATGACGGCCGGAGCCAGATCATGTGTGTTGCCATGTCTTGCAACGATATATTGATTGCGTTGGGCTTCGGAAATAAGGTGCATTTACATGCATTCAGCGACGACAAAGTATTGTACAAGAGAGAGTTCGGCATACACACGCCCCAAGCGGGTCAAGTCAGGACCATCAAGCGGCAGAAAATGAGCTTTTCTCCGGACAGTCAGAAGCTTATCGTGGCAACACACGGGTCGGATGACTGTATAAGAATCCGCAGCTGGGACTGTGGCGAGGTACCAAGCCAGGATGTTCACCTTACGGTTAAAGCGATTACAACGGTGAGCATACTTCCAAACCCTCGTCCGCCTGTTAAGCCGGCTTGTCGTACCTGATCAATGCTTACGCCGTCTTGACCAGGGTCCGGCCGACTCAAACGGGGTCTCATCCATATTCTACGACCATTTGAACTCCAAGATATTCATCGCGGCGACCTCCAAAATAGTCATCGCGGCGACCAGCAGGCCGTACCATATGATAATCGATGGAAAAGAGAAAGGATCTCTGAACATCGGAGATAGCAGAATTCTGGGCTCAGCGCAGAGCCCAGTTGCTTCCCAACTAGTCCTGATTGACCACCAGCAAAGGATTTACCGAGCCGACTTGACAACCTATCGTGCGACCCTGGTCATGGATCTCGCCACGCAGCCACAGCAAAGGGATCCCTCTTGGCAAGAGAGAGACGTAGCACTTGCTATGCCTAATGGATCCACTATGTATGTGCTCTGGACCAAGGGGGCCGATCTGGTGCTAGCAACAGTTCAGACTGCCAATCCTAAGGCTCAAGCGACCCTCACTATTAAGAGCTTGCGGGAATGCTTTGACCTTGCGAACAGCTCTTGAAGGGTTTCCACGAAGCTGAGCTCTTCTTCCTCCGTCGCCTTACTCTCTTGCTACCTTCTGGTCTTCATCTCTCTATCCTAACGACGTGTTGTTCTCTTATCTCTACTTGTCTCGTACCGACAGGAGCAAGGTTGTTAGTAACATGGGGTGTCTTCGGAAGCGGAAGTGGGAGCAGCATTAGGTTCTTGGCTTACGAGCAATCATTTTGCGGCTCTTTACTCTGCTGGCATTCAAAGAGAAAGAGAAACTGGCGTGAGGACTGGGTAGAAGCGGCAGTAGATCCGATATTCGAACACATCTACGAATACAAGTAGCTGATACACTCTCAATTTGCTTGCAGCTCAGAAACTGAAAGCGAAAGCCAAAACATCCGAGCGTAACCGACAGCTATTTGACCCACACCCAAGTCCATTGCACTATTGCGACAAGATTAGCTGTTGTGAAAGTCCGGTTTCGGTCCGGAAGCTTGAGGGTGCCGCGCCGCCGTCTTGCGTTTTCGGCTTCCACCTCGATGGGATTCAAGTTTCGCAGCTCCAATGCCCTCCTCTTCCAGCTGAAGATATTGATGCCTTGTTGCTTGATTCGATACGCGAAGAACAGGATGGAAAAAACCAGTAGCTGTGTCGCATTAGCTTACAGGTCCTGGGCTTGAGCTTGAAGCGGGCCTTGACGAAACTTACGCTGATGTAAGACGCGATAAAGTCGCGGTGATCCATGGGCCGCACGAAGGTTTGCCAGCCGTTGAACAGTGCCAACAGGGCACTGGCCACGAGCCCGTACATCGCTCGAGCCCACTGTCCGTGCGACTTGTAGGGGTAGAGAGATCGGTTGCGATCATAGGCTTGCGGGTTTTCCAGAGTCATGTCGAAGTCTGCTCTGGCGGCGGCTTTGATACTGCGAATGATGCGCAATCAGCAAGAGGTGGAGAAATCATGGATCGGACTTCGCCTTACCATCGGTAGAACTGGAGATACGACGCGCAGATAACCGCGTAGACGATGAGCATTGAGACGACTGAGTTGACTACGATACGGCCCAAATTCTGTTATAGTCATTAGTAGGAGAGGGCTTGAGCTGAGATCTGGCAGTCTTACTTGAGCGGGAGAGGGCTTGGTGGAGAGGAACGCAATAAAGCCAAAGAGCCAGCTAATGAACACCGATATGTATGGCACACCCTTCCATGTCCTTTCCAGGCGGGATCTCAAGCTTTCTACAGGTCCATACTGCGGCCAAACATCCGGCGTGCTGGCCAGTGCGTGGAGTGTCCGAGACGCAATGTACAAGGCGTTGATGCCTGCAGTGGTAGCGCTAAAGACGTAAAACCCGTTGATGAACTGCGGCCAGAAGCGCATGTGGTTCCTAACAGCGGCAATGACAAATGCGGAAGTGTAGCCTCCTTTAACAGAAAAGTTTACGAGGTCGCCAAGTTGGGGATCCGTGTACGGCACATTCAAGCCTACGGTAAACGCGCACAGCGTGTAGAGAAGGATAACGCGGAGAGAAAGCTTTCGCGTTGCAAGTTTCAGCGTCTCGTCCTTTTCCAAGTCTTTGTTTTCCGCTGCGGTAACCGCGACCGTTTCGAAGCCGATCATCGAGAAGATGACAGTGGTCATGGCGCTCCACATGCCTAAAAAGACCCCAAAGTCTCCCGTCTTAACGTTCGCTTGGGCACCTGGGGCTGCCGGGGGGCGGAGGGTGATGTTCCGCGATTTAAAGCCATACGGGTCTTGGTACGTCCAGAATCTGCTTTCGTGGAATCGCTTTTGGGCGTTGATTATGATGTTGAACATAATCAGTCCTATGAGGAAGAACATCTTAAGGCAGCCAAAAAAGTATTCCAGCTCTCCGTATTGTCGCACCGGCAGAAGATTGATGAGACCAATAACGACCAGGAAGACAAGAACCCAGACTCCGGGGTTCGTTTTCAGCCCCACTGGCCATTCAAGGCTTTCGTAGGGATATCCGACATCGTCAAGGTACGCTTTATCGAACTTGAAGTAGAGGATCTGCGTGATAGCGAGCAGCTCAGCGGCGATGATGACAACCCACGAGAACCTGGAAGGGTCAGTCTGTTCCGATTGCGACGACAAGTAGATGGCCAACTTACCATGTCATCCATCCGGTCGCGTAGCCTACAGCTTCATCGAGAAATCGTCGAGGAAACTCGTAGATTGGGCCTTTTACCGGGAAGAGGGCGGTCATCTCGCCCAGCGATGCGTTTGCGGACCACATTACAGTACCCATGATCAGGTATGCAAAGACAGCGAGTCCAGGTCCAGTCAAATAAATCACTTTCCCAGCTTGCAGAAAAAGACCGCTGTAAGCTATCAGTAGTTGTGCTATCATATTGCTTTCGATACTTACACTCCAACACAAGCCGAAAAAGCCATCATATTCACATGGCGCTCTTTGAGGTCCTTCCTGTTCTCATAATGTCAGAAGCGTGGATAGAAGCACTCAGTGCTTCGGGTGTACACACCTCAACTCCGTACCGTAGTCATCAGAATCGTCCGAGCCAGCCAGGCTGCCGACAGGGGAGTTGGCTGGAGACGTCTCTCGACGACGGTTGGGGCGCAAGTAACGGCGTTCTGTAGCTGCTGGCATGCTGGCAATGAAAGCAATTGAAAGTCGGATATCTCAAACTTCGTATGAGCGAGTAGGAGACTCGAGGAACGGTCATTAAGTTGCAGGCCCCTTATGGCCTGCAACCGGCTGGGTCCAAAGACTTCGCATCGCTCGGAACCAGGTTCGTAGCACGAGAGTTTGCTCAGCCACGTCCGCACTCCAGGCCTCCTCAAGGCTGAGGGGAGTAATTTCGATAACGAGCAGGAAGCCATGCTCTTGGGTGTTGCTGACGGGCAGAGCTAGCCAGTTCCAAGTTGCCTTCTCTTCAGGCTACAGCAAGGCAGACCTTTTCCAACCAACCTGAGAACGCGAAATGCGCCAAAGGCAAACACGGCGGCAACAGTGTGGGCCGAAAGCGGAATCGAACGACGAGAATGCACTCGCGCTGTCGTAGGCGCTCTTGTCAGCCGCAGAGTACCTGACTCCGTAGTGCGGGACGGGCGAAGTGGGCGCTAGGGGCTGCCAGGGTCCTAGGGTCCTATCACGCTGAGACGCACGTAACGTGATTCACCAATGGTGTCCGGGCTGGTGGCATGTCCGGGCCGGTGGTGAATCACGTTACCATTCGTTGACAACAACGGAAATGCTGGTGAAGGCTTGCATAAGCCAGCGCAAGGCGCGAGGCTGAGCAAGCAGTGAAGTTTGATTCTAGTCGATAATTGGACCTAACGTGAATAGCTGATAGCCTGAGAATAGATTCTCAGCCTGCTGAGTTGGCAATCAAGAACCGCTGGCTATCACTTTCCCCATGAGCTTAGTACAGGTGATGCACATACACCCGTCCCGACGTACGGATATTTCAAGAGCATTAGCTGTTTCGCAAGTAAAAGGCTCAGATATTTCCTCGCCACTTCTTTCCTGCTGCTCTTTGTTTTAACCGACTCTTTCATGTTATAAGGTGGCTCGATTTACTCTTGATCCATCTGCGGACGTTACAGTGGTCCACAAGTTGGTTGCATTGGTTGCTGCTTCGTTATCGCCACACCTAGTTTGCCCAGCGCCTTTTCATTCGCCGACCCGTTGCCGCTTTGACTCCATAAGGTGCTGGTGTGTAGTCATGTTCGCTTCTGGGCTTCCCGCGAGTGCCCCCGCGATACCGAGAACATCAGCCGCGGGAGAGCCGGTATATACACAAAATCCTTACGAAGAACCGATTGGGCGCTAACTATTCTGGTTACAGGGAGTTCTAGTACCAAGATGCTGCCTCATCTGCAAAACCGTCGTCGAGTACGAAGAGCTCCGCAATTGTACATACTGCGGACGGCCCGAAGACTTCTTCTGCATTAGGTTCTGCTCAGATCCCCAGTGCCATACCGCGAATTGTTCCAACCATGCATCTTGTTGGGATACGCACCTTCCGGGTCATGCATCCGTTCGAGAACTCCATCAAGTTGTAGATCCTCTTCCCCAGCTATACGTCAATGCTGTGACGTACTCCGAAAAGGATGCGCCCACACAAGAAGCATTGCATGAAGACGACCGCATCGCACAATGGTTCACCATTCGGCCTGACGCATCGGAAACAGGCGTCCTGCGGCTCTATGTTTCTGATCGATTCCAACAACTGTGCAATCCTGGCATCTCGGATAACAGATGGGCCTCGAACCAGTATCCTAGCTTTGTGTCATTCATCGGAGAGACCTGCGTCGGAAAATCTACCCTTCTCCGGGCCATGCTTCTGATGGGGCACGTGAATGCCAAGGGCCTCTTAGCATCAAACACCAAACTCACCGAGGATCAGAGGGTTGTGCTCTTGAAGGAAGTACTCGCAGCTCAAGTACATGGTCCAGTCACGAGATCAGCGAATTTGTCTCACTTGACAGATCCTACAAGTTTGGGTGTACACCTCTACAAGGATGTGACAGCTAGGCCAGCAGACTTCGATTCTCAGAGTCGTAGTGCTGCCAACCGTTCAATGCCCATTTTGTTTGCAGATTGCGAAGGGTTCCGCGGCGGATGGGTCAAACGCGCCAAACCAAGCCCAGCAGCCCCTCGAAGGCCGTACGATCGCGGTTCACATCCAGGACGCATTCAGACGCACGATGGCTATACCGTTACGAACCGGTATAGTCAAATCACGAACATGATATCCGATCTGCCAATCCAAGCAAGAAGCTACTCCGAGTGTGGCAAGGATGGTGCCGACCTGTTTTACGCTAGGTTCTTGTGTGCAATCAGTGGCGTGCTAGTCTTTGTTACGAAAAACGATACAACTTTTCATACGGAGATGCAAAGAGTGTTGGAATGGGCGGTGTCAGCTCTATATCAGTCCGTCAACCACGTCGCTCAGAAAACTCTCATCATCGTGCGCAATATGCCAGGGTTCCACGCAGCGAAGCTCTACAACGAACAGACCTTAAAGAGCGCCCTCTTCGACAACTTGGAGCCCCTTTGGCAGGATTCACCTCTGCTTCGAGAGTTCTTAAGCAAGTACAACTTAGGACATGCTCGGGAGGCCCATAAGATCAAGGCGAACGATGAGTTGCTTAAGATATTCTTCCACGAAGTCAAAGTATGCTACATCCCCGATAAGGCTCGAGCGCCTACCTCGGAGGCCTTTGAGCAATACCGACAGCTCCGATCGCAGATCGAACGGGCTTCCCAAGGAGCACAAGAGATAAGACAAAAGTCTTGGACCCAATATAACGTCCCAGCGCTCTCCCACATCCTCAACCGAGCCTTTGAACATTTTCGGACATCCGATGACCCGTTCGACTTCTACACAGCTGCTCGAAATGATAATCCAAGCCCGGTCTCAATTTCCGATCACATCGCAAACTTCCTACGCCATTTGCAACAGCTGTCCAGCATCGAACCAGGAATGCAGTCTCGGGTGATTTCTCTTTGCCTTGTCACATGGGCCCTCCGACACTTCAGACAAGGTATGTGCCAAACTTTGTTTTCTTATTACCCAGAAAAGGGCTTATAGCGTGCTAGTGGTTGAGCCAGTTGATATCTATTATCGCGATATGAAGGATTGTATTCAAACTGCGCTCAAGAAGTTCGCGGACGTGCACGAGCAATGCGCGTTTACGTTTCCTCGCGGATCGGCCTGCATTGTGCGACGTCTCACTCACGATCAACATTGCGATGAACATGGCACCAGACAAGCGGGGTTGTTTCAAGTTTCTGGTCTTGTTGAACGCGATATACTGGACAGCATTCAAGACCAGTTCATCAAACAATACCGACACATCTGCACATTCGCACGCTCAAGCCCCGAACTTCCAACCCGCGACCAGTCAAGTCAACAGCGGCAAGAGGTGTTGCAAGAATATGCCGATGTGTGGAAAGTTTTCCGGAGTAACAAGACCTGTTTAACTTGCTTGCAAGCGGTACCCGACCATGTTCTCGCTTGCGGACACGCGTACTGCGTTCGATGCGTACAAGAACTCGGAAGGCCATCTAGAGCCTTTGAAAGTGCTTGGATCATGGATCGGTGCGTCCTTTGTTCCCGGTATTGGCCTGAACACGGGAAACTCGTGCGTTTGAAACCTAGGTGCGCCGGTGTCCGAGTACTTACGTTAGACGGTGGGGGCATCCGGGGCATTATCGAGATTGCGCTGCTGGAAAAGCTCCATTCTCGCATCGGCCTTGACGTCCCGCTTCGAGACTTTTTTGATCTTGTCGTGGGTACTAGTACTGGTGAGTAATGTTTTCTTGCACTCACACCCAACGCCTTGTACCCCTACATCGATGAAGCCCTACGCTGCCGCTAGTTGTCCCGGCAGAACAAACTTCTTCCATCTGAGGACGCAGCGATTGCCGTAATATGCCTATGCAATCTAGCTAACCCATTGGCCTCAGGAGGTATCATTGCACTGGGTCTGACAGAGACGAACATACCTATCGCAAAGATGAAAACAGAATTTCTCGAACTGGCTAAGGCGACATTCGAAACGCAACGAGGCGGTTTTGGCAAAGTCGACCCCTTTAAGCTAACAGCAAGGTTCCTGATGATATTGCACATCACGGAGAGCATCTATCGAAGGACTCCTCTCCGGAATAGTCTGAAGAGACTTTTCGGTGAGAACACCAGACTTTTCTCTCACAGTAGCCGTTCAGCTCGTGTAGCCGTCACGTCAACCAAAGACAAGGCTGCCAATCGTTGTCTTATATCGAATTACAACAGACCGTCACTTGATGAAGCGGACGACTTCGAACGTGAGGACGAGGACACTAAAGAGATGAACGTTTGGGAAGCTGGACTGGCTACCGCAGCGGCCCCCTTCTATTTCCGGGCGTACTCCAAGCCAGAGACGCAGAAGGACTACATTGACGGTGCCCTGCATTCTAACTTCCCGGGCATGTATGCGCTCGAAGAGGTGAACAGGATATGGGCAATCGAACATGCTAAGACCCCAACCCTTGATTTTCTGTTGTCCGTAGGTACCGGTCTGCAGGACAGGGAGGTCAAAATTCCAACACCTCTGCGAATTGGCGGATTTGATGCTATCTGCACCACCTTTCACAACAATCTTAACAGCGAGCGCCTCTGGCGAGAGTTCCACGACAACCCTGGCATACCAGCACGAGTTCGACGAAACAGCCATCGCCTGAATGCGAAGATCATGGGAGAGTACGTCAATCTGGACGATTACCGGAAAATGAAAGACCTTGACGCCATGGTCTCAGATCAAATGCGCAGTGACTGCGGGAAACTGCCAGACTTAGCATCGCAGATTGCGAACCTGGCTGAGATCCTGGTTGCGAATCTGTTCTTCGTCGAGCCGGATGAAGATCCTGCTGCCGCCAGATCCGCTAAGAAAGCCTTGTCGCCGTCGCAACATACGTTTTTCGGCTCCATTAGGTGCCGCTTGCCCTTCAACAGTCCTGGGCTCAAAGCACTCGTCAACAAAGTTCGAGGCTTCTACCACGCGGAAAATCCTCGCCACGGCAATGAAGGCTTGAACCGACTAGACTGGAAGGAGATACCGTTCACATCCGAGCAGCGTAACGGTGTCAGAACGCAGAAAAAATGGTTCGCAGTCGACTTCATGATATCCACGTTTGACCCCAATGATACTGAGCAGGTGATTGCAGTCGCATTCAAAGACCAAGCACAAGACATGCGGCGCTCCATCAGCGGCTTCCCTATTACTCTGAAAGAGCTGAAGATCAAAGCTGCGGGAAGGGCGATATAAGCTCCGTAGCATAAAGTAGGCATGGACTATGAGAAACTAGGAAAGCGTGAATAATAAGTTTGATAGTATCACGGTTTGAAGTTCGTCGATTCAGAGGAAGGTTGTTTCGGGGTCACGTTATAGTTACATTAGGAAATCTTTCTAAATGAGTTTCAGTTAAAAACGTCTAAACTATCTAGGATACTTAGAGCGTCTCGCGAGCGGCTCGCGAGCGGCTTAGAGCGGTTTTAAATTACTTAGTAAGTAAGAAAAAATACAAATTACGAAAAAATTCTTAGAGTTCCCTTTCTCGCTTAACTTTCACCTCTCTATAAAAAAGAGTATAATATTATTATAAACTAGCGCTTAGTATAAGATTTATCTAAACTAGAGTAGAGTTACTAAAATATTACTATTATTTATACTATTCTTAATACTAGTAGATAATAGAAATAATAGAGAATACTAGTACTACTACTTATATTATCTGTTATTATAATTTAGACTTAGTATTTCTTAGTGTTTAGATCTTTAGTTATTCTAGGGTCACGTAACTAGGTTATATGCTCTACTTATAGAGTTATCTTTCTATTTTCCTTACTATACCTTCTAATCTTATGTAATATCTTATATTTTACTCTAATAAATTAAGTTCTAGTATTAAGCCTTTCTATATTATAATATTATATTATATCTACTAATTCTCTTTTATTATAGCTTTACTATAGCTATTATATATCCCCTTACTTCCTTTAGTACACTTATATCTATAGATAGTGCTTCTAATACTCTATAAGCTCTCACAAATATTAACATACTTATAATACTTACTATAAAAGTCCTAAAGAACCCTAATCTCTAGTTTAAATTCTTTACTAACCCCTTAAACTAGTTCGATGAGATGTGTAACTATAATAATACTTTTAAGAAATAGCTTAAAGATCTCTTATAATAGCGCGATAATCTCGCGCGATAATATAATACTATAATTATTATATACTCTAAAGTAACTAAGTATATTACTTAACTTACTACCTAAGCCGCTTAACTAAATAATACCTTAATTAAGAAGTTAAAGAGGCTTTTTAATTTAGAACTATTTTCTAGCTCTAATCGAATTACCCTCTACTTCTTTATTATAAATATTTATATAAAGCTCTATATTAACGCTAATTAATACCCTACTAAGACTACTTAAACCTTATACTTATATAGTTACCTTAAAGGTACTATATAAGCGCTCTTTCTCTTATATATTTATATAAATAGTATACTTAAGTTTAGCTTTATTAAGAAAATAATTAAGCACCTTAAACTATTCTTTAGTTACTCGAATTCTAAGGTAACCGCTTAAGCTAAGATTACTAAACTCTATTAAAAGAACTATAACTTTACTTTCTTTATTACTAACTTCTATTACTATATCTATAAGATTAGTTATAATAATAATAGAAAGAAGTTCACGCTCTTCTTAAGCCTATTAAATAAGATATAAAGCGCGCTTATAAGCTAAGATATAAAAGAGATAAGCTATACTAACTATTTCTACCTCTATTAATATATTAATAGGCGTCTTCGCGCTACTACTAGAGTAGCTACTAGTATATTATTCTTTTAAAAGCGTACTTTTTTAGCTCTACTTCCTATAATTAGTGTCTCTTATATAACTACTATTATAGGTAAGGGGTTTAAGTATAGAATTTAGGTAAGTAGATTATACGTGTCTGTAGAGGTAAGATATTAAGATAGAACTATTAAGATAGCGATAGAACTATAGTAATAGATTATATAAGGCTGGATAATATATAGAACGAGTGTAGTATTACTTAATACTATAATATAACTAGTTCTTAACTATCTTACTTATCTAAAGAACCTTAAACCTCCGCACGCGCACTCTATACTAGCTCCTATATAATGAACTATCTGCACCACCATACTACTACTATAACTACTTTCTTACTTATTATTTATTTTATACTAACTATACTATAGTCTACTTCTATAGTCTATAACTATAGCGACTTTATAGATCTTATAGTTAGCCGCGTTTAGTAAAGCCTACTTATACCTAAAATTAAATAGTAGTGCTTTAATAATAATAAGTATCTCTACTATAATAGTAACTATATAGTTTACAATTATCCTAAGAGACCTTATACTACTATATATATAATTAACTTTAGCTCTACTTTAAATACCTTTAACTCTACTACTCTATTAGATAACTTAGCTTATTTAGAAAATGAATAGTTTTTACTAAAAGTCGCTTATAGGAACCTATACCTAGAATAGTTAAGATTTTCTTTTTTATAATCTTCTAGTCGCCCTAGTAAGACTTTAATAAAAATAAATATCTTATAATTAACTATACTTTAGTTACTAGTTTATATAAATATAAGTCTACTACTTTTATTAACACTAGAGCCTCTAGTACCACTTTTATTAACTAAGCTTATATATAAAACCTTAGCCTTTATTTCCTTTCTCTTAGTTTTCTAGTTACCTTTAAAGTTATTAATAGGCGCCCCGCTACTACTAGTAATATTACTTATTTTATCTAAGTTAAGTTCCTAGTAGAGTTATTTAAATAGACTCTTACTTTTTTTATTACTTACCTTAGTTACTTTCTAGTTATTTTTAAGTATCTTTAGCTACTAGCTTACTATACTATACTTAATACTAATTAATAACTATTAGTACTTTCTAGTAAAAATTACTATCCCTTATATCTATTTAGACTCTACTATTATTTTCTAGAAGAGGGCTAAAGAGCTACTTAATCTTAATCTACCCCTATAGAAGACTCTAGATATCTATATAATTAGTATAGTACCCTTTATACGCTTAGCAAATACTAAGAAAACTAGCTACTAACTCTTTACTATTATTATAAAGAATATAGAAAAGGCTCTTATTCTTAAGAAAGTCGTAGGCTCTACTACTATCTTATTCTCTAAGTACTATAAATTTTTAGATATTTTCTTAAAGCACCTTTTAGACTAGCTACTACTATATTATACTTATAACTACTATATTTAACTATAGCTAGAGATAGAGCCGCTAGCTAGCCCCCTCTATAGAATATTTAGAGAGAAGCTACTAGTCCTAAAAAAGTACCTAGAGGACTATCTTATAAAGGGTTTTATTTATTCTAGTAGTAGCTCTATAGTCTTTTCTATTCTCTTTATTTAGAAACTAAGAGAAAGCCTCTAGTTTTATACAAACTACTAGAGCCTTAATATAATTATAGTTAAGAATAAGTATCTAATTCCTCTTATTTAAGAAACTCTTACCTAATTATTATTAGTAAAGTACTTTACTAAACTTAATAATTTTATAGCATTTAATAAGCTCTATATTACTAAGAGTAATAAATAGCTAATAGTCTTTTACACTTATTATAATCTCTATAAATACCTAGTAATACCCTTTAGTTTATTTAATATATTCTTATTCTTTTAATATTATATTAATAATATTCTTTAGAAATACCTAGACTAGTTCTATACTATATATATAAAGTAGACTTATAGATTAATATTAAGAAGTATAAATTCTATATTTAAAAAGTTAAGTACCAAGAGTTAATTATTCTAATAGAAGGTATTAAAATAAACTAAATAAAGGTCTTTATTATATAAGACTAGCCCTAGCTATAGAACCTAAAAGATATTTAAGGCTTTCTTAGTTTCGCGAACTTTTACTATTATTTTATTTATAATTTCTTTAAGATTATCACCCCTCTTACTAGCCTTACTTATAAGAATTAGCTCTTTCTATAGGCTTTAGATTATAAATATACATTTAAGAAGCTAAAGTATACCTTTATTACTATACTAATTTTATAGCACTTTAACTAGAATAAGCTAGTTATAGTAAAAATAGATACTTTAGACTATATTATAGCTAGTGTATTATACTAGTTAAATATAAAGAGCTAACTCTAGCCTATAGTTTACTTTTTAACTAAAATATTTATTACTAAGTATAACTATAAGATCTATAACAAAAAACTACTAGCTATTATTAAGGCCTTTAAAGTCTAGCGCCCTAAGCTAGAGAAAATAAAAGAACTAGTTAATATTATCTTAGATTATAAAAACCTTAAATACTTTATATTTATAAAGTCTCTTAACTAGTACTAGGTCTACTAGAGTGTCACGATGCAGGAAGGCTTAATACTAGAACTTAATTTATTAAAGTAATATATAAAACATTACATGAGATTAGAAGGTGCAGGAAGCAAAATGGGTAGAAAACTCTATAAGTAGATTATATAACTTAGTTATATAACTCTAAAATAACTAAAGATCCGAACGCTGAAGAATACTAAGTCTAAACTATAATAGTAGCTCCCTCCTAAGGGCTAAGTTTCTATAAGGCGTCTAAGTCGGAATTATATTTTAATTTAGTATTAGTATTTTTACTTAAACCTATAGGGGACGAGGAGCGGCTATAGACCTTAAGCTCTAACTAATAAGCGCGGCTAGGCTTATTTAGATAGTATATAAAGAAACGATTAACTTCTATAGAGGCTATTAGTATATAGTATAAAGGGTTCTAGAAGTCTTCGTTTAAGCTAATCTAATCTATAAGTACCTTAAAGTGCCCACGATAGTTTTAGGAGTTAAGAACCTAGTTTACACCCTATACGTCTCCCGCGGAGGTCTCTAATTAGGGGAAGAGAGAGGGTGGAGCTTATTCTAGTAGCGGGTTGTTAGTAGAGGGCCGAATTAGTAAGATATAGAATATAAGGTAGTAGTACTAGGACTAAGGAATCTCTAGGTAGTAGCTATATATACTAATAATCTTAGTAACACAAAAGGGACCGTAATACTTATTTAAAAGCTTCTAGAGTAGGCAGCCCGATTATAGGTTATATATATCTAGATATATACTATCGCCGACTTAGTACTTTAGTATAGGGACTCTATAGCGGTTAGTAGCGTCCTTATAGGTGGCTTACGCTAGATATATCTACTCTTTTAGTTCCTAAATAATAACTATTATCTTATTAT